TTCAAAATGTAGTAGGACGTATTTTATAATCTTCGTGGTAAAGTATGGGTTTGCTGTTCAGTTCAGTAGCGCCGCGGTGCAAACAAAATGTATGCAGATGATTATGATCTTTGGAAGTGCGAGCACAAAAGTGAAGGCATGCTTGGTTTACTTTAAACTACACGCAAACTTTCCGAAATATACTCGCGGGAGAGAGTTCACAATCCTTTCCAGACAACCACTCCACCTATAGCCAAAAACACACTCACACGCTCATTGCGACGAGCGCCGAGCGAGAAACTATTTGAAAGCAACGCCGCACAAACAATTCGTGTGTACATGCGCATCAAAAACTTGCTCGACGATGACAACAAAGCACCAAAGCCCAAAGTGTTCACATCGCATTCAGCTACAAATGACACGACTACCAAGAGAGCCTGAGTTAATTGATTGCAGATAACAAATTTGTAGCTTCTCCTGCGAGGTGTCTCTCTTTTATTTGTGTACATTTTTGATTCACTCTTGCAGGTAGCTAACGTGCTGCCAACTTTAATTAGAAATGTTTCATAACAAGGCGCTTGACTGTATTTTGTTTCTATGACTCTCATAGGTGTCACATGTTTAAGTGCCGGGGAGCTAAAAATCTATACAAAATTGTTTTCTTTACTTTATTTAATTAAAAGAACACCTACCTACATAAAAATAAAATCAAAAAGAATATCCGGCTGTTGAATGTGTTCGATGTGCAGGCGAGTTCGAGAGTACAGAATTGACGAGAATGGAAAATAGCGTGTGGCGAACGCGCGGATTTGATGCTGATTGATTCGGAATTTAATTAAAACAAAACATTTCATTAATTGGTATTTGAAAAAATGTAAATCTACGAGCATGCTGTCGCACCGACAAAGCTTTACATATAGGTACTGGTTTTAACTTGTTTAGATTTAATCAGGCGCACAATAATTCCTTGCATACGTTCCAATTTCGTTCTGTGGCTTGGTTACAAGTGCAAAAAGTCGAGATTTGTCTTGACTGCTATTATCATACATGATGCAAATAGGAAAATCAATTTTATATCAAAATTAATTTGATGCGGCAAATAGTTTTAAAAAAGTTGTCACAAGTGGTTGTAAGAATTATCCTAGCTGAAGTGGCCTTTATGCAGCGTCTTGTCTTGTCATGTCGCTTCTTTAGTGTGCTCCAAGTTGGGCGCACTTGTACGTTCTAGTCAACAACGAGCGAAGCTGAAACTAGTGTATTTACTCAAGTGGCTACTTGTGAAATACGTAATGCATCACATCAAAAGAGCGCGACAAAAAGTTTCTTCACTCGACTGTTGAGCGCCGCGGCGCACATAGAGTATGTGTGTACAGCGCCGGAAACATGAATTCAAACGCACCATATATTCACGTGTGAGTAGAGAAAGAAGCACAACAATCCGATATAACAAACTCTTTCCCTCTTTCACAGTTCGGACACGAAAATGTCCTGTCCGCTCGCGTACAAATGGCCGCTCCAACGAGACGTTTGCGCGCTAGTCTACGCCGACTTGTAGTGTACGAATTAAATGAAAATTCTTGATGCACCAGCAGCACTGTGCAACACTGTTTTTCAGCGAGCGAAGTTTTCAAATATTGTAAATTGAAACTTATTTTTGCACTCGCGACTAATTTTGCGTCGACATGCATGTCCGAAACGAGTACCATCTAATTTTCTCATGGGAAGATGTATAAATTCCTGCAACGGAAGTGCACTGAGCGCCAAAAAAACATTGGAGCGTAATTGGAATTTTCAACTTGACTCTACCAAAGTTAAGTCTCCAACGATACGACGTTTATTGTCCAGCTTTTGTACAAATAAGATCAGACTGCGAGGAGGATAATGCAGGAAACGTGATTTACTTTATGCTGCACTCCAGTATTTGCATTTTAGAGCAGAAAAATATCATAAAACGTTGTGCATCTCAGCATCGCTTTTTCGACCTCTACTATTAGGTAAATATTATGCTGCGCATTTAATAAACGGGCGCATTTTTGTCTTCTGTCTGGAGTCTAGACGTAATGTGCGACTTTGTCGCGCTCATATCCCGCAATAAGGAATACATTTATCTTTTTAATGACGCGATATGAGGAAGGGTTTGCTTTATTATTTGTCATTTGTGAAATCCACAAATAACCCCTCTTTACCTCTGCCATGCGGATGGCGCATCATGTGACAATGCAAAACGTGCACACTAAAGTGTGTAAGGGGGATGCATCCGGCATTTTCCCCAGAGTCTGGGCGTTGGATCGGATTTTTTTAATGCGACCGGGATTTTCTCATTAAAGAACGCTTAGTCCTGGCTTTTATTATTGTAGTGTAGTAATTAAAATGTGGAATGATTTTCGTCCGGGGCACGCTTATTCCGTTTTTTTTTTATTTTTAATTATAAATTTGCGCCCGGCTCTAAAACATTTCCGCTCTCGGCGCTTTCATTTACTTCGTTTCTATTGAATGTGGCGGCGGTGGCGGCACCCTTGTTTTTCTCTTGCGTCGCGACGGGCCTTCATTAGTCCCGAAAAATGTCTGCACGCTTACGCGTGAATGTCGTGTCGGGGCTGCTCTGGTTATCAAAAAAAGGAGTGCAAAAAGAATAAATGAGGTGTTCAAGTGCACATCTTATTAACGAGATACTTGCGACAGGCTAGAACCGCAGGATAAGACTGCCACCGCGACGATAAGGGTTTTTGGCTGGGATGCTGACTGGACCCTTAAAAAGCGTCGACCGCTCTCATATTGATCCCTTCGCGTTTTTTGATGCCGACTCAGCGTCTCAAACCTTCCTCATATACCTAGTGATTTTCGATCGGAAACGAAACACTCGGTTTTGTGCAGATGATATATATTTTAAAAATTTAGTGTCAAATTTACCCAACGCAACCTTTGGACTAGTTTTATTGGGTTTGTTATTATTTTCCAGTAATGTGAGCGGTGACCAAACCTGATTTTCCAAAAAATTGGATCAGCTTAACAAGCAAACCAAATTGAATAATAGATTTTCATTTTGAAATCCGTGGAGGGTTGGCGGGGGTTTTATAAGGATGTTTAAGGATTACGCACACATATCGAACGTTGAAAAGCAAAAGCACTGAGACGTAAAATATTTCCATTTTAGAATCGACCCTCGTTTTTCCTTCGGGGATATATGCATTTTGGGTCGCAGGCGTGTACCTCATGGCTAATGTTAACTTGGATTTTCACTTAAATTTTTATCTAATATTAATGTGAAATTTTTAATTTTACTGCGCATATATAGTATAATGTGGTATTTATGAATAAAAAATTATATGACATTCCACTACTGGCAAGTTTTGAGAACGATCGGTAGGTGGCTGCTGTTCACAGACCACATACACCCCTGATAGATGACCGCGGGCAGGACTTTACAGCATTTTATTTATTGCTCATTTCATTGCACTCCCTCTTCGCAGTGCGCGCGTGGGCACGTGATGAATGTCCTGCCATGTATTACCGTGTCGCCGCAACGCAGCGGACAGCTTTATTGGCAGGTTTCAAACCTGCGCGACCACTCGAAACTTTAAAGCGGAAATTTATATCCTGGCGACAATCTTTCCACCACTGGGTTTCGCCAGCACATTGCCGACACGCCGACGTTATGTAACCGGCAGAGATATTTTGTGCAAATACTAATTTACACGTTTAGCGTGCCGAGAGATATATACGTGCGGTGTGTAGTGGACTCGAAATGAATACTATTTGCTCTGCGATTATTCCGTTTCTCGGCAGCGCGGCAGCATCAGCGGCGTCTTGAACTCTACCTAATTGCCACTTGATCAATGTTGGCAGATAATTGGGGTGCATGCATAGTGTTATCAATCTTTCAACCACACCGCGTTTAATCTTCACCTCTTAGTTTCTAAGTGTAAACTTTACTCCATGGCGAGATTCAACTACATTATACTCGTTAAAAATCGCATTTTTGATCGCACTTTTTCAGCTTAAGAATTTACAATTAACTTTAATTCTAGAACATTGACATTAATATTTGATTCTTGTAGAAAATGAAATCATCGCAATTCCAAATTAGAACAGAGCACAATACTTGAGTTCAAATATAAGCCTCATAATCATTATTATTATATATTATAAATAAATTATATATTTTTTTACTTTATCTACTTTATAAAGCAATTGTATTTTTCCGAACGCAGTTGCCACAAGGTTATCCACGCTTAACCGCGCCCGAGCATCCCAAAAGCCAATTCTACAGTTCTTATCTCAAATTACATAGCCGTAGTTGCACTCGAAACGGAGATAAATACTCATTCCACATGTAACATGCACCGAAATTTGCTCCCTCTATAAAACGCTGCTGTATTTTATTTCGCTGGCGCACACATTGCATGCTGTCGTATTTCACTCTTTTTTACATTGCACTTTTGCAAATGTCGTGATAGTACTGCGTGTACTTGGAAATATTGTACACGGGAAGCAATAAACGACATTAAGCAAAGGAAGCGATTTTTTATTTATGGCTTTTATTATTAAGTAAGGAAAACACTAAATTAATTTTATAGTTTACAAAAAGTTGAGTCTGCGCTCGTTTGGAGCTTGTTTTTTTTTTTAATTCCCGAGTGCATCTCGGAGTCTCTAATGCTAGGAATATTCCGGATGATAAACTTTCGAGGCAAACTTTGACAATTTTAATGTCTGCCTTTTTGTTGATATTGATAACATGGCTTTGTTGACGCTTAATGTATACATGCATGGCTTGCAAGCTCTTACGTCGGTTTATTACGGACGCCATCTTTCATTTGGAAAAGCGCAGATAAAGGACACCATTAATCAATTTAATTTGTATCTGGCTGCCATCGGTCTATTGTGTATTATGGTCGTAAAGATTTGATGGACCGAATTTATTAATTAAAATAGATTGAATGGCCCTAGCGATTTCTTTATATGCGCATATGTTGTGTAATTAATAGCTTTGGCCCCTTATTAATGTTTATATCTTGTCGTAGGGACTTAAAAATGGAGAATGTTATGCTTTCGTCGAACAATGACCGCATCAAGATTGTTGATTTTGGCCTTAGCAACGTTTATACTGGAGATAGTCTCATGCATACACACTGCGGATCACCGGAGTACGCCGCGCCTGAACTGTTCGTCGAGGGCAAGCCCTACGGACCGGAAGTTGACCTCTGGAGTTTGTAGGTCTTTTTAAGACTATCTCAGCACTTGTAAACTTGTATTTTTTGGTTTAGAGGTGTGATTTTGTATGGTATGGCAGTGGGACAATTGCCGTTTGTGAGTGGGTCCCGCAATGTCCAACCCACAACGCAACGTCGAGACAAGCTGATAGAACAAATCAACAGAGGCTTGTCTACACCTCATCGCAAAGCGCTTGCGCTCTTCTCCGTTGACTTCAAAACTATGATGGACAAGTTGCTGGTCGCTGACTCCTCTAAGCGCATCAACATCGGCGAGTTGTGTTTCCATCCATGGATTACCGATAAAGGACGCAAGGCGATTCGGTCCAACCCGCTGAAGAGATTAGAAGACCGCTCTAGATTCGACGTAACCCGGTGGGACAACAGCCATGTACACAATATAATTCACCTTTTCGCTCCATAGATAATCAGAGATGTGGCCGATAGAAGCGACACACCCTGGCAGGACGTGCAGCGTGCTCTCCATATTGAGCCGCAGGGCAATCTCTCGGGCATGTTTAACCTGCTGGCACATAAGGCAATGAACCACACGCTAGACGCTGAACTCCTCATGGCGAAGATGCACTTGCCAAGTACTAGTAGAACCGCAGCAAATCGGGTGGTTGCCGAAGGCGGCGGCGGTGCGAAGTTTGCCAAGTTAAAGTCACAAGCTGTTAAGCGTCAGGACACTGCCAGGTCGACGCCGGCGAAGAAACCGGAAGGTGGAAAATGTGGCGACACGCCGAGAAAAATTGTTGCCGCAAAGCGTCCAATTGCAGTAAAACCGGAAGGATCGCAGTTGCTCGATAATCATACAAATCATACAAGGTCGCCCGGTGGCGATGCATCCAGAGACAATCCGCAATGCATGTTTAACGCGTTTCCGTTTAATTCTGGCCCAGCACAGAATACCCGAAGCAAGAAAACTAAAATTGATTCAATAATGCCGCAAGCCAATCAACGCCATACGTAAATATTATCATAATTATTTCGCTTTAGCCTTATTAAGCGCTTGATCTTTTTGTTTAGTTTAAGATCTGTGCATCGAACTTTAAGCGCGACGACAAAACCATCAGATAATCGGCAGGTGACCACGTGTCCCCCGGGCACGATTTGCGAAAGACCGGTTAAACGTCGCAGGTAGGACAATGCCTTGAACAATCGCGGTTAATTACAATTCAATCAGTGTATAGTATGTTGCCAGTTTTGCAAATGAACAAGACGGCACCGAGCGCAACGAATGGCTTGTTGAAATGCGCCCTTCTGCCCAAGAATAGGCTGTATCAGATCACGAAAAGCGCACCACTTGAGCGCTCCGATGACTTCAAACGTTGCAATGGAGGTACAGGAGGTAAGAATACATGTAATGCAACTCAATTCAAAAAGTGGGTATTGAAGCGAATATTTTAAAAAGCAGTATAACTATTCCTGAAAACAAGAAATTAATTAAAAAAAAACACACAAAAATGCATATTCGCAAGTTTAATGAAATGTATCATTATTTCAGGTATTAACCGAAAAGTGGACCTCAGTAATGAACCGATTGCACGATCCATTGCCGGCTACATGACGAGAAATATAAACAAGACCAAAGTGGAGTCAGTGAGTATCAATTTACATAGATTATTCATAATCGGGCGGCACGAAAACGGGCTTCCGAAACTTATTATCCCGAATATATCCATTCAAACCATTAATCATTGTTTCAGTTGAAGTGGGTTAAGGGTGCGACTAGCAATTACGGCACGTGAACCAGTCATAAATAACTTTCTTTATTATTTGTTGTGCAACAATAACAAAATAATGTTGTTACATTTCTTCCCAAATAAATGTAATATCCCACTAACAGTTCATCTTATTTGCGTGTACACAAGTCATCACAGTTGGAATCTTCAAGAAATTAGTTTATAGATTCCTAAATTCCTAATTACTAATACCCTGTTATAGAGACAAATTTAATACTATCACAATTAGCATGTGGGCAAGGTCAAAAACAAATGTACTTTCAAGTAGATATCAATTAAGTGTTGCTGTTTCTTTGGCCGGTTACGTTCATTGTTGCCTGCAACTAAATCGAGTTAAAACTTTGGCGTATTCGTTTGAAAAGGTATGGAGGAATATTTTGTGGGTAATTTGCCGGTTTGGTGGCATAGTTGACTCCTCGCCGCACCGCGTTTAAAGGACCTTGCGCGCTGAAATTGGAAAACATGTTAAATTGTACACAGTACAAAACACAACACATACACCCACGAGTGACGAATAAGTTTTTTTTTTGTTTTGCATTAGCGGAAGTAATAGTTTTTTAAATGTTAAAAGTTGTCGATCCTAGAATGGCGGTAGCTACGCGGAAATCTTCCACCACCCGAAATGGTTGCCAGCTTGGGAGACAGAAATATTTACAAATAAATTTCAAAAGTAAAACAATGTGCACGTGTGTTGTTTATTTTAAATATTTCACGTCTTTTTCTGAAACATGAAGTGAAGCAAACGAAAAGCTATGGGCTAATGAAAGAAATCCAATCATTAAATTTCAAATTTATTTCATAGTTTAATAACAGTGTGTTGCTGTTTATTTAACAAAATTATGGATACTTTAGAATTGAACACATTTTCATCAAGAATATTTTTTGTATGATACTCGCATGTGGATGTTTATTTTTTGTAGAAAAATTAAAATACATGTAGAATCGTTTCACCCCCCAAAAAATAACAAAAGACTGTCAATGCACATAAACAGAAAGGAGTAAAATGAAAGAAGGAAATAAAAGAATGCGGCGGTATATACAAACACACAAAGTGCAAGCTTAAAATTAGTGCCAAGGAACATCTCTAGGATTAGAAATATTTCCCAATTTAACGAACCTGGCTGTCTGCGACATTCCCTGCGTGTTTGTGGAAGCCACCGAGTTGCGATGGCTATCGTTGGGCACTTGCGATCCATCACCTTTTAAAACTGCAACCGGCTTCCATGTGCTTATGCTATGCACTGCAACAATCAAAAAGAGTTAACATAATCCGTAGTGACAAGCATATCTAACACAATATTGCAATTTAAAACTAGTACAACTTACTTTTAAACATTCTAACATTTCCATCATCACCACTTGATGCTACAACTGTCCCAGTAACATTCCAACATACTCTCCACACTGTACTGTTGTGATCTTCAAAATGTCCAACCGGTTGCATGTCAAGTCGAGATAAACCACTTTGAATGCTTGAATTGTCACTAAAAAGTTTACAAACAGAATGTATTTTTTATGCAAGTAGAATTATGTGAAGTCTATACCTGATTGGTGTCAAGTTGATAATTTTAAGATCTTTTGATGCTACAGCTAGAATATGGAATGATCTACCCAAATTGGGTGCAAATGCAAGGTCATGGACAGGCTCTGTGATATTGTTTAAAGTTTCAGTTTTCGTCCACCTACGACTGTTCTCGCTATACTCAAATATTAACACCTTTCCACCGTTGGCCGAGTTTGCGTCGTCACTGCCTACAGCTAGCATTTGTGGATGCATTCTATATGTTTAAAATTTAATTAATAAAAACAGAACAAAAAAATCTAATTTTTAGTTAATTACTTTGATAAACTTGGATTCCAACTCAAGCAACTGCATGATAATTTGCATTGCACTTCATGTTGAAGTGTCCATTGACTCAAATTCATCACATCAGGTGCTTCATAGATTCGAATAACCCCATCAGCAGAGCATGTTGCAAGCTGTAAACCTTGACTTTTGGGCCAAATTTAACATCAGTAACAGAAGTCCTGGAGTCAACCAGATTTGTCCTTCTGACCCAATGTCTTGTACCTCTCTCACCTGGTCCAGGGGTCTCACCAACTATTAAAAATTTAAACTTTTAGTAAATGTCAAATATAGAATTACTTGCTTTACCTATTTCTTCCCAAACTGCTGCAGTGCGGTCAAATGAGCATGTAGCAAGTACTTGACCAAATTCTGGATGAGCCCATGTTACTTTCCAAACAGAACCACTGTGTGCCTTCCAACTCGACGTAAGCGACCATTTTTCGTCGCTACTTTGATCCCAAACCTTTAAAATCAAACAAAGGTAATTTTTGAGGTTAGTTTTTATCTTATTAATTACTTTAACATATTGATCGCTGGAGCACGTGGCCATGCGCTCGCCATAAAAGTCAAAAGCAACATCGTGGATAAGATCTTTATGTTCGGCGTTAATATCTTGTGCTTCAAACATTTTGTTTTATTGTAACCTCAAGCGCTATTCTCATATTGTTTACAATTTACAGTTATACTGCTGCTTCATCTGGTTCCAACCAAGGAAGTTTCGACATCCCTAGAAATTGTCAACCAAGCATGCGCACTAAAGACACAGAATGCAATTGAATGAAAGTCAATTCAAACAATTGAAATTGTTTGAATTTCTTTTGATTCTCGTTCGACAACAGGTGTAAGTCGTGACATTTTAAAAATGAATCCAATTGATTTCGTGAAATCATCTCGAGCTTGTGAAGATGAGGTACCGTATATATTTATTTTACAACAATTATTAATACGTTAATGTTATTAGATATTGGACTCTGTGAAGAAGACAAAATTGCACAGCAATGCAATTCAACGACAAAAAGAACGCACTGTAAAGGATTGCGTTATTAAACAGATTAACGTTTTAACTCAAAAAGCTGAAAATGGTATTGAAATCCTTGAAATTAAAAAAAGCGGATTAAAATGCAGTATCGACCAGGCATCATCGGGCGACCCGGAAGAAATTCACTCGTTGCGGCTGGATCTACTTAAGAAACAACAAGAACTCATTAGAAAATATTCGAAACTTCGACGTGATCAGGTTGATTTTATCATTAATCATACAATACAAATCGAAGAACTTAAGAAATGTATTGAATCAGCAAAAACTTTGAAATTTGAACTCTTGAAATCTAAGCATTCAGCGCAAGATAACGCTGAAAACATTTGTGAGAATAACAATACATTGATTTCTGCCAAAGAACAAACTCGCTACCAGATTAAACAGGTAGAAGAAACTAAACGACAAAGTTTAGCAGAAGTTACTAAGGAAATAAAGCGAGTGGCAAATGCTACAAATGATATTTTTATTGAATCTGTTTTGTTCCATAATCAACAAATTAATAAGATGCTTCATGGTATTAATATTCAAAACATTACAAAAGACGATGACCATATAACAAACCTTGAACGCAAGTTGTTATATAAAGAAATGGAGTTTAACAATCTTACAAACGATCTAAATAAACTCAAAGTTGTCAATACTAAAATTTCAAGGGAAATAGCGACTGGAAAAGAAAACCTAGAAATCTTACATTATAATCTTGCCCTTATTAAAAAACAATTGAACTTTTATGAAGCACAAATTGCCAAAAGAGAATCCGTCGGCGCAGAATTCCAAAAAAAGCAACAAGTTCTTGAAGAACAAGAACGTTACTTGAAGACAATTGCAGTAGATTTGACTGAATTTAATCAGGAGCGTGCACCAAAGTTACCACAAATTAACATTGATATAATAAAAGTTAAAGAAGAAATGGCTATACTGCAAACTGAGTGTAAGGAAGATGAAACTGTGTTTCTGAAAGAAAAAAACCTACTTGAACAAGACTTTTCTATTGTCACCCAGAAACAAAAGCGTTTAATAATAAATTTAGAAAAGGCTAAGAAACTAAAGGAGAATTTAACGGAAACTTACTCTAAAATGAGAGGTACTAAATCAAGTTTTAAAACTCCTGTGAAAAGTCCAGGTAATCGCAAAGTAACATTCAATCAATATGTAACTGAACGCGAAATCACTGATGAATCATCAGATGTACCTTCCTCGCAGAATTTGAATTAATTACTGCAAAATTAAATATTTAGTTATAAGATTGTAGAATTATTATTGATTTAAAAAAATTAAGTTTTTAAACATGTATACTTCAGTTCACGATTTATATGCGTAGCATTTATGCATTCACAATGACATAATTTTTCTGGTTTTCCCAAAATTTATAATCGGCTTAATAAATTCAAAGAAATGATCTAACTACAGGAGTGTTAAAGTTTTACCTCTGCCAACTTTAAGACAATAGAGTGGGGATGCAGCTGCGCATATCAAACTCGAAAGAGTGCCATTTACTTGTGATAACACAAAGGAGGTGACAACATCGAAACTGTGTACTGAAGCATCGTGAGCCGCGGATATTGTCATAGCGTAAACAAAAACAATACGATTATATCTTTCGTTATAGCTATGTGCGCAGTGTAAATATTTGAAAATTTAGTGTAAAGTGCACTTTGCTATGGAACAATTGGCATATCCGATACGTCAAGTGAGTTTATCATATTTCCTGTTTATCTAATTAATATTTACATGGCCGCGAATCAAAACACGTTTCAAACTAATTTCGAATAATCATTCGCTTTTTCTTCTGAGCAGTTGTTGACGATGCCGCAGATCTTCAAGAATAGAGATTTCGATGGTGAGTACTTAAAATAAATATGTCGCTTGGTAAACGCTGGTTTAATATTTTAAAATGCAATCTAAAAAAATTATCATGTGTTTATCAGAGCCGGTGGTCCGAATGTCCGATATTGAGTCGCCAACAGAGTCGTTTAATCTGAGTGAGAATTTTAAGAATATATCAGATAAAATGGCTGAGAAGTTGGAACCAATTGACAACGTTGCCGCAACGGAAAATTTAAATCAAGATTTGAATGATTTGGACTTTAATAAATTTGTTCATGATTTATCACTCAATATTCCAAATGGTGATGCGGTTTCGCCCGTTCGACACCCAAAAGGCCGATTATTATATAAGCATACTACGCATAAAGAAACTATCATCTTTGATAGTCTGCCGCAACGTGATTCCGATGATATACAAGTAGTTAAGATAAAAATAACATGGCCGAAGGATTACGAAAAAAGCACGATTTCTGTACAACCAATTGCTAGCACCACTTCGACATTTAAAAAAAGCAAAAATCCTGCACTTAAATCGGTAGGACCATCGCGGATGCCGACAAATGGACACCACTTGCCAATAATGGGCAAAGCAGCTCTCATGAACAAGCACAGAAATTCCGAACACTTTAAGAACAATGATTCCGAGATTATTAAAGAGCTAGTCACGCAGCGATTTCAAGATTCTTTATTGAACTATTACCAGAGAAGTTTTCATCGGCAGCCATTACGAATCCGCGATGAAGATGACACTCTTGGAATTTCATCAATTGCGTCAGAATCGATGTTATCTATTTCATCATTGCCGGATATGAGAGAGGCATCAAGTTCGAGAACACGAACTCATTCATTTAGGGCCAGCACAGCTTGTTCTAGTCACGGTAATTGCCTGGAAAGTGCACATAGCACAAACACTATCAATTCGCTTGGCAGCATAGGCAGCTTCACAGAAGATATGAAATTTCTGGTTTCTACTGATGCCTGGAACGTAGAAACTACGAATGAAATAAATAGGAATCATTCAACATTTACACAGTCACCTCCTACGAAGATTTGCAATTCAGACACGATTGAGTATGATGCGACCCAATTTTTGAAAGATGCTCTGGGAGACGAATTAAATAACTATCAGTCGACTGATGTAAGTTTTAAGTTTAAAATTTTGTAATTATTTTGAAAATTCAATTGTTTCTTGGTTAATATTATAGGCTTCATGGTATATGAATAGTATTGGAACTTCAAATATCTCAGCATTAGTTTCTAAAGCTGACACACAGGAATGCCACTCCATAATCTATGAGGACAGCGTTCCAGAATCCGAATTCGATAATTACCCCTTCAATGACCGTGTGAGTGAATTGCTAGTGGAATCGGACGTGCAATATCAGGTAATACTTCAAACATCTAAGGCCTTAGCATTCTGCAGAAGTACCAAGGAGTTTTCCGCAGGAGACGAAGAACTTGAAGCAGAGAGAATTTTATTGCTAGCCAGTAAGTTCAATTTTCAACAATTTTCTATTTACCAGTGTATAACTGTATCTTATTTCATGCAGCATGTAAACGTGACGCTATCCGTGCTGAGATCTGCCGATTAGAAGCTGAGGAAACCTACAATGATTCAATACCCAACAGTTACGGCAGCATTAAAATTACGCAAATCGTACTGCCACCAAAACAGTGTAACTCAATCTACGCATCAAAACTTATCGACAAAAAGAAAAAAAAGAAGTTTGTAGATTGGTATTTATGCATCTTTACACATGGTATTTCGGTTATTGCCACCACTGCTGTACAAGCTGACATAGATGGATTTGTTCGTTTCCGGGATGAAATTATTTTTAGCCAATTGAGTCCCGACTTTGAAATTCAAATTGCGTTATACTCTATGCGCGTTTGTTGGCAGAAACGAACAATGAGTCACGAGACCAAATATCATTTGAAAGATGACACCACCATTTGTCCAATGTCGCCACCGAGACTATTCAAAACTGGAAAGGAGTATAAGAACGTTGTTATATCGAATTCCGTTGATCAGAAATCATCATACATTTTGGGTGGTCAATTCAAACTGAATATTAGCAATATTAGCAATTTTGGACATTTCAAGATGCATCTAAACATGCCCATGCTGGACGGCAATTTCATCATGGATTTTGTTTCAAGTGTTACTGTAAACGAGAATTGCTCTGGTTTCCTCGACGTAGGTCTTGAAACTGGGGAAACGATTATATGGAATCGAAGATGGTGTACGTTACACGAGGGTTCTTTAAGATACTATAATTATCCTGGTGAAGAAAATCCTTTGGGATTTATTAATCTGTTCTACTGCGCGACAGCATTAATATCCTTAGCTGATCGACGAATTTGCGCAAGACCACGGACACTTTTGGTGGAAACTTTTACTAATACACACGACACGATTGAAGCACGTACCACATTAAAATATTTTTTGGCCGCCGACTCGAAACAATACATGGAGATGTGGTCTTATAAATTAAACAATACTATTGTGGCGCTACGTACTTGGAACACAATGAAGTGCAATACTTCGTAATAATAGAAGATAAGATTTTGAAACAGAAATATTATGATAATTGTTCATATTTTACAATTTGCTTTAAACTCTTTATAATTAGACACTTTGACTAAACATTACATGTATTTGGAATTGTAATTCATTTTAGTATTATTCACATACTATTTAACTAATTGTTATTTGTAAAATATTACTTGACGAAAATGAACAATGTTATCATTATTTCAACATTATACATTTATTATAGAAATATAATACACATAATAATTATTTTTGGATGCGTATTATTCGGTTAAAAAAAGTATTCACTTGTTTCTCCCAAGTACGGAATAATACAAATATGTTCTAAATGTTGATTTAAAGGAGCTCATTGGTCTATTAACGTAAGAATTGCACCCAGTTGTTATGTATTAGAATGGCTTGCATGAGCCGAATGCCTCGAAGTGTTCGCCGATCATAAAATTTTTCGCCTGGACCTTGGCCATGCTTTGAACGTACATTGAACAAGTGGGCTCGACGAATAATTTTTTATGAAATTTTTACGAAATGATTATTTCGATTTTATGTATTCGGCTATTTTAGTATTGAATTGCTTTTTATTAACATGTGGTAAAACTCTACTTTTTGAGTTACACATGTCTCGCTCATGAGGAATCTTCAATAATAGAAATAATATTTCACTACTTGACAGCTTTATTCAATAGCGATAGATTATTTTAAAATGTATGAATCTAAAGCGTAATTTAAACATTTCAAAGTTTTTAGTGTATCATACTACATTTTTTAGAATTTTATATAATACTAGCGGGTCCGACAGACGTTGTCTAAAATCTCTTTTTGAATATTTGACAATACGATTGCAGCGCTACCTTGCAGATTCAAGTTAAACATTTCAAGATCAACAATAATTTGTGGAGTTGGGGATGGTCCGGTGAAGATTGCTACGTTCAGCTGATCTAGTTGCTGTTTGTTATCACAGCCACATTGTCGCGTGTGACGAATCACTCACAAATTTATAAATAAACAATTAAAGAAAGAAACATTATTCAGTGAATCAAATTGTGAATCTAAACCATTCTCGAACCCACCTGAACACACACAAAAAATTTCATCAAAATCGGTCCAGTCGTTTAGGAGAAGCTTAGTCACATACACACGATCAGGAGATTTATATACGAGTATACTCGTACAAAGATATTGCGGAAGATGTCAATATAAATTTGCAGGAACAAAAAAACACTGAGGCCATTTTAGGTATAATTTTTGTCTGTATTTTAAGTTTTATTACAGTTCTAAAAAATATTGCAATAGAATAGTTAAAATTTTGGCGCAATCGTGTCCGTCGGACTTGAAGTTTCAAGTGGCATTTAGGACGTTCGCGCCGTGATTGATATACACAGGGTCGGCTATATTTTGAAGTGTCAGTTACCAGGGTGGTACTTTGGGATTAATTTTAAAAAAATTGATTATTTCTGACATTCTAATTGTGTGAAGGTACGTGCCGTACTGTTATCCGCCCCCTTCTATCAGCCCCCACCCCCACCGTCCCACAAATATTACCAACCAAGGTAGTTGTTTTTGGTGTCTAGCGGGCAAACGAAATATCCTAGGATAGCAATTTTTCATCAGATTGTAAGTATTAAATTTGTTTATCATTTTCATAATTAATTTGTGTGATTAGCGCACGGAAGACATGCAAAAATGTCATTTTTGTGCTTCGATGTGCTAATTTTTGGTGGTTTTAGGTGTCTAGCGGGCAAACAAAACATCCTACGACAACGATTCTTTTATCAGATTGTAAGTATTGAATTTGTTTATTATTTTCATTTATAATTTGTGTGATTAGCACACGGAAAACATGCAAAAATGTCATTTTTGTGCTTTAATGTACTAATTTTTGGTTATTTTAGGTGTCTAGCGGGCGAACGAAATATCCTAGGTCAGCGATTCTTTCATCAGATTGTTAGAATTAAATTTGTTTATCATTTTGATATTCAACTTGTGTGATTAGCACACGGGAAACATGCAAAAATGACATTTTTGTGTTTCGATGTGCTAATTTTTTGTTGTTTTAGGTGTCTAGTGGCCGAACGAAATATCTTAGGTCAGCGATACTTTCATCAGATTGTAAGTATTGGATTTGTTTATCATTTTCATAATTAATTTGTGTGATTAGCACACGCGAAACATGAAAAATATCATTTTTGTGCTTCGATGTGCTAATATTTGGTTGTTTTAGGTGTGTAGCGGGCGAACGAAATATCCTAGGACAACGATTCTTTCATCAGATTGTAGGTATTGAATTTGTTTATCATTTTCATAGTTGTTTTGTGTGATTAGCACACGGGAAACATGCAAAAATGTTATTTTTGTGCTTCGATGTGCTAATATTTGGTCGTTTTAGGTGTCTAGCGGGCGAGTGAAATGTCCTAGGACAATATTTCGGTCATCAGATTGTAAGTATTGAATTTGTTAATCATTTTCATAATTAATTTGTGTGATTAGCACACAGGAAACCTGCAAAAATGTCATTTTTGTGCTTCGATGTGCTAATTTTTGGCGGTTTTAGGTGTCTAGCGGGCGAATGAAATGTCCTAGGACAACGATTCTTTCATCAGAATGTAAGTATTGAATTTGTTTTTCATTTTCATAATTAATTTGTGTGACTAGCACACAGGAAACCTGCAAAAATGTTATTTTTGTGCTTCGATGTGCTAATTTTTGGCGGTTTTAGATGTCTAGCAGGTGAACGAAATATCCTAGAACAACGATTCTTTCATCAAATTGTAAGTATTGAATTTGTTTATCATTTTCATAATTGATTGGTGTGATTCGCACACGGGAAACATGCAAAAATGTCATTTTTGTGCTTCGATGTGCTAATATTTGGTTGTTTTAGGTGTGTAGCGGGCGAACGAAATATCCTAGGACAACGATTCTTTCATCAGATTGTAAGTATTGAATTTGATTATCATTTTCATAATTAATTTGTGTGATTAACGCTCGAGAAACATGCAAAAATGTCATTTTTGTGCTTTGATGTGCTAATTTTTGGTTGTTTTAGGTGTCTAGCGGGCGAATGAAGTGTTCTAGGACAACGATTCTTTCATCAGATTGTAAGTATTGAATTTGTTTATCATTTTCATAATTAATTTGTGTGATTAGCACACGGGAAACATGCCAAAATGTTATTTTTGTGCTTCGATGTGCTAATTTTTGGTTGTTTTAGGTGTCTAGCGGGCCAATGAAATGTCCGAGGACAACGATTCTTTTATCAGATTGTAAGTATTGAATTTGATTATCATTTTCATAATTAATTTGTGTGATTAGCACACAGGAAACCTGCAAAAATGTCATTTTTGTGCTTCGATGTGCTAATTTTTGGCGGTTTTAGATGTCTAGCGGGTGAACGAAATATCCTAGAACAACGATTCTTTCATCAGATTGTAAGTATTGAATTTGATTATCATTTTCATAATTAATTTGTGTGATTAACGCTCGAGAAACATGCAAAAATGTCATTTTTGTGCTTTGATGTGCTAATTTTTGGTTGTTTTAGGTGTCTAGCGGGCGAATGAAGTGTTCTAGGACAACGATTCTTTCATCAGATTGTAAGTATTGAATTTGTTTATCATTTTCATAATTAATTTGTGTGATTAGCACACGGGAAACATGCCAAAATGTTATTTTTGTGCTTCGATGTGCTATTTTTTGGTTGTTTTAGGTGTCTAGCGGGCCAATGAAATGTCCGAGGACAACGATTCTTTTATCAGATTGTAAGTATTGAATTTGATTATCATTTTCATAATTAATTTGTGTGATTAGCACACGAGAAACATGCAAAAATGTCATTTTTGTGCTTCAATGTGCTAATTTTTGGTGGCTTTAGGTATCTAGCGGGCGAATGAAATGTCCTAGGACAACGATTCTTTCATCAGATTGTAAGTATTGAATTTTTTTATCTTCTTCATAATTAATTTGTGTGATTAGCACACGGGAAACATGCCAAAATGTTATTTTTGTGCTTCGATGTGCTAATTTTTTGTTGTTTTAGGTGTCTAGTGGCCGAACGAAATATCTTAGGTCAGCGATACTTTCATCAGATTGTAAGTATTGGATTTGTTTATCATTTTCATAATTAATTTGTGTGATTAGCACACGCGAAACATGCAAAAATATCATTTTTGTGCTTCGATGTGCTAATATTTGGTTGTTTTAGGTGTGTAGCGGGCGAACGAAATATCCTAGGACAGCGATTCTTTCACCAAATTGTAAGTATTAAAATTCTTTATTATTCGAAATTTTTTGGTCGAATTTTTTGTTAAAATTTTTTCGGTCAAATTTTTTTGTTAAAATGTTTTCGGTCGAAAAGCAGGATCGAATTTTTTTACATGAACATTTTTCGGTCAAAGAACAGGGTCGAACTATTTTGTTAAAATGTTTTTGAGGTCGAAGAACAGAGTCGAATTTTTGGCGATTATGTCAAGAGCAAAAAGTCTCCGTAAATCGAATGCATTTTTCTCTAAAATTGTAAATATGGTTTAAACGGTTAATATTATCAAAAAAAGTTACTAAAATAATCGATTTAGGATTAAATTATCTATCAGGTTTCCGATTTAAAATATAATCGAAATTAATAGTTCCATGGATAGTGCGAGTACAGTTCTATTCATATTCTGCACTACCACATTGAAAGTGTCAGTGTTAACAAACAAACATGTTTTCTTATGTCGTGCAATTTTTGTGCGATCGCCACGCGGTTGGCTTGTGTACCACGTTAGTCTCATTTTATTAATTATTCTTGAGTTGCTAAATGTTTCTTCGATTGTGCGCGATTGATGTGCGGGGTTCGTACCACGCGGATTGTACATACTCAGAGGTAAAACGTGAGTGATGTTCCGTCGGCCGTCTTATTTTTTTTTGTATTATACGCGTATTTCATCGGTTCTACAATGTGCATAATTAAGGTCCATACAATTAATTGGATATACCAAAACAAAAATTTATTTTGCATCAAGGTATGTTCTCGCATATTTTCAGCCGTTTGAAAATCAAATCCATTATTGACTTTACTTGTTTGCGCTTTTCCAATTGTTTTACATGATTCAAAATAAAATTCTGAATTGTGCTTTAATTTTTAAATTTTGTTTTTGGATTCCGAAAGTAAATTAAATTCTGAATGCAGTAACACAATTATAGATTAAGGCCCTATTGACATGTAAAAACCAATTTTTGTATTAAAATTATAAAATGATACACCAATACATAAATAATAAAAGTATACAATACTACAATTATCTACTTGGTGTCCCCAACTAGATGTTTACGTCTGCTGATAATTTTCTTTCCTGCTTAGTGGGTTGTGCGCGGTGGTGTCGTGAGCACGTGTTTTGTTCGTCAGTTTGTTTTCGTAGCTATTAATCGCGTTTCTGGTGATTTTCATTTAGTAGTGGCATGAACGACAATGTATTTCAGCGAGCGCGGCTGAACGTTAATGAATTATTGCTCGTGATACCTGCTATTGAGTGACTATCCGAACATTTGTGTCTACTGTCGAATACCGCCCGGTTGTTGGCTTGTGCTTCTCATTTGTGGTGTTCCGAACTCAGGTTGAAGGATTTTATGATGCAATTTAGAACGTATTCATTAAATTTTATATTAATTTGGTTTGTTATAATATGTGGTGAAGCTATTTTCTGTAAACTAAACATGTTTGGTCCATGAGGCATTTTCCGTATCTTTCTAATGCTACCAAAATGTTACTACAGTGAGTAGTAACATCAATTCTACTAACAATTCTACTTTGTGGGTATCGTTTGAAAACAGAGCGTTGTGGCTCGATGGTACGTAGGATATGCCTTGGATCGTACGTATGTTCGTTTTATTAAAAAAGAAAGAAGAATGTATTGTTAAATATAATTAATAAAACTCAATTTAAAATTAAAATCTTATTCCTACTTCTTTGTAATATTCTCTTTGTCGTTTTCAGGATATGCGTCTTAAATCATATTTCATATGAAGCTTATGTGAGTGCAACATAGCTAAGGCATGTGTTGTTGTTTTTAAAAAGTTGAATAAAGTAGAAACATAAATAGAAGAATCAAATATTAATGATAAAAACACTCGGTGGTCGAGTGGAGACGTGCACCTGCTGGCATGCTGGCAAACACGGATCGAATCTCAGATATAGAAGGCATTTTTCTCAAATATAAAAATATCAGATGTAATTTGGGTTGCATATATGAATTGCAACGAAATATAAGAGAAACTGAAATACAAATGAAGGCAATAAGAGAAGTAAGAAAGTGAGTGGAGAAACGAGAACAGAGAAATAGAAGAAGGAGTAGTAAAGAATAGGAGAAGATAGAAGGAAAAGAACAGAGAGAGAAGAATAGGAGATAGAAGAAAGAGAACAGGGGAGGATCAGATTTTTAAATTTTTTGGCGCGTGTCGTTAGACAGTCACTGCTTCGATGCGTCCATTGCTCCCGGCCCATCCTACAGCTACGATGTCTCTGCGCTTCATCCCCAGGATTCTCAGGCATATCAACAATTTTTATGGTGGGGGATCACCCCCCAGAGAGAGGGAACTCCTTATAAGGACAATCCTTATAAGGTCTTGTTAAAATATTTCTAAGTTTTAAGTCGTCTCAAAAGAGGTGACACTAAGAAATATTCTTACAAGTTCTGACCTGTAGCTGAAATGAAAGATAGAGTACACAAATCATACAGGTTACCTTAACATTTTTTATAGAAGGGATCATCCCCTGAGAGAGGGAACTCTTCTTGAAATTATAGAAGGGGTACATTCAAAGCATAAGACATAATATTTCTCAACATTTCTTTATTAATAAACGCAATATAATATAATACATGTTTAGATTTTACAAGTCAACAAAATACATGCCGCCATATTGAAACAGGACTTACGACCTGCAAATACCACAAATACTACAAATACGACAAATATTAAAGAAAAAGAAAGTCACAAAGGATAAAACAAAACACTAACATCTGATATATAATTTTCGCGACAATCCCGGAAAACCATTATGCAGGGTGTTTCAAAAAGAAAATACTAACATTTTAAGAGAACATGCAAAGTTCATGTAGGAAAATATATTAAAACCACTTTTTCCGTGACATCAGATGAAAATAATGTACAGAGTGTCACAAAAAGAAAATAATGACAGTTTCTGAGAAAATGCAAAGTTCAAGCAGGATAACATATATTTAGACTAATTTTTACAAGATATCACAGAAAATTAAAATACAGGGTGTTGCAGATAGAAAATAAATAGAAAGGAAAGTCATAAAAGATAACACAGAACACTAGCATACAATCTACAATTTTCGCGACAATCACGGAAAACTATTATACAGGGTTGTTCAAAAAGAAAATACTAACATTTTCAGAGAACATGCAAAGCTCACGTAGGAAAACATATTTAAACCACTTTTCCCGTGATATCAAAAGAAAATAATGCACAGGGTGTCACAAAAAGTAAATAATAACATTTTCTGAGAAAATTCAAAGTTCAAGCAGGATAACCTATATTTAAACAAGTTTTCACAAGACATCACAGGAAATTAATATATAGGGTGTTGTAAAGAGAAAATGCCAATATTTTAAAGGAAAATCCAAAATTCAAATGGGATAAAATTAGAGTCCGACCGAAACTGGTTTTTAGCCGAAATCGGCCGAAACCGAAACTGTAATTTACATAAACATATTTTTCAACTTCTACCTACAAAGCGCCAGTTTTTCCACGTTTTTTAGATACAAAATCAATCCCGTCAGTAAAATCCCCGTTTAGTCACTTGATACTTAATATAATATTAATTTAAGTTTTATGTACGAACTGAGATGGCAAGTAACGACCGCCATTAGCCGCAAAGTTAGCCGAACGACGCACGACAATTCACGAACAGTGAGTTTCGGCGCGGCCGAAAGATTCGGGCAATTTTTGGGGGAAACTGGCCGAAACCGAAATTTCGGTCGGCCTCTAGATAATATATATATATATATATATATATATACCGGGTGATACAAAAAGAAAAATTAAGATTCAAGTAAGAAAAGAGATAGAAACAATTGACAAGACGACATAGGAAGAAGACAGTTTGCACGGGAAATCAAAGAAGAGTGAAAGAAAGAGTGACACAGCAAAACTCAGAACATTTAAGATGAAACTGTATTTCCTCTGGATATCAAGGAAATGTGATGGATTAGATATTACGAAAATAAAACACGAAGTGTAAAACAACAAGCGATCGAGCCGAAAAACGCCGCAGCCTCCAACGAGCACCGAAAACGCAGCCGACGGTACGTGACAATCTAAATTGTAATTCGTATATCAAACAAAAGCGAAACAATGTTTCAATAAGTAATGCTAATCAACGGTAGGTATTGAAACATAGACAAAAATTTGGCGTGCGTAAAGACCACGCGGTTGAAGTAAAAACAAGTAGAGTTCATCCGCAAGGGATTTACTATTTTATATGGATGAAGTAATGCGAGAACATACCTGCAAAATTACTTTTAGGCTTTCGTGATTTCCAGTAAGTTATCCAATAAGTACCTTTATTATGCACATTGTAGCAACGATGAAATATGCGTACAATTCTAAAGGAGTATCCGACGGCCAACGGAAAATCATACGATTTACCTCTCCGTATGTTCAATCCGCGCTTAACACATACCACACATCACTCGCGCACAGTGGAACAGAAAAAATTGTTAGAAATATTACGTAATTACGCGAAGAGAAATAAAGGAACTCAAATGATTCTAAACAAAATTTACGTGTAGATCACCCGACGACAAAAATGAGACTAAGCCAACTGCGTGGCAACCGCACAAAAATTGCACAAGATTAGAAAACTTGTTAGTTTGTAAATACTGATACTTCCAGTGTGGTAAAGCAGAACATGAAAAGAATTGTACTCGTACTATGCGTGGAACTTTTAATTACGATTAAATTCTGAATCGGAAACCAGTAATACAATTACAGATTAAGGTCTTATTGGCATGTATAAATATTTTTTTATTAAAATTGCAAATAGTCAATTAAGATTTAAAATATCTTTCAAAACCTGAAAATAGGATTTAAAAATTTTGCTAACATTAACCGTTTAGGCTCTATTTATAATTTTAGTGAAAACTGGATTTGACATTAAAAAGAGAAATCGTTTGCCTTTTTATATTTTATTTTAACAAATACAGATTCTGTAATAATCGGAATTTTTTAATTCTGTTTTTGGTTTTTGGGAGTATATTAAATTCTAAATCCGAAACATGTAACACAATTGTAGATTAAAGCCATTTTGGCATGTAAAATCAATTTTTTTTTTTATTAAAATTGCATATAGGGCCTAAACCGTCAATGATAGAAAAATAATTACTTAAGGGGGTATTCTACTCTAGAGATTTCAAAAAATCGATTTTTTTTTTGATATTTTCAAAGTTTAACTATTCAAGAATACGTGTACAAGAGGATTTTTCAAAATTTAAATTATTTTCCGAGATATAGCCGTTTTGATGACGCGGCATCCATACTGGTTCGCATTGACTCGAAACTTTAAACGTGTTTTTCTCGAAACTGTATTTTTTGAGACGGTACCCACGATTTCGCAACTTCTACTGAACCGATTTACTTGAAATTTTTATAGGGTCTTCTTTATAGACTTTTCTTTAGAATGAACTACGCTTATCCCTAAATTCCGATTTTAAATATTTCAAAAAAAATCTAGTATATCAAAAAACAAGGGTGAAAAAATCACTTTTTTTTCAAACAGTCGCCATTTTGTAAAAAAAAATTTTTTCACTTGTCCGTAGTTCATTCCATTGCGACATTTTTCTAGATTAACAATCTTTTTTTTTTTTTTCATTTCATATCACTTGGAGGGCTAAAATCATGGGTACGGTCACGTGCCAATTTTTTGGGACCCCCCACTTTATCACCTGCTGGAATTTAAAATTTTGAACTTTTTTCAATTTTTATTTTTTTTTTGTATTCTCAAAACATTAATAAATAAGTGTTAAAAAAATGGATGGTAAAACTCTTCATAGATTTTTTTTACGGCCTTTCAAAAATCACATGAAATTCATGCCTCTAGAGTAGAATACCCCCTTAAATAATCAATTAAAAATTAAATTATCTTTCAAAATCCAAAAACAGAATTTAAAAATTCCAATTGTTTCAAAAGCTGATTTCATCATAAAAAATGCAAAAGATTTCTCTTTCTTATTATCTATTATATTGTATCTATTGTATCTATATTGTATCTATTAGTGGTGGGCAATGGGTTTAGCCGGAAAAAGTCGCCAAAGAATTAAGAACGCAACCGACGGCACACGACAATCTTAATCTTTTTAATTTGTACATTAAACGAAAACGGAACAATGTATCCAATACGTATTGCAAATCAACGTAGGTATTGAAACAGAGACAAAAATTATTTGTGTGGTTAAAGACCACGCGGTTGAAGTAAAAACAAGTTAAGTCAATAATGGATTTGATTTTCATATTGCTGAAGAAATGCGAGAACATACCTTGATGCAAAATACATTTTTGCGCGTCAAAGAAAATCCGAAATAAATATGAAATACGCGTATGATACAAAAAGAGTATCCGACGACCGACGGAACATCACTCACGTTTTACCTCTGCGTATAAACAATCCGCGCTGAACGAACGCCGCACATCACTCGCGCACAATCGAAAGAGCATTTAGAAACTGTACGTAATAACGCGACTAAAAATTAAGGAACTCAAAATATTGCAAAGAAAATATGCGTTCAGATCACCTGACGACACAAATGAAACTAACGTGGTACGCAAGCCAACAGCGTGGCGACCGCACAATACTACAGGAGATAAAGAAACTTGTTTGTTTATAAACACTGATACTTTCAGTGTGGTAGTGCAGAACATGAGAAAAATTGTACTCGTACTTTGCATGGAACTATTAATTTTTATTAAATTCTTAATCGGATACTGATAAATAATTTAATTCTACATCGTTTATTTTAGTAACTAGGTAACATTAACCGTTTAGACCCTATATTTACAATTTTAGAGAAAAATGCATTCGTTTTCGTAGACCTTTTTGTTCTTGACCCTGTTCTTTGACCGAAAAATATTTTAACACAATAGTTCGACCCTGTTCATTGACCAAAAAAATTTAAGTTAAAAATTTGATCCTGTTTTCCACCGAAAAAATTTTAACAAAAAAATTCGACCGAAAAATTTTAATTAAAAGTTCGACCCTGTTTTTTGGCCGAAAAACTTTTAACAAAAAAATTCGACCGAAAAACTTTTAACAAAAAAAATTCGACCGAAAAAAATCTTAACAAAAAAATTCAACCAAAAAATTGTAACAAAAAAAATCGACCGAAAAAATTTTAGGAAAAAAAAATTCGATCCTGTTTTTCGACCGAAAAAATTTTAACAAAAAAATTTGACCTAAAAAATTTTATGTAAAAAAGTTCAACCCTGTTCTTCGACAGAAAAAAATTTATTAAAAAAAGTTCGACCCTGTTATTCGATCAAAAAATGAAATTTATTGGACAAAAATAGCGATATTCGAATGGAATTTTAAGACACTTCCAAAAGGTATATAGGGTTAAAAAGATATGCATAGTGTAAAGGGTCTCTTGAACTTTAACATGACGTTAAGAAACTTCAAGAAAATCAATTAGTTCACGTGATACAAAGTCTTTTCCACACCATGTTTTCAAATTTTCCTAAAATTGTTAGAGAGCAACTCTCTAACTCTATTCTGGTGTGGAGAAACTCTAAGAAAGTCAATTAATTCACTAGATACAGGGTGTTTTCCACACCATGTTTTTAAAATTTCCTAAAATTGCTTATTTTTGAAGGGCATTTTAGGGCACTTCCGGAAGAGTTGGAAGATTGGAGGGTGTACATCATGTAGAGGAACTTTCTAGCTCTATTCTGATGTGGAGAAACTCTAAGAAAGTCAATTAGTTCACGAAATACAAAGAGTTTTCCACACCATGTTTTTATAACGCTTCTTGAAACGGCTACTCTTTGATATTAAAAATAATGATATACCTAGATACAACTAACGAAATAAAAACAAATGTATCTGCAGACAAGCGAGTGAAGAACGCGGATATCACCATATCAGCTGAAAATCTTTTCTTTAAAGTTTTTTATGCAATTTTTGTCGTTTTTCAGGAAATATGTCATTTTGTAGGAATTTTTCAATGATCAAGAATATGAAGTCCGTTTTTTCACAGCCATTTTTTTCTTGAGTTAATCCGACCCTGTTTTTCGACTGAAAAAAATTTCAACAGAAAAAGATCGATCCTATTCTTCGACCGAAAAATTTTAATAAAAAAAGTTCGACCCTGTTTTTCAACAATAGAATATAGAAGGGACACACACAAAATATAGGAGGCATAGTCACTTTTAACATTTCGTAACTGAGAAATATAAAACAATAAAAGAAGTAAAATACATAGAAAATTCGGCGACGCATTCCACAAGTCCGAGAAATGTGCTTAGCCCGAAAATTCATGTCGACATTTTGAAACTAGTCATACCCCTAGCCTATACGCGCATATGTAGCCAAGCATCTCGCCAATATCTCGCAATGCAACGGAAAATTAATATACAGGGTATAACCAAAGGAAAAACCATGTTTTGGAAAGAAAAGTGGCTGGACTGTTAAACAAATATATAGGGTGTTTTAAAAGAAAAATTAATACAACACAAAAATATCAAATTTAAGAATGTGAATAATGGGAAACATCAAATTGGGACAATTTTAGATAGGAAGTCAAGAAAAACAAATATACAGGGTATTCGAAAATGAAAATTGGTACATCAAAAGAAAAAATGTCAAGTTAAAGAACAAGAATACTATAAAACTACAAAGTTGGACATTTTTTTAAAACTTGCATAATGCTGCACACATAAGTCCGTCCCGTCGGATAAAAAAATTGCATTGCTATTTGGACCCACAATGTGCATCATACAAAACCATCCTTATGCTACAAGAATTTGAAGAAAAAATAAAAATATGACTAAGGGTTTGCGAGATATGACCCGTTTTCTATAGAAAGTTGTGAAAAATAAAAAAAGGGGCAAAATTTAGCGACCATTTCAAGGCAGTTAGGGCGTAATTTCGCGGAGGAAAAGTAGTGCATTATCCAAAATCATCCTTACGCTACAAGAATCCAAAGAAAAAATAAAAATATGACTAAGGGTTCGCGAGATATGACCTGTTTTCCACCAAACATTGTAAAAAATGACAAGAAGGCAAAGTTTGGCGGCCATTTTAAGGCAGTTAGGACAGAATTTCGTGAAGAGCAAAGGGTGTAACGTCCAAAATCGCTCTTACGCTATTAGAAGTTAAAGAAAAAATAAAAATATCAAGAAGGATTCACGAAATATAAGCCGTTTTCCACCGAAAGTTTTGAAATATCCGAAAAAAGACAAACTTTTGCGGTCATTGTGGTACGTATTAAGGCAATAAATGTTTGTCGCGTAAATTAGAATAAAAAATATGATTGAATTATAAATTATAAAATTATAAATCATCAGTCACCAAAGCACCGAAAAGAAGTTGAAACATAAGTATTAAACATAAGATTTAATAAAAATATATTCAATATTCATACATCATAGAAAAAATACAATATGTGTTTTTGAATTAAAAGTTACTTACTCAAGGATAATGAGGAATAAATCTTGGGGCCATCATATTTCCGATTCATTTTGCGACCGACACCGAATCTTGTAATTTGCTTAAGTGTGCACACGAAACGCGATCAAATATCTACCAATTTTGTACAATAAAATAATAAATAACATTACTGTAGTATATACAATTAAATAGTCGATTGATGATCAAATATAATGCAAATTTAGAAAGCAGAAGTCCGAACAAACAATAACAGTCGGTCAAAACACGCCTGGATCAACCAGTGACCGGCGCGAAACTGGCTGCAAACCACCGATAGCGCATGCCGTAGCCGAGCAGGCAACGACGCGACAGTTTCGATAAGAAAGCAAGAGATGCGCAAAACCTGCGATCTAAACTAAACTAGAAGATGCTGCATGAGATGTGAGGTGATTTCAACGACGACACTCGGAAATCTCATGCTTTGCATTCCACGCGGCGGAAGCGATAAGACAGTAGATTGTGTACAAAACAAACACAATTCTCGTGAATGATGGTGAAAAAGTCGTAATTGTAATAGCTCCGAAGTGTTAAATTTTTAATGTAATATAAATTGTCTTGTTTGTGTACGATAGCACAATAAATGAATATTATATTTTACCATATAAATGATCGAATTTTTATAATAATAAATGAAGCAATTCTTGTGAAATTATTCCCTAACCATTTCTAAATATTCAAAAATGTTTCAAGTTTTCACTTCTGCTGGAACTTTTTTAGAGATAGAAAGTTGACGATTCCAGGGTCGTATTTACTTTTAGAATGAACAAGACAGTTCCATCGTTTTATACATTTATTTACGTTCCTATGTACTTGTGCAATCGCCTCCAAAAAAATTCGAATATTTTCAAAATGGTATTTTTGGCCCAATATGATTGTGATACGATTGTGAAATTTGGCTTATATTAAAGTATGAACGGAATCCATAGCAAATCAAATCTTCTGGACCTTTATTTAAACGTCGACTTTTCAAAACCTTTTACAACGTAACGATTTGTCGATCTAGGGTAAACTAAAACTAAATTTTTTAACACTGCACAAATAACTACAATTTCAATTCTAGCTCTCCTGAAAGACTACACCCAACTATTATTGAAAAGATTGGAATGATAAAATTACCAAAAAAGAAACAATTAAAATTTGATCATTTTTTCTTCTACAAGCTACATACCATATATTTAGCTCGTATTTAGCCCATGCCAAAATTGAAACTTACACAAAATCGACTTGATAAACTCGATATACGCAGATTTTATTAACCAACGAAAGAATTTTTTAAACCCGAAAATATGAAATAAATACTTCCACACAAGCAATTTACATTGAAGGAAAACAACATGACCGAAATGCCCAAATTCCTTTCTAAGAAACTCGCTTTTGTTTAACTAAATTAAAATCCTATTTCTCGCAGCGCTAGTTAAATTATTAGATTACCCGACTTTACATTCCTGATATTTTTAATTATTTTCTCTTTAAATATTCTTTTAAACCAGGGCAAAAGGGAATCCGATTCACAACACTTTTAAGGTAAGTGGATGGTGGCTTAATGTTTAAACCCTAGTCTATTTATTTAACTTTATAAATTTTCATACCATCAGTCTTCTTTCTTTCCGACTCAGACTCTTAATTCTTCCGCTATCCGTTATCTCTTGAGCCGCACCAACTACATTCATTCGCACGTACTCGTATACCAACTTTATTTGAAATATCACTGCATTCATACCATTCATTCAAATTATTTCCCACACTGCAGTTCTGCAATCATCAATGGTCCTCATTGATTATGTAATCTGCCAAGTGTGCGGAACGGCGGCGCTTCCGCAGACCTGCTGTGGACATCCCAGATTCCGCCTGGGGCGCCGCGTCTTCGTGCGGATCATCTCCATTCTCGTCACCATCCAGTGGATCGAGTCAATCGGCGTCGAAGAATTCGTTACTGGATTGCCGCTTGTCATCCTCGCTGTACTTCTCAACGTCATCGGTGTGGTTGCGGTAAACTTTCAACTACGATATATGCGCGGTCGTTACGCGTTTGCCATTATCCCGCAAACTATACGAATGCGATACGTATCGCCTGGTGGAACGCTACTTCTCATGCTATTTCCTACACTTGCTTTCAAATCTGTCGCGTTAGCAACTTCTACGTTTATTGAGGCATACCAATCGCATTCATTCGCATGACTACCAACTTTATTTGAAATATTACTGTATTGTAACCTTTCATTCAAATTATTAACGTGCAAAAATACTACTTCGTGAAAAATACCATGAATGCCTAAGTTTAAAGTTTAAATTAGAAATAACAACTGGTCAAAATGCAGCGGCAGCGTAAAACGAATATATAATATAATACACTGGGTGAGAGACGAATATTATTACTACGAGTATATGTATACCTACATTTATCACTGCATTTGTCAAATGTGCATTCATGTACACTTCCTATCGGTAGAAGTACATTGGACGTAAATTTACCATTCTATGTTCACATTTGCTGCCTCGAGTTGGTTAATATTCGTAGAAAGAGTTGTAGAGCTGTAATCTACGACGTGGAAGGGCTACTTGCCCTTATTTTATTTTATATTTTATGTATTAAAATTGCTCAATTTTCTGACAAGCTTCATATTTTGCTTTAAAAAACGGAATAAGCGTTGCTAAATCATTTATATTCTCATGGAATAAGTTGTTGATAAGTTTTACGAATGAAGTTTGTATTTTGATTTGATATTTTCCGTTTACTTATAGTAGATTATTAAATTATTCCATTAATTTCTACCAGTTGTTAGCTAAAAGTTTTCTAATTCCCCATAATTAATCAGAATTAGAGCTACTTAAACACTATACCTTGCATACCCCAAAGTATGTATGGTGAAGTAAAGTGCTACATAATAATTGACTGAAAGAATACACTGCTAAAATTGTAATGTTAGTGCTTGAATTTAAGTATTTTTTAAATAATCTTTTGTCAGAGTTTAAATATTCTTTGACCGAGCTTGATTTCCTAGTCACTATGGGTTGTGCACACATGCCCCGGTAAATGTACGTATAAATCCTTTTCAACTCACACTTACCAAAATTAGCAGTTTCTTAGCACCATCTTAGCACTTTTTCCGTAACATATCTACTTCATAAAATGGAAAACTTGTTTTTTTCATGCAATTTTGAGCACGCACCAGTACAAACTATTGGAGTTTTGAACACTCAAAAGGTTTTAGATAGACGATACTTTGAACATTCCGATTCTTAACAATTGTCATCAAATTATCGTACCAGCTGAAGAGTTTTATCTGTCAAACGCGCAGGATGAACTGTGGATCCCAGAAAAATGCAACACCAAAAAAAAAAAAAGTATCAGTGTACGTTACCGACACAAAACACAGTGTATTAGTGATAGTAACTTATAATTACTTATAGTAAATAGTAATCCGATAAATTAGTAAGAATGTAAATTCAAAATTGAATTGATTCGCAAAAGTCTGTTTTTAAGGGGTGATAACGTGCATCAAAACGCGTCTTAATGGGAATCTATTTTTTTTAATTACATATTTATCTATTACGGAATTCTCGATTGTTTTTTTTTACCTAATAGCATTCCCAAACATTACGTGTTTTAATACATATTATTGTGAAAATGAATTCAAGTATTTTTTTTTAAACTTCAAGGTAAACCAGCTCTTGATTAAAATGCAAAAATAAAATTAAAATTGTTATCGCCACTTTGATTAGTATAACAGTACTCTCGCATCGTTAATACAACGATACCCGTCATGATAATTTACTTAAATTTGGTTTAGGTTGGCATCAGTTTTATTCGAGCATTCAAAATGAGAGGATCACTCCAAATTACCTTGAGTATATTTGTGTTCGTCTTTGCTAGTAACGTGATCGCGTCAAACGAAAAAGTACAAGTTACAATTTGCGATGGTACTTTAGAAGGATTGGTTTTGAATAACTACGATGGCAAACAATTCTATGGTTTTAAACAAATTCCATATGCTGAACCACCAGTGGGCGATTATCGTTTTAAGGTATGCTAACATTGTTAAATTATACCTAAATGTAAAATTCGTTTTTTTTTTGTAGCGCGCAGAAAAAAATAAACCATGGAAAGGCATTTTAGATGCCACCCAAGAAATGCCCTTTTGTAGGCAACCAAATCATGCAGAAACTGAAGAAATTGGTGAAGAAGATTGTTTATATCTGAACGTATTCACAAATTCGGTATTAAAATTGCTAGAAGTTGAAACCTACGTTCATAAAATCTATATCAGTAATAATAATTACAGATTAATAGTAGTGCACTAAAGCCTGTGATGATATATATTCACGGCGGCAAATTTACTCAAGGAACCGGTAGTGAAATAAAACCAGAATTTATCATGACACAAGATATTGTTTTTGTGACAATTAATTACCGCCTTGGTGTCTACGGTTTTATAAACACCGTAAATTCACATACTCAAGGTGGTATGGAAGAGATTGGCAACAATGGCTTCAAAGATCAAGTGCTTGCTTTTAAGTGGGTGCAAAAAAATATTAAATATTTTAATGGCAATCCAAATCAAGTTACAATCTGCGGTGAAAGTGCAGGCGGAATGTCAGTACATAGCCATTTGCTATCACCCTTATCAGTTGGTAATGACTCTTGATTTATGAAATACTATTAATTATAGAATAATCACATGATTTATAGGCTTGTTCCAACGTGCAATCGCAATGAGCGGAACTTCTACTATGGTTATGGTGCCCACTAAAAATAACACAGCCACTGATATTGCAAAATATCTAGGTTTTAATACGACTGATACAACTGAAATGATGAATGCGTTACGTCAAGCATCAAATGCTGATTTGTTCAAAGCTGCAAAAGATTTAAAATGGTTTGAGATTCAACTCAACGAACCCTGTTTAACATCTTTGGTAATTGAAAAACCAGGCGCTAATAGCTTTATTTCTGACTACCCAATGAATCTAATCAAATCAGGAACATATTCCAAAGTTCCACTCATGCTTGGTTCAACAAACAGAGAGGGTCTTCTTATCTACAGCTTAGACCAAGAGAATATAAAAGATTTAGCAACGCACATACCGTTTTTCTTTGATGCAAAACAAGAAGCACGCCAGAAAATTGAGCAATTTTATAACTATACAACAGCGCCAAGCAATGATAGTATCATTGATCTGTATACAGACATTTGGTTCAAGTACAATGCATTTAGAACAACTCGGGAACATGCTAAAGTACAACCTAACGACGACGTATTTTATTATGAATTTGCTGGAGATGCGGGATTAAACTTTTTGAAGAAGCAAATGCCCGAGGTCTCTGATTTTCATGGTGCATGTCATGCTGACGAGTTAGGCTACTTATTCAACTGTGCTGGAGTGCCGGAGAAAGGTTCGTTAGAAGAAAAGATGATGCGGGACCTTGTCAAAATGTGGTCAAATTTTGTAAAAACTGGGCGCCCTCTTGAAAATTTACAACCTTTTACGGAGAATCAACATAATTTTGTAAACATTACTAATTGTGGATTACACATTGGAGTAATAGAAGAGAAATCATTTGATTTTTGGGACAATATGTATAAAGTTCATAGCAATGGACTATACTAAATCACAGAAAAAAACACTTGTTGGCAATATAATACCACAATGTAAACAAATAAAACGGTTAAATAGATCTTCTATCTAGCAATGATACGATGAACACGATTGACCTTCGACCCGTCTATATTTATACTGTTGATTTGTACTTTTTTATCTACATACCATTCGCGAATGCATTTGTACGTAACTACCAAAATCAAATAGTATGTTTATCTACGTTTATTACACGACATGACATAGCGACGATAAAATAATATATACGCACGACTTACCTGATTCACTGTCAGTACGAAGCTTACTTTCATCGCAGCACCATGGCAAGCTATCCTATCGTTCACGTAAGACAGGGCCAGCTGAAAGGGAAAGTCGAACAGACTAAAAATGGATTCAAGTTCAACTCGTTTCTGGGCATTCCATATGCAAAACCACCTGTTGGAGCGTTGAGGTTTAAGGTAATTTATATTCTTTTAATTTAAAGATGATAAAGAAGTATTCCTAAGTGATTAACGTTTTTATGAATAATTTTAAAATTAGGCACCGGTAATTGCCGATTCATGGGAAGGTATCCGAGATGCAACAAAAGAAGGCGAAAATTGTTATTGTAAAGACTTTTTAATGAATCAGATGGGTGGCTCGGAAGATTGCCTTTTTATTAACATTTTCACTCCCGAGTTACCGGTTGCTTCCAGTAAGCCCAAAGCGGTTATGGTATGGATTCATGGTGGTGGGTTTATGTTCGGGTCAAGCAAGCGAGAACAATATGGACCGGAGTTTCTAATTCAGAAAGATATAGTCTTAGTGACATTTAATTACCGACTTGGCATCTTAGGTAGGTTATATGGATAATCAATTATTTAATTTTATATGTTTGCTAGTGCCATAACAATATCTCTACAGGTTTTCTTACGTTGGATGATAAATCATTAAAGGTGCCTAAAAATGTCGGTTTGAAGGATCAAGTTTTAGCGTTGAGATGGGTTAAAGAAAACATTCAAGCATTTGGCGGTGACCCCAATAATGTTACAATTTTTGGAGAGAGCGCCGGTGCGTCATCCGTACATTTTCATCTTCTGTCTTTGCAATCGAAAGGACTGTTTCACAAAGCAGTTATGCAAAGTGGCACTTCGCTTTGCCCGTGGTCATATGGGCAAAGTAACGGCCTCGAAATGTGCAAACTTCTAAAAAAAGAAGTAAAAAATGAAGCAGAAGCATTAGCATATTTGCAAAGTGTGCCAGTGGAAGAATTGATTGCTGCACAAAACATCTATCCTGATGTAAAAATTAACTCAAATATTTGATTTATATCCATTTTAATTAATCTATTTTTAACAGCTCCTGCAGCCGGGAGTGCTTCGACTGATATCACCAGTAGTAGAAGATTCAGACAATGCCGAATCGTTTTTGTCAGAACACCCATTAAAACTTGTCGCGACTGGTAATTTTACTAAAGTTCCTGTTTTAATTGGTTATAACTCCGAAGAAGGCTTGTTATATCAAATGATTGAAAAAATGGCGCAAACAGATTTAATGTTTACCAATTTCGAAGATTTTATTCCAGTCACTTATGGCATTCCTCGCGGAAGTCCAAAGGCTAAAGAAATTGCCGCTAGAATTAAAAAATTCTACTATGGTAATGAAGAACCGAGTAAAGACAACAAGCATATATTTTATAAAATATTATCAGACGCATTGTTCGTTCGTGGTACTTATGCCGTTATTGAAAGTACATTGCAACACTCCACCGAAAAGTTGTTTTTGTATAGATTATCACTGAACAGTGAACTGAGTCAGTTCAGCAAATTCGCCCATTTGGAAGGCGAAGGAGTTACGCATGCCGAAGATTTGTTCTATCTATTTTATCATTCTTTAATGACACCAGACATTGCAGACGGCAGTGTTGAGGATGTAGCCATTCATCGTATGACAACATGGTGGAGCAATTTCGCGAAATACAGCGACCCAAATGGTGTAAATGACGATTCCCTTTTGCAGCTAAAATGGCCGCCAGCAGATGCTAAAAATATGCAGTGCATGGACATTAATACCAGCTTATCAATTCAAAATGCTCCAGATGAAAAATATATGAAGTTCTGGCAGTCAATTGAAGAATTCGCGCTTTCAAAACTTTAAAATGTATAGAAACCTTGAAAAATATTGTGAATTTGTTGTGTCATTATTCAATAAACACTTCACATATCTATCAACTTACGGCTTCATGAGACAGCAAATTACGGTTATCATAAATCGCGTGATCCCAATTGCCATTTGCTTTTACTACAATTAAGTGCGGATAAATTTCAGGTACGTGATAAGCAAATTTGTTTGAAATTAGTTACATCATCTTTAAAACGAATCATGTTCGACTTGGCGCATTTCTCTACCAACCGATTGCACAGTAACATCAGTCGTAAATTGGACTTTGAGGCAAATACTCCTCTACTTCACATACGAAAAGGCCAACGCGCGTGATCGGACAACACAACATGTCTCGTCACGATCCGGTGGTTCGAACAAAACTTGGAGAGTTGAGAGGCAAAATTGATGTTGCCAGTGATGGACAAGAATATTACACATTCCATGGAATCCCCTTTGCGGAACCTCCGGTTGGCGAATTGAGATTTAAGGTAAGTTTTGTGCATGTGTATACTTTTTAGTTTGACAGTGTGAACGATAACATTGGCAGTAAGCATGTTCAGTAATTGTGTATAGAGTTGGATGTTGGTGGGGACGAACGAGAACGAGTTGAACCAACCTTCAACTGACGTTTTGAAATAAATATACCATATGTTTTGTTATACTGTAGGCACCACGTCCGGCACTGCCATGGACCGGTGTGCTCGATGCAACTGTAGAAGGGGACGAATGCTATTCGAAGCATCAAGTATTGCTAACACCGGTAGGTTCGGAAGACTGCTTGAAACTTAATGTTTTCACTCATTCAATCAGCAATGAAGCCAAAAACCCGTCATGGTATGGATCCATGGCGGTGGATTCACCGCGGGTTCGAGCAAAATTGAAGCATACGGACCAAACTTTTTTATGTGCGAGGATATTGTTTTAGTCACAGTCAATTATCGTCTTGGCATTTTTGGTACTATTTTTCAAAATAATGTTTACAAGTTGATTTTAAATTAAATATCAACCTCTAGGGTTCCTAAGTTTAAACGATAAGTCATTGGGAGTTCCTGGAAATGCAGGACTTAAGGATCAAATCATGGCTCTACGTTGGGTGCAAGAGAACATAGCCTGCTTCGGCGGAGATGCAAACAATGTGACTTTATTTGGCGAAAGTGCCGGTGCAGCATCAGTCAATTATTTATTATGTTCCCCAATGTCCACTGGATTGTTCCACAAAGTTATAATGCAAAGTGGAAGTGCTTTGAATCACTGGGCTCGTGGTACCATTCTTCCTACCGACCTCGTCAAATTTTTTAATATGCAAGGTAAAAGTGAGGCCGAAATCCTCGAAAGATTGATGATTGCCAACAAAGAAGAGTTGCTTGTGGCCCAATATGCTTGTCGTGATGTAAGTTTACGGTATGCAATATTAGCATTATTCTAAATTGAAATTTAAATATATTAGTTGAATCGAGTGTCAGACCCACGCCCATTCTCGCCAGTGATTGAAGGTTTCAACCCATATGAACCATCGCTATTGCTCGACGATCCTTTAAACATAATGACATCTGGAAACTATATGCAAGTGCCAATGATTATCGGATATAACACGCATGAAGGCATGTTGCTGGATGTAATCGAAAGCAAAGTAAAAATAAGTTTATTGATTACGAATTTCGATCATGCGGTACCTTTTAAATATGGATTGCCCAAAGGCAGCAATATGCTGAAAACCGTCGGAGACAAAATTAGAGGCTTCTACTATGGTACAAATGATCCGGCATCACCTGCCAATCGAAAATATTTCCGTGATGTATAACTATATAAATATTTTCATACGCAAGTTTAAATGTTCTTCCTTTATTTTAGATGCAAAGTGATAACTTTTTCCTGCGTGGAATTTATCAAGGATTACAAGCAATGGTGCGATCAAACCAGCATCCGATTTTTTTGTATCGATTTGCTGTGGACGGCAAATTGAATATTTACAAACATTCTGCTGGCATTACAGATGAAGGTACGGTCAATACTTTTTACATAATATTTGGCATAACAGAGAATATTTTCAGGAGTTTGTCATGGAGATGATGTATTTTACATGTTTAAAACAATGATAACCCCAGAAGTATCGCCAAGTAGTATCGAAGGAAAAACTATCAAGCGATTCATCAAATATTGGACCAATTTTGCAAAAACATCTGATCCAAATCAACCAAAAGTCGATGGTATTATGGAGGGTATTGTCTGGCCTAAAACGGACGGCAATGTGCTTCTACATTTTGGCGAAGAACTGAAAATTACTGAAATGCCCGAAATTGAGAGATTGGCATTTTGGGATAAAATTGATACAATTACTAATAATAAATTATAATATAATAATTATACTAAATATATGTATCTTTTATTAAAGTAACCACATTCATTTCATTCATTCTCTTTCTTATATGTTAACTAGTCAACAACCCAGTACGCGTACAGTCTGCGCCGTATACATAGGTACATACACCATAAAACTTACCAAATTGTTTGAAAAATGGCTCTTTATTTGGCCCTACAACAAATAACAACACAATTGGAACAAATAAAACAAAAAAAATTCGAATCTAGTGATAAAACGTTTTTGAATATATCAACATCAAATAATAGAGTTGCATTCGGTTCAAGGAAATATTGCAACCTTTGGAGATGACCACAGTAATGTCACTGATTTTGGTTCAAGCGCCTGTAGTGCGTCTATAAATTATATGTTGTACTCACCAATGGCAAAAGAACTGGTTTACAAAGCAATCATACGGGTAAGAGGTAAAGGTTTACCTAAGGAAACCTTGCAAAAGTAAAATTTAGAAGGGTAATCTGTCATAGAATTACTTAAGAAACTACAGCCATGCGCAAAAGAACTATTATTGGATGTGCAAAATGGTTGCAACCATGTAAAGCTTAAATGAATTGAATAAATTAAAGCCCAAAATCTTAAATACCAAATTTTCACCCACTGGGGGCCAACGATTTAGAAGCATTTGGTTCTGTTATAGAGAGTCTAAATTTATTTGAACCTTTGGCCATTATGTGATCTGGAGACTTAAAAAAGTACCAATGATTATAGGATACATCTCGGATAAAGGTTTACTCATTGATGCAATGGTAAATATAATGTACAGTAAACAATTCAAAATTTTACTCACACAGTTCCATAGTCCAAGTTACAACTTGTTGGATCGCAAGGCACTTTTAATTGAAGTTGCTAAAAACAAAATTAATTTTGCTGAGAATGATCTATTTTGCCACGTGAACAGAAACTAATATATTGAAGTAATTGTTTTTATCTGAGGTTATTTGATATTAAGATTTTTACCAAAGAACTTTTTTCTTCATGGAATTTATGTCATGCTGACATCAATTCAACAATCAAGCATATATCCAATTTCGTATCGATTTGCGTTTGATGGAAATTTAAATGGATATAAGCGTGTCTTTAATGCAGGTACGACAGGTAAATATGCAAATATGCAATTCGGAATATTAAATATAAATGAAAAGTTTATTTCAATTTACAGGTACCTGTCATTGCAATGATTTATTTCACATGCTCCAAACGACAGTAATATCGGAAGCAAAACCAGACACTAGAAATTTTGAAATGATCGTTTTAATGTGGTCACAGTTTGCAAAAACTAGTTCAAATCATTATCAAGTGTACTCATATTGGCCACAAACTGAAGGTAAACTGTTACTGAATATTGGAAGCAAGTTGCAAGTCATACCATTCCCAGAAAGTCATAGAATGGCTTTTTGGAACGAACTTGATGTAATGACAAGGACATAATTTCTTTATGACCAAGTAGATTATCGCTCAACCACTATTGGAAAATTACGCATCAAGTCCCAACGTAAACGATAAATGTTATTTTTGATAAAACACACAAGTTGCTTTTAATGTTTAAGTGCCTTGTCATTAACAATAACGATATATGAATATGTTGATGTACCCATACCTTATAGCAGTAGCAATTTATTTAAATGTGAAAAAAAAGATATTTATATTAACAGTTCTCAAACTTTCACATTACATTGCCAACATGAGTCCCGAACCTATCGTTACTATCAAACAAGGTGTTCTTAAAGGACAAACCGAGAAAACTAAAAGTGGAGTAGAATTTAATTCGTTTTTGGGCATCCCTTATGCCCAACCGCCTATTGGAGAACTTAGATTTAAAGTAAGTATTTGGAAACTTAAGTTTAAACTGTTGTAACTGTTGATTGATTTATTTGAGGCTCCACAACCACCGAAACCATGGCAAGGTATAAGACAAGCCACGAAGGAAGGAAACATTTGTTATCACAAAGATGTCCTCTTCGAATTAACGACTGGATCTGAAGATTGTCTTTATTTAAACGTATTTACACCGAAACTGCCAAATGTACCAAATACGGAAAAAGGTTTGCCAGTAATGGTATGGTTTCACGGTGGTGGATTTATGTCTGGTTCTGGAAGAAGAGATTTTTATGGACCAGAGTTTATGATCGATAAAGGTATCGTTTTGGTCACCATGAATTTTAGATTGGGATCACTCGGTTTCCTCAACCTCAAAGACACGAGCCTCGGTGTGCTAGGAAATGCGGCCTTAAAAGATCAAAATATGGCATTGAAGTGGGTGCAGATGAATATTGCCCAATTCGGTGGCGACCCAAACAATGTTACAATTTTTGGCGAAAGTTCAGGTTCAGCTTCAGTTTGCTTCCATATAGTTTCACCGATGGGAAAGGGTTTGTTTCATAAGGCAATTATGCAGAGTGGAGTTGCAAGTTGTGTTTGGGCAGAAGGTAGAATGGATTCTGCATACAAATTGCTGGAGAAATTAGGAAAGAAAGCAGACAATGATACACATGCACTTAAACTGTTGCAAGCAGCACCAGTCGAGGATCTTATCAATGCTCAACTAAAAGTACCAGATGTAAATTTTGCTTACATTATAAGTTGTAAAAAAAGATAAGTATAAGCCCATAATTTCAGATTTGGAAGCCGTCTTACTTGCGGCCATTCTGTCCTGTGATAGAGAAGCATGATAAAACAGAAGAACTCTTTTTGCCGGATTACCCAATTAATTTACTAAAAGCAGGAAAATACAACAAAGTTCCAATCATTATTGGGGCAACTTCCGGCGAGGGTTTGATAATAAAAGCGCTTGAACTAAGACTAAAGACTAACTTCACTCCAAAGAACGACGCAGACTTTGTTCCACATAATTTTAGATTGCAGGAAAATCCTGACAAATGTGCTCAAATTGGTCAGCAAATTAGAGAATTTTATTACGGTGACCAAGACCCACTTTATTCTGCCAAATCAATATTGTACGATTATAACACAGATGCCTATTTTGTCCGCGCAATTTTAGATGTGGCGGAGACAATTATGAGAACTTCCAAGGAAAAAGTGTTTATGTACCAGTTTTGTCTTAAAACAAAGTTAAATATGTTTTCAAGTTTAGTTGGCGCTACTGGCAAAGGTACTTGTCACGTTGACGATTTGTATTATTTGTTCAAGAGCGAATTGACACCTGATGTTGCGCCCAACAGTATCGAGGAAAACGGAGTCCAGAGAATGACCAAGTGGTGGACGAATTTTGCAAAGTATTCTGATCCAAACGGCCTCGGAAATGACCCATTACTCTCTGTTAAGTGGATCAATTCTAATCACAACGAAATGCAATATTTGGAAATTGATAAAAATATTCGACTCAAATCTGATTACCATAAAAAATATAATGATTTTTGGAAGTCTATTGAAAGCACTTTATAATATTCATAGCACTGTAAATGTTCTGACTCTTAGTAAAAACTAAATAAATTATATAACCAATGACAAGTGGAATTTATGTTCAAATTGTTTGTGGATAATTTAGAATCAAGGTCACACAATTGCGGAGCGATATTAACGTGTACCACTTGATGAAAAATATTAGTATTAACTTAGTCATTCAGAGAGTGTCAAACAGTTGGACTAGTTAATTATGTCGAGCAAGGTTTTAGTGACTATTAAACAAGGAACGTTACGAGGGAATGAAGAAACAACTCATAATAATTTCAAATTTTTCACCTTTATGGGCATACCTTATGCCAAACCACCTGTTGGAAAATTAAAATTTAAAGTAAGTGCCAATAACAAATCGTTAAATCAAAACGTAAAATAATTAAACATTGGAAATAAAATTCTTCGCATTTTAAATTTCTGCTCTTTTTTGACATATACCGCTCTTATACGCGTAATATTTTTACGTAATATTATTATCAAGTGCCAAGTCGCACCTATTGAGATAACAAATGGAATTTTTGACTTTAGACTTCAATACCCAATGTAATGATTTACTACTTTTATTTTAAGGCCCCTCAACCCGCCCAGCCCTGGGAAGGTATATTAAATGCAAACCAAGAAAATAATCCAAGTTTAAGTAAAGATTTCTTTCTCAACACCACCTTGGGAGATTTTGACTGTTTATATTTAAATGTATATACACCACAGTTGCCGCAAGAAAAAAATGCTACTCTTAAACCTGTCATGGTTTGGATTCATGGCGGTGGATTCGTTTACGGATCAAAAAACCGCGATTTTGCAGACCCAGAATATTTCATGGATAAGGATGTCGTTGTAGTAGCTATTAATTACCGCCTCGGAGCCTTAGGTAAATAAATGAAAAATAGTTATATTATAAATTAATTAATTGTTTTATAGGTTTCTTAAGTTTGAAGGATCCAAATCTTGGTGTCTCCGGTAATGCGGCCTTGAAAGATCAAGCAATGGCATTGAAGTGGGTGCAAGAAAACATTGCCGCATTTGGAGGAGATCCAAACAACGTCACATTGTTTGGCTTGAGTGCCGGAGGAGCTTCAGTATCTTACCAGTTACTATCACCTATGTCAAAAGGATTGTTCCATAAAGCAATTATTCAAAGCGGGGTGGCAACTTGTTCATGGGCAGAAGGAAATACTGATCTAGCAAAGGAACTTCTAATAGCGTTTGAGAAATCGGCAACAACGGAAGCAGAAATGCTTGAGATTTTTGAAAGCGCTACTAAAGACGAGCTAATTGCGGCTCAGTCAAAAGTACCAGACGTAATACTGTCCAAGAAATCTTAATTTATAATTTTAATCCCACTTCTTATTACAGGTCTGGAAACCATGCAAACAAAGGTATTACTGTCCTACTGTGGAAACATCAACAGGCGAGGAGCATTTTCTTCATGATACACCCCTTAATATCTTAAAATCAGGTAACTACAATAAAGTCCCAGTCATCCTTGGTTGTACTTCAAATGAAGGGCTTCTTATGGGTTTGTTTGGAATGGGTGCAAAAGAAGACTTTTTGCCAAGAAATGATGCTGAATATGTACCATACTGGTTAAACTTGACTGGTGAAAAAGCGTCTCAAGTAGGCAAACGAATCAAAGAACACTACTATGGAAATCAAGTTCCTAGCGACAAAAACAAGGATTGTTATTTCGATTATATCGCTGATTCATTCTTTCTCACAGCCATCAACGGTTTTGCCGATCAATTGATTAAAACATCCAATAATAAGGTATACTTATACTGTTTCGACGCAGAAACCGAATTAAACCAATTCAAAAAGTTGTTTGACAAATCTAATCAATACAAAGGTGTTTGTCACGGGGACGATACATTGTATATGTTCAAAACCAATATGAGCCCAGTTATAAAAGAAGATAGCAAAGAGAATTATGCAATTCAAAGACATACAACATGGTGGGTCAACTTTGCCAAGTATTCAAACCCAAATGGATTAGAGCCGAATCCACTTTTAGGAGTTACTTGGCCCGAAGCAACAAAAAAGATGGAATATCTACATATCGACAATACTACAAAGGTTAAATCTAATTTTGGAGAACAAAGTACCAAATTTTGGAATTCAATCGAAGCAGAATGTTAAACATTCTTTCGAAAACACAAACATTAGTAAGGTAATTCTTATTCACATATATTTAGCATTACGTTCTGTAAAGTATATGAATCAATCAACAAGCGTTAAATTACGGTAATTTTACAAGCAAATATCACAATTTATCAATATGTAAGCGAGACGTAGATTATTATGTTTGATTTTAAAACAAGTAAATAGGTTTATATTTTAAATAATACAAATTTGTACACGTACACGTAGTTGTAAATGATGCATTATAATTTTATTAAAATATTAAAACTATTTGAATTTAATGTAATGTGTGAACTGGGTAAGTCTTGATAAATACTTGTTTACTTTCAGATATCTGTTCGCAGGCAAAACAAATACATTACACAGTGCTAGCACAGCGCCAGCACATTTATGATTAAATAAAAGAGGCAGATCTTATAACGCGGGAGAACCTAAAATTTTGTAGGTTTCAATTTAATAAAGAACAACAAAGTTCACCACATTGTGGCAGATGAAAACTCATCGTGATGCCGTTATTTTACTAAATTTGTGGACCTTAAAAACGTTTTAAATTATATAAGTTATCATAGAGCTTCACATTAAAAAATACTTGAGTTGTAAGTGTTTGTTTCACTCAAATAACATAAACTAAATTTTATATTAAATGAATAAACACTCTATAAACCATTATATAAATGGGCTAAATCATGTAATTGTAATAGCCAATCATTGCCAATCTACGTGATTATTAACAATGTCAGGTTTAGAATTACTCGCCAAGGTCTCATAATGTACTTGACTGCTGTAGCACATAAGTTTCGTTTTTATTCGCAGTTTTTAGTCAAGCACAGTGCACCGAAGTGATTCAACCATGACACACGAAATTCTGGTTACAATTAAAGAAGGGCTATTGCGTGGCAATTTAGAGAAGACTCACAATGGTTATACATATTTTTCATTTATAGGCATTCCTTACGCCAAACCGGTCGTTGGAGATTTAAAATTTAAAGTAAGTGCTTTATATATCAAGGTTATAACAATTATATAATTAGTATCAGAATAGATTAAAATAAAGAAAATATTTCAAGGCCCCTCAACCTCCTCAGCCTTGGGAGGGCATTTTAGAAGCAAATAAAGAAAATAACCAATGCATTGGAAAAGATTTTGTACACAATTCCACTGTAGGGGACTTTGATTGCCTATATTTAAACACTTACACCCCTCAACTACCCCAACAAAATGTTCCCCTTAAGCCCGTTATGGTTTGGATCCATGGTGGTGCATTCGTTAGCGGCTCAAAAGATCGAATCATGTATGACCCTGAATATTTCATGGATAAGGATGTTGTTGTGGTTGCAATTAATTACCGGCTTGGAGCTTTAGGTAATGATAGTACAACATATTAGAAACTTTTATGCAATAAAAAACATCAATCAAAATTTATAGGCTTTCTAAGCTTAAAAGATCCAAAACTAGGTGTTTCGGGTAATGCAGGATTAAAAGATCAAGTAATGGCAATGAAATGGGTACAGAGAAACATTGCGGCGTTTGGGGGTGATCCAAACAACGTAACATTGTTTGGAGAAAGTGCCGGAGGTGCTGCTGTTTCTTATCAATTACTGTCTCCAATGTCAAAGGGTTTATTTCACAAAGCTATTATCCAGAGCGGAGTCGCAACTTGTTCATGGGCAGAAGGACATACTGATCTTTCAAAAGAGCTTATGAAGGCTATGGGAAAAACAGCATCAAGTGAAGCAGAAATTCTTGCCATTTTAGAAAACGCCACGAGAGACGAATTGATTAATGCTCAAGAGAAAGTCCCAGATGTAAGATTATTTTGAACTTCATATATCCATTTAGTAAACAAAATTAATCGACAATTTTCTATTAGATTTGGAAGCCGTGCAAACAAAGGTATTTGAGCCCAACTGTCGAGACATCAACTAGTGAAGAGCGTTTCCTTCCGGACTCTCCGATTAACATTCTAAAATCTGGAAATTACAATAAAGTTCCAGTTATTATAGGTGCAACTTCAAACGAAGGACTTCTGATGAATATCATCACAATGCATCTTAAAGATGACATAGAACCGGCGAATGACGCTGAGTATGCTCCATATTGGCTGAATGTATCCCATGAAAAGGCAGTTCAGGTGGGCAAAAGAATCAAAGATCACTACTACACCGGCAAAATTCCCAGTGATGAAAACAAACAGTGCTACTACGATTACATCTCCGACACCTATTTTCTTCGAGCCATTTTCAACTTTGCCAAAACTCTAATTGAGACATCTAATAATGATGTTTACCTTTACTACTTTGATCAAGTCACAAACTTGAACCAATTCAAACAATTATTCAATGGAGCAAATTATGAGGGTGCTTGTCACGGGGAAGATTTATTGTACATGTTTAAAACCGCTATGAGTCCAGCGGTAGATGTGAATAGTAAGGAATATCTTGGTATTCAGAGACTTACAACATGGTTGACCAACTTCGCCAAGTGTTCTAACCCAAATGGATTAGAACTCAATCCACTTTTAGGAGAAACGTGGCCAGCAGCAACGGAGAACCTGGAATATTTAAATATCGACAATACTACCTCAGTTAAGACAAATTTTGGGAAAAATGTCACTGAATTTTGGGACTCCATTGAAGCCGAATGTTGAACAAAGTCAGCGTTTGTTTCCATTATGTTAAAGCATTTTATTTTGCGTACATTGTATTCAAATAATTAATTGTTTTAAAACTAATAAACTACATACTCTTAAAACCGTATTATTTTTTATTAATTCAATGAAGTTGATGTAAGTAAAGCTACCCCTCGCTCGTAGAAGCTGTGTGGATCTTGTCCAGGCGAAATATTTAAATCCACTGTAAATAGCAATTCCGTACGAGTCGAATTCAAATATACTGGTAGTGACAATCTCCCATTTAAAAGTTTGTCACCGCTCACTACACGTACCCAGCGCAAAAGCGTGATTGGCAATTCAATCATAATGCTGGAAGTAAGAAGCAGTTGATTATTCTTGCATTGTGCACCCTGCAACTTAACACCAACGACAGCAAAACAGTCTGATGGGACCTTGCTCTTATCTTGGGTATCGGTAATCGTTACATCAAGTTGTAATTCCTCCAATGGCCAGCTATTAGCTTGTGCCACACATTGCCTTGTCGCAGTAATATAAGCTTCCGGATTTAAGAGACCTCCCAGCCATACAGGAAGCTTTGAAGCTCCTTTGCGCCAGCGCTAGATACCAAACTAGAAACTTCTTGCAGCTGCTTAACACGCTGACTAAAATCGGTAATCCATTGAATGACAGTGCATCCCCGCGGAACAGTGTATCTGCGCCAGTTACCCGGCAACATGCCTCGAACCAGTTCGCTGATCATTACACGGTGATAATTCGTCTGTTTCTTCGTTGCCTGACAGATCATGACTACATCGTTCAAGTCGTGAATAACTTCGATGAGCAGCTTGGATCCACAGTTGACTTCTCGTTCAAAGTAACGATACAACGGATCTTTAATGTTTTCCACAGTACGTTTTAACGTGTTCAAGCTCTTCGGCAACAATTTCAACCATGTTTCGGCTGAATTGTGCAGCGTCTTCATCCAAGACGGCCTGCCATCACCTTGTTCAGGATGTTCTTGCGAAATGTCTTCAACGCTGTAAGCGAGCTCGTCATCGTCCTCTAACTGTTGCATCTTCAGCAAGTTGCTAATTAAGTCAGTCCCCCGTGTTGTAAGCAATACTTTCTCCGCATTGTTCGGGAGTCCAAGCCAACTAGGTGTCTGCCTTTCTACTAGAGACTCGATCCACTTCAAGAAATGATCACGACGGGTGCCGTCAGGCATTGTAATGTTTCTATTAGAATTCGAGCTGCCGTCGATGTTCCCAACAAGAGCAAAGTCCACTTCAAAACTGTGAGGTGTAAATAGTTTAGTGAGGAATGAATGTAGAAGTCGTTGATCGAATACGTTATCAATTTTGCCACCGTAAATTGATTGGGACAGCAAAGTAACAAGTGCATCCCATGGTACTTTCTCTGGCGGCAAGTTTGTGCGTCCCATCGCAGTGCTCTCAATCCAAGTGTCCAAAGTATCGCAAGCCACTCGCAGATCGGACTCATTGAACTCGTAATATTTAGCCCAACCCAGGGGTACATAACGCAATCGTTCTTGTACGATGGAGTGGAACCAGGCCAGTAAGAAGTACAATCGAGCGCGTTCACTAGGGGCTTTCATCATGCGACTAGCCGGAACCGTACTAAACGTGCGCAACAAGTTAGCTCGAATACCTGGCGGTGGTTCAAATACGAAGATTCTTCCAGCTTTTTTTCCAAATTTTGGAATTCAATCGAAGCAGAATGTTAAACATTCTTTCGAAAACACAAACATTAGTAAGGTAATTCTTATTCACATATATTTAGCATTACGTTCTGTAAAGTATATGAATCAATCAACAAGCGTTAAATTACGGTAATTTTACAAGCAAATATCACAATTTATCAATATGTAAGCGAGACGTAGATTATTATGTTTGATTTTAAAACAAGTAAATAGGTTTATATTTTAAATAATACAAATTTGTACACGTACACGTAGTTGTAAATGATGCATTATAATTTTATTAAAATATTAAAACTATTTGAATTTAATGTAATGTGTGAACTGGGTAAGTCTTGATAAATACTTGTTTACTTTCAGATATCTGTTCGCAGGCAAAACAAATACATTACACAGTGCTAGCACAGCGCCAGCACATTTATGATTAAATAAAAGAGGCAGATCTTATAACGCGGGAGAACCTAAAATTTTGTAGGTTTCAATTTAATAAAGAACAACAAAGTTCACCACATTGTGGCAGATGAAAACTCATCGTGATGCCGTTATTTTACTAAATTTGTGGACCTTAAAAACGTTTTAAATTATATAAGTTATCATAGAGCTTCACATTAAAAAATACTTGAGTTGTAAGTGTTTGTTTCACTCAAATAACATAAACTAAATTTTATATTAAATGAATAAACACTCTATAAACCATTATATAAATGGGCTAAATCATGTAATTGTAATAGCCAATCATTGCCAATCTACGTGATTATTAACAATGTCAGGTTTAGAATTACTCGCCAAGGTCTCATAATGTACTTGACTGCTGTAGCACATAAGTTTCGTTTTTATTCGCAGTTTTAGTCAAGCACAGTGCACCGAAGTGATTCAACCATGACACACGAAATTCTGGTTACAATTAAAGAAGGGCTATTGCGTGGCAATTTAGAGAAGACTCACAATGGTTATACATATTTTTCATTTATAGGCATTCCTTACGCCAAACCGGTCGTTGGAGATTTAAAATTTAAAGTAAGTGCTTTATATATCAAGGTTATAACAATTATATAATTAGTATCAGAATAGATTAAAATAAAGAAAATATTTCAAGGCCCCTCAACCTCCTCAGCCTTGGGAGGGCATTTTAGAAGCAAATAAAGAAAATAACCAATGCATTGGAAAAGATTTTGTACACAATTCCACTGTAGGGGACTTTGATTGCCTATATTTAAACACTTACACCCCTCAACTACCCCAACAAAATGTTCCCCTTAAGCCCGTTATGGTTTGGATCCATGGTGGTGCATTCGTTAGCGGCTCAAAAGATCGAATCATGTATGACCCTGAATATTTCATGGATAAGGATGTTGTTGTGGTTGCAATTAATTACCGGCTTGGAGCTTTAGGTAATGATAGTACAACATATTAGAAACTTTTATGCAATAAAAAACATCAATCAAAATTTATAGGCTTTCTAAGCTTAAAAGATCCAAAACTAGGTGTTTCGGGTAATGCAGGATTAAAAGATCAAGTAATGGCAATGAAATGGGTACAGAGAAACATTGCGGCGTTTGGGGGTGATCCAAACAACGTAACATTGTTTGGAGAAAGTGCCGGAGGTGCTGCTGTTTCTTATCAATTACTGTCTCCAATGTCAAAGGGTTTATTTCACAAAGCTATTATCCAGAGCGGAGTCGCAACTTGTTCATGGGCAGAAGGACATACTGATCTTTCAAAAGAGCTTATGAAGGCTATGGGAAAAACAGCATCAAGTGAAGCAGAAATTCTTGCCATTTTAGAAAACGCCACGAGAGACGAATTGATTAATGCTCAAGAGAAAGTCCCAGATGTAAGATTATTTTGAACTTCATATATCCATTTAGTAAACAAAATTAATCGACAATTTTCTATTAGATTTGGAAGCCGTGCAAACAAAGGTATTTGAGCCCAACTGTCGAGACATCAACTAGTGAAGAGCGTTTCCTTCCGGACTCTCCGATTAACATTCTAAAATCTGGAAATTACAATAAAGTTCCAGTTATTATAGGTGCAACTTCAAACGAAGGACTTCTGATGAATATCATCACAATGCATCTTAAAGATGACATAGAACCGGCGAATGACGCTGAGTATGCTCCATATTGGCTGAATGTATCCCATGAAAAGGCAGTTCAGGTGGGCAAAAGAATCAAAGATCACTACTACACCGGCAAAATTCCCAGTGATGAAAACAAACAGTGCTACTACGATTACATCTCCGACACCTATTTTCTTCGAGCCATTTTCAACTTTGCCAAAACTCTAATTGAGACATCTAATAATGATGTTTACCTTTACTACTTTGATCAAGTCACAAACTTGAACCAATTCAAACAATTATTCAATGGAGCAAATTATGAGGGTGCTTGTCACGGGGAAGATTTATTGTACATGTTTAAAACCGCTATGAGTCCAGCGGTAGATGTGAATAGTAAGGAATATCTTGGTATTCAGAGACTTACAACATGGTTGACCAACTTCGCCAAGTGTTCTAACCCAAATGGATTAGAACTCAATCCACTTTTAGGAGAAACGTGGCCAGCAGCAACGGAGAACCTGGAATATTTAAATATCGACAATACTACCTCAGTTAAGACAAATTTTGGGAAAAATGTCACTGAATTTTGGGACTCCATTGAAGCCGAATGTTGAACAAAGTCAGCGTTTGTTTCCATTATGTTAAAGCATTTTATTTTGCGTACATTGTATTCAAATAATTAATTGTTTTAAAACTAATAAACTACATACTCTTAAAAACCGTATTATTTTTTATTAATTCAATGAAGTTGATGTAAGTAAAGCTACCCCTCGCTCGTAGAAGCTGTGTGGATCTTGTCCAGGCGAAATATTTAAATCCACTGTAAATAGCAATTCCGTACGAGTCGAATTCAAATATACTGGTAGTGACAATCTCCCATTTAAAAGTTTGTCACCGCTCACTACACGTACCCAGCGCAAAAGCGTGATTGGCAATTCAATCATAATGCTGGAAGTAAGAAGCAGTTGATTATTCTTGCATTGTGCACCCTGCAACTTAACACCAACGACAGCAAAACAGTCTGATGGGACCTTGCTCTTATCTTGGGTATCGGTAATCGTTACATCAAGTTGTAATTCCTCCAATGGCCAGCTATTAGCTTGTGCCACACATTGCCTTGTCGCAGTAATATAAGCTTCCGGATTTAAGAGACCTCCCAGCCATACAGGGAAGCTTTGAAGCTCCTTTGCGCCAGCGCTAGATACCAAACTAGAAACTTCTTGCAGCTGCTTAACACGCTGACTAAAATCGGTAATCCATTGAATGACAGTGCATCCCCGCGGAACAGTGTATCTGCGCCAGTTACCCGGCAACATGCCTCGAACCAGTTCGCTGATCATTACACGGTGATAATTCGTCTGTTTCTTCGTTGCCTGACAGATCATGACTACATCGTTCAAGTCGTGAATAACTTCGATGAGCAGCTTGGATCCACAGTTGACTTCTCGTTCAAAGTAACGATACAACGGATCTTTAATGTTTTCCACAGTACGTTTTAACGTGTTCAAGCTCTTCGGCAACAATTTCAACCATGTTTCGGCTGAATTGTGCAGCGTCTTCATCCAAGACGGCCTGCCATCACCTTGTTCAGGATGTTCTTGCGAAATGTCTTCAACGCTGTAAGCGAGCTCGTCATCGTCCTCTAACTGCTGCATCTTCAGTAAGTTGCTAATTAAGTCAGTCCCCCGTGTTGTAAGCAACACTTTCTCCGCATTGTTCGGGAGTCCAAGCCAACTAGGTGTCTGCCTTTCTACTAGAGACTCGATCCACTTCAAGAAATGATCACGACGGGTACCGTCAGGCATTGTAATGTTTCTATTAGAATTCGAGCTCCCATCGATGTTACCAACAAGAGCAAAGTCCACTTCAAAACTGTGAGGTGTAAATAGTTTAGTGAGGAAAGAATGTAGAAGTCGTTGATCGAATACGTTATCAATTTTGCCACCGTAAATTGATTGGGACAGCAAAGTAACAAGTGCATCCCATGGTACTTTCTCTGGCGGCAAGTTTGTGCGTCCCATCGCAGTGCTCTCAATCCAAGTGTCCAAAGTATCGCAAGCCACTCGCAGATCGGACTCATTGAACTCGTAATATTTAGCCCAACCCAGGGGTACATAACGCAATCGTTCTTGTACGATGGAGTGGAACCAGGCCAGTAAGAAGTACAATCGAGCGCGTTCACTAGGGGCTTTCATCATGCGACTAGCCGGAACCGTACTAAACGTGCGCAACAAGTTCGCTCGAATACCTGGCGGTGGTTCAAATACGAAGATTCTTCCAGCTCTCAACAAATTAACCGGTAATTTAGGATTAATCTCCATTGTTAGGAATAGACGGAAGTTTGCATGTGGCTGCAACGAATGCAACTTTTTCTCGAGTTGTACCAACCATTGCGGCGCCAAATGTACATTTTTCAGCATAACCCAACGACCTGTCTTGCAGGCCATGTTTATGGCGCGTTCGGCTTGGTTGAAACCTTCAGCAGATCCAATAGCGATACTCGATATTTGTTTATTCAACTCGGCTGCAAGATCATCCACCCTCCCGGAAGCGTCAAATCCAGGAACGGAACAAAGCAATGCCGGCACGTTGGCACGTAGTTCCTTCTCGACAACCGCACCAAAATCAAGCTCATCTTCCGCCTTCTGCATGTAGTTGTCTCCCAAAACAGCATCGACAAAAACATGTGCCGCCGCAATCACCCGATCAGGCCTGAATGCTTGTATTAGCAACATCTGGTACATTGCCGTACCAATGGAACTCAGAGGCTTTTCTTCTTGCCACAATCGTGGTACATTTTGCTCTGGGGTACCCTGTTGTATCCACGCTGAAAACTCTGGCATTTCTTGTATTTTCTCCGGCAACTTTCTAAACGCAGACAGGCGTGATGCCAATCTCATCAGAGCTTCCTGTTGTTCGCTCAACAGACCATCAATAACTTCCCCGTCCTGCCTGTTAAAGACACCCTCTTTGCAGCGCAAAAAGAAGTTGAACTCTTCGTCCAAATTCGGTTCGTTTGCAACACCTTTGAGATGAATGCGACACAATAGTAGAGCCAATGTAAGACGATCCGTGTGTAGCATACCACGTGCTACGCGCTCATAGCAAACGGAGAATAAATCTTGCGTAATAATTTTTAACCTGGCTTGGTGATCGGAAAGAGCCTCTAGACGTGGATTACTCAGCAGCACACTGCTGAACATGTCCAAAAACATTTTCAGTGAATACTGATACAAGAAATGAACTTGATTCAAGCTGTCCATGGTGAAGTATGTATTACTGCACGCCTGAGAAAGTGGCAAATATTGTTGGGACACAGTTTCAATCTCTGAGATTACCTTATCGGTTTCCTCCACCTTTTGGCCAATCTCAGCGGCCTCCTGCTTGAGTGTTTCCAGTGTTGTAATCACACTATCATCGTCCAGAATCTTACCCTTAGCGTCGTTAAGTGCTTGCAACAAAGATTTCTCCAACTGTCTCAAACGCAAGTGGAACTCACCTTGCAATTTCAGCAAATCTGAACGCTTCTCATCAATATCGGGGCGCTCCGCTTTAAGTACCTTGTTCAAACACTGACTCTGCAATGAGCTTCTAGTCACAGTAAAGTTGACAAATGTAACTCTCGAACAAATATCTGGTGGGAACTCCACGGTCGGATCCCTAGTCGAAAGGAATATAACAAATGTAGGCGAGAGATCAATATCCTGATCACCAAGGGTAATCAACACTCGTCCGCCAGTTCTGCGCAATTCTCTGTTCAGTACGGGATTCAAAATCGGATCATAGTTTTCAACATCCTGCACTAGCAGAGGATTACCAAATCGTAGAGCTGACTCCAAATTCTTGCGGAATGAGTCGTCCAAGAAGCTAGTCTTGGTGATGCGCTTTTCTTTGAATTCATTCATGATGAACTCGGTGGCCTGGCCAGATGGATCGATTATAAGTGGGTAACGGTTAAAGCGTTTAATCATAATTGCATTTTCAGTGCACAGATCATCCGTTGGAAGGGCATTTGCCTGCCAGCGAAGACGTTCATCTGGATTAGACAAGTATTCGGTACGGGCAATATCAGGTCTGTATTGAATGCCCGCCTGGGTGAGATGTTGAGTCCAAGTTGTAAACAAATTTTGACGATAATGCTGATCGAAATAACCACCATACGCAATAAAAGCAGACGTCAGAAGAACATCACCAAGAATTGTAGACATTTGCGATCGGAACGTCTCGCTCGTTGCTTCCCAGCGTTCCCGTTCGATAACCAAAGATTTAATCAGAGCAATAGAACGATCTACCTTTGCCTGCACATTTTCCAAATCGCTCTTGATGGCCTGCGCTTGGGCGATCAATTGAGCATATTCTTCCTTATAGGATGCAATACTCTGCTCCAATTGACTGATGAGGTTCTTCATTTCATCGCCACGCTTCTTATTAGTTTCTGCTTGCACCTCCAATGAGTTCAATTCTTCGCGAAGTGGCTCTACCTTCTTCAACATATCGGCGTACAGAATCTGTGCCAAAGCCCATTTCACAAGAGGACCACAAGCGTTACTAGCATGGTTAACTTTCTCAAAGTTGTAATCTGGGTTGCTCAGGTAACGACTTCTCATTTTTTCGCGTACGTCATCAGTTATATCTTCTGTGTTAAAGTTAGATACAATAGTATTGATAAAGTTATCGCGCATAATGACTGCACGAATAGACTTCCAATCACTGGCGTTTTCGCCGAGCAGTAGACAAATGGATTCAAGTGCCAGCTTGACAACAGCAGGTGGATTCGCCATTGTTCGAATTTCAACTAATTGCTGCTTCTTGATCGATTTCACGGCAGCTTGGGCATCAACTACAGCAGGTTCGACTTGTGCGAGATCAGCCATAACTTCAGTACGCTTCTGTTCAATATGCACTGTTTGCAATGCCAGTTGTTGCTGAATTTCCTGGCTCTGTACCTTCTTCTTTTCCGCCTCCTGTTGATCTTTGACCATCTGCTTCAGTTTGGCATTAGCAGCTTCATTCTTGGCTTGTAATTCTTGCGATTTCACGGCTAAACTCTTTTGCATGTCTTCAACCTGCACGACGGTCTCAGCAATCTTACTTAAACCAACGTTCAGATGGTATTGCTGCTCCTCCAAGTCAGAACGTTTTTCGTTGTGTAGTTTCACGAAATGATGAATAAAGTCGAGGTAATGCCTTGGCGTGATTGCCATCGTGCGACTTCCCCGCTTACCAAGTCGAGCATTGGCCTTGTGAAGAGTTTGATGAACATAAACAAACGCATTTATAACTGCTTCACGATGTGTAGGTGTAGTAGAAATTCTATTGCATGCTGACGGGAAGAAATCAGGAATCTTCCAGTTCGGTCGATCCAAGTCAACACGATTAGTGAACTCCTTGCCTACCTGGAAAAGTGCTCCGTCAGACCAATCTCCAAACCAATTCAAAACGCAACGATTGAACAAGGCGGGTGATGTTGCAGCCCGATCCTTCAGTCCATCTGTTGACGGATTCATAGTAAAGACAACGTGCAAGTTGCGCATCACCTGACCGGTGAACCATTTATACAGTTCATCATTAGAATCCAGCATTAGGCCTTCGCGCTGTGCGCCTTCTTTGCACTGAGTCATTAATGTAGTGTATTCGTCCCCTTCAAATAAGCCGGGCACTTCCCCGTTTGCCAACAAAGTATTCATGCGTTCTAAGAAACTCGAGTCCAACATATTGGATTCATCGAGAATGAATGCGATCTTTTCATCCTTGCAGCCGCTGCGGCGCAAAACTTGACGCAAATCTTCATCGAAGTCTTCAGCGGTGTATTTATTGTGAACTTTAATTTGGAAGACGGACAGTCCATTCATCCATGCAACAAATCGAGATAATGTTGTTTTGCCGGCACCAGATACTCCAATTAGCAATAGATGACCCTGCGGTTGCCTAAATATTCGATCAATCCTCAGCACGTGATCCAATACTTCATCAAACAGCACCAGTGGTACATCCAGTTCCTCTTCGTAGAATATCTTTAGCCTTGCCTTGACGTAATCTCTAAGACGATCTCTCTCAACAGGAACATAGTCCTTCGACAACCAGTTGCTGTACAAAATAGGTCGCTCTAATGCAGAATCACAATTCGCAGACGGGAAATGCTTCTGTGCCACAGCATCGATGTTATCATTGGTCCAACGCCTCTCAACATCTTCAACCAACCTGTCTTGGAACAATCTCAATGCCTCGTGAGCCCATAAACGAACAAGTCCTTCGATCGGAAGATTATCCAACGGGCGAATGGCCTCGCATATACCGCGCACCCATCTGGTCATCTCACGCGGTGAATAAACATAGTGCGGTTGCATGTCTTGGGTAAATTTATCCTGCGATGCCAAGTAGAATTCTACCATTGCGTTTGTCAAAGGTTCGGCGTAACCGCGAAGGGCAGGCATCAATCGAAGCATTGCGCGCGTGAATGTGCCATAAATTTGCTTTAATGATGTTTCTCCAGGATAATCGACGTAAATAACAGGTACATGTCTCATGAATCGATGGGATAAAGGCTTTCTCCCAGGATCCGTCGGAGGATTGCAAGCACCAACAAACTGAATGCGCTCCAATGAAACCCAAGTTTGGTCGGATGCCCGGTAAAATCCTTTCTGCTCCACCAATTGACGCAGGAACATAATAACACGTTGTGTACCGTAGTTGTCCATATCTGGCAGATTGATTTCATCGCAGAAGAGTACCAACCATTTACCCAACTGGACTGGAGACAACACCATACCGTTTGGCGTTTTACGATATTCGCAATAATGATCGAACGTTTTCAAGAGTAACTCCGGAGTTGTGGCGGATGAAAAATTCAATCCCACGACTTCCATGTCTGGTAAAGCCCGCAAGGCAGAAAATAGGGTCATTGTTTTGCCAGAACCAGGAGGGCCACAAAGTACTAACGGTTTGTGCTCCGCTAGCCAGGTGTATAATAAAGACTCATGACGGACAGTATCCAAAGTCGGTACGACAATATCTGGAGAAGCAACCTTATGTGTTTCCACTTCGATTTGAGGTACTTTGTTTGACCACGGTTGCCAATCCCCATTTATATTTACCTCATAGTCCACAATCGGAATATTAGACACTGGTGGCAACGGAACCGTAGTCACACTTCTGATAAAATCGCCCAAATCAGAACGTACTTTAAGCTTGGCATCGCCAGCAAAACTCCATAGCAATGAATAAATCAAGCATTTTGGTATATACTGTTCGAGCTGTTCAGCTGGTAACGGAAAATCGGAGTGCGCATGATTATAATTCAGTACGTTTCGAACGCACTGATTCAACATTGAGAAGAGTGAACTCAGTGCTCTCAATCGTGTAAAATCCATGATGTGTTCTTGTTCCATGGCATATTCCAAACATTTGATAACCAAACCGTCGGGTTGCAAGAAAGGTTGTAAAATTTTTGCAACTTCGTTTTGTAGTTGCAGCGTAGGATTAAGTGTTTCGTCTGAATCAACTTTGCTTTTCTTGCCAAAAGTGTCATCATCACCTTCCTCCAATGGAATGCTATTCAGTGACATAATGAAATGCTCGAAAATCATTTCTGTCGATAGCACGTCCTCCGAGAACCAAACCATACCGCAACGCGAAACAGTCGCCAACGTAGCATACTTCAAATCTTGCACCTCAAACATGATGCGAACGTTCGGAGGCAACGACAATCGCTCACCATTCGGTAGAGTAAGTAGTTTGTTGTCATCGAGAACAGAGTTCAAGTTTTCGACCCATTCGGGATCTACATCACCATCAAAGATAATCCATTGCCGTTTGTTAATTTCGCCACGCACGTTGTCGATGATCTTACGCAAGATATGCGTGAATAATCCATCGGTCCATTCTCGTGTGTTTGGGTCCAAGACACCATACAACGCTTCCTTGCTGATTGCTTTAGGATCGATCACGTGAGCAACGCCTTCGATTCCTTCAAAGCGTTCCAAAGCCTTTAGCAATACGTGCCATGCTGAACTCTTGCCAGAACCACTCGGGCCCACCATCATCAGACCATGATTCAAGTTGGAGATTTGATATAGTTGGAGTACCTAAACAGAAATCCATGTTAAGTAAATCACAATAAAATTCAAGCCAAAATATAAACGTGCAAACGTGACCTGTAGTCAGTACCTTCTCTATCCAGGTATCTCCAATAATACCCTTCTAACGTGAAAGCATAAAATATAAAACTGTGCTAAAGTTCTAATTCACACAAACAGTATATAAACAGCATATGTACAGACTTATAAACTTCTGCAAAATTATAGTGTACAAAAATTCTACCAACAGAATAGAGAGCATTCTTACCTTTTCCATCCAAGCCGAGCCCTGTTCCTCTCCTTCCCCGCAGACTAAATACTCCTCTTGACATACTTTACGAATTTCGTCCTTCAATCCTTTCATCTCTGCTCTGGTGTACTGAACGTTCGGGAAGACGTCACTTAACAAACTAAACAGCAGTGGAATGTCCTCAGCGACCAATTTCGGTACCATGGTCTCACATACGGATTGAATTAAAATCTCTTGTTCCGGCAAATTCTCAGCAATGCTCGCTTCATCAATATTAGTTTCCCCACGTTGACGCATATTTTCTTTTATCCTCATGATGCGATCCCGCTTTACATTACCAGCCGACACGAGTACAGATTTCAGCGCTCGTAGGCCAAAGTCGTAATGCGATTGGTTTGACAATTGTTCATCACAAAGTTTGAAGAAAGGAACAATCTTTGAGGCGAGTTTTTCAGCACTGCGAAAACCTTGCGAGAATAACATCACTTCCGCAATAAGTTGACGATCTGGTGTAGTCATTGCAAGAGATCGGAAGAGTTTCTTCAAGTTATCTGGTAAGTTGCTGCGGCCAGCATAGCCCGGATTCATAGTGATGAAAATGGCCATGTCGGGTGATACCCTCACTTGTTTGCCAACCAACTCGACGCTAATGCTGCCGCTGGAAAGATTATCCTGCCCTGATTCGCGTTGGGATTTGAGTGCCTCCTGAATGGTCTGTACTTGTTGCGATACGGCGGACAGCATACGTTCCTCGAGACGATTGAACTCGTCGAAACAGCCCCATGCACCAACTTGGCACAACCCAACGAAAATCCGACCCATCGCTTGGAAGTCAAAGGTTTCATCGCAGTTAAATACGAGTACAAAACGACCGAGTTGGTTGCCCAAAGCCTTGACAGATTCAGTTTTTCCAGTGCCGGCGGGACCGAAGGGTGAACCGCCAAGCCTCGCCTCCAAAGCTTGCGTCATTGTTAAGTAACAACGATCCGTAAGAGGTGTTTGCACCAGACGATCCTGGACGCCAAGATATTCAAATCCATAATAAAATCTTGCGTTTGCCATATGTATGGTGAGTTGTTTGAGAACTTCAGACTGTCGTGGATCGAAGTAGAAACGCATTTCACAAAGCCATTCAAAGGCTTTGCTACTGCATATTCCGTTGGTTATTAATTTCCGTGTCACAGTGCGTTTATGAACGAATTCATTGATCTGTACAAAAAATAAACACAACACATTATAAAAAATACTTGCAACACTAAAAGAAACTTACCAAATGTTCCAATTTCTTTCGACGAAGTTGCGGCTGCTCTTGCAGCACTGAATCAGCAAGAACATTTAGTGTATTCTCAACATGTTGAAGGACCTGCTCAAGAACTCCCTTCTGTGGTTCGCTGTTCATCTTGACCAGGGCAGCTTCAACATCTTCACTCCAAAGAATTTGCGCCGCCAACACCACAATCTGCGCCTCGTACTTGTCCACCCAATTGATGAATGCTTTTGAGTCAATGTTATCCTTAAACTGCTTAATATCTTGTACAGCCTGCGCTAGACTAGACGCCAAAGTAACGCGCATTTCCTTCTCCACCATTGTTAGCCATTCGTTAATCTTGGGATGTTCCACAGTTGAAATCGCATTCAAGAAACGTACTTCTTCACCCTCCCGAGAAGCAATACCCAGAATCACGGTGCTATCTTCGTTGAGAAGAATTGATGCCACTCCGGCAAACATTTTCTTAAAGTGTTTTTGCAAGCGGGCAATATTTTTACTGTTGCCAATAATTTCCAGCAAATCTTCATCGCCGACGAAATAAAAGCGAGGGAAAGAAGTACGCTCGCGCTCAAGGTATTCACCCAACGCCTTTTGAATCTTGCCTAGCAAATCAGCAAGTCTTTCGAGGGCTTTCTGCACTCCCTGTATGTTGAGTACGTCCATAACCATTGGTGATTTACTCACTTTCTTCATAAGTCCCAAAAATTCCGAGCTAATGCTTTGAAATCTTGATGTTTCCACAGGTAATAACGTTTTGATGTCAGCACTGCCAGAAAAGATGCCTTCCAAATAAACCCATCGCCGTTGCACATCAATCCACACATCAAACAGAGCATTTATTCTATTCAGTTTTTCCTCCCATGTTAAAGCTTCCTCTTCAAAGACCTTATAATACGGAGATAGCTTCATAGCAGCCACCGAATTGATGTGTTCTTTAACTTTATTGAACAAATCATCCCAACCTCTGATAAGTTTCGTCTTGCTTTGATAGTTTATCAAATCCAGCTCGTAAGTCTGCCAACTCTCGCGTACCTGTTTCAAAAATTCTTCCAGAGCCATCTCACCTTGCGCCACTTGAATCACCTCTTTAACAACTTGTTCGTTCTTCTGTAAATTGACATTCCATACTTGTCCCAGTGTCAGGTCGGACAAGATCCAACTAACTCGCAAGTGACGCATAAGTTGTTTCCAATGGCGTTCTTTCAGTGCGTCAGACTTCAACTCGACAATCATCATATTCACCTTTGTATATGTCTGTAATGTTTTCTTAACATATTCGTATGAAGCGTATTGACGCAGCCTGGCCGGTAATTCTTTAAGTTGAGCGGACATCGCGTCCAACTGTTGGCGAAGTTTGCGCGGCTGTACTGAGAGCCAGGGCTTTTCGCGAGTTTCATCAATTTGTGTCCAGATCTTGGACAATTCTGACCAGACGCCACGCAGATCCTGCAACTCTTCGAACACGACCTGCATTTTATCTTCGCTGGTGTTGATTCCACCGGTTTCTTGTAATTCAAGCGCTTCTTTAGCCCTAGCTACCTTGTCGCGCTCTTCTTTGAGGCGAGCAAATTTGCTTTCGAACAACTGAAGTTGTACCAGTGCTTCGTCAGGTCGGAGATGTCCCTCGATTGGTTTACAGCGCTCCCAATCTCCAAGGAAATCATTAGTGCGGCTTTCAACGGCCTTATCCTCAGACATAATCTTCTGCTGAATGCTCGCCACCTGCGTTTGAATAGTGTTATCCTTGCGCTTGATGATCTCGTTAAATGCACTCCATTCACCCTCCAAGTTCTCAACATGCAGCCAATTATTCGGAAATTGGAAACGTTGGCGTTCCAAAATGCGTTGTCCTTCACGATAAGTAGATACTTGCTTTTCCCAAGACTTCATATTCCGCTTCAAATTCTGCACATATGTAATCAAATTGACAGCATCCGATGTAGATGCCGCCTCAATGCTCTGCGACTCCAAATCATTTCTGGACTTGGATACATCCGTGTGGAATTGGGTCATTTCGTTGCTCAAGAGGGAGCCAAACTTACTTAAAGTTTCCTTATGCCACGAATCGTATTTAAGAGACACTTTACTCTGCACCTTGGCGAAATCAATGATTACGGGACCAAACTCCATTCTAGTATCGGACGTGTCAAAAGTAGTTCGTGTTTTCTTGATATCGTTAAGACACTGCATCCACTTGGTAATCTCTACCCCCAGTTTACCGTACAAATTATCGGCCTGCAAATCCCACAACGCTTGATAAGTTAACCATTTATTGACGTAGTTTTGAATCTCATTGATCTTGTCTGAAATTGCACGGTAGGCATCCTCCAGCGGCTTGGTCCCACCAGGCAACTTAGTTAGAATTTTTCGGTAGCTTTCGTTGCCGTGTTTATCAACTCCGACCTGATACCGAGTGCTTTGCAAACGCTGCTGCGAAGTGACAATTGCTTGCCAGGCAAACATCTGCTGCATTATTTGGAAGCGCGCTTCTTCGATGCTCGGGAATAGATACATCGTCTGATTAGTGATACGAACTTCGTGCACCACGGTTTTAATCTCAGGATCACCCCCAGGTTTGTGTGTAGGTTGCGCTGGTGCGTCGGTGTCCATAGTAGTGTCGACTTCTTTGATGTTTCCAGTGAGAGCGTTTGTCCACGCTTGGATTCCAGCCTGAAGGCGAGCCGCTAGATTCTTCTCGACTTCTTCGTCAAGGCGGGCAACCCAAATATGCAAATTGGAGTATTGCTTCAGTGACAAATCATCTACGGAGTGTTGAATCTTTGCCAAAATCTCAGCGAATGTTTGTGCTGAGTAAGGGCATGTCTCTAAGGAGCGCACGTCAACTTCCAGTTGTTCACCAACAATCACCAGCTCTTCAACGCGTTCTTGAAAGTTTACGATCGCATCCGACAAACGTTGGGAGTACGGTTCCAGTTTGTAGCTTTCCCACACGAGTTGAATACCTTCAGCGATCAGAACTTGAACATCCTTGCGCATTCCCGCGACGAGTGGCACAATGCTGGCTTTATCTTCAATCTAGAATTACAACAATTGATTACAATTTGATATCAATCATTATAAAACATCAAACATGCTTAAATCAGATATACCCTGAAGAATAAAGAAGAGAATTTAACAATCATGCCACGACGACGTTTATCATTATTAAGTATGTTGTACCTTGTTGGCTCCGGGGAGCAAATTCCGGTTCAGCTTCATACACAAACACAATCGCATTACATCGTTATCCCCTCATTAAACTACAAAATAACCTACCTTGTCTAAAGTCATCTCGTAAGCACGAATGCTTTCAATCAAAGAGATAGCAAACGGATACATCAGATTGGCGGTGTGTGCTTTGTTGACAATCGCAAGCGGTACCCGGAATCCTAGCACCTTCATATTTCGCACTTCCTTCGACAGTGTGATAATTTCAGGTAAAAAGTTGACCTTCAACTTCAGAACATTTCCTCGCCCACTCCGCGATCGCACGGCTTCGATGATAAAGATTCTACCGGCCACCCCAAGATTTCTAGCTTGCACGTTCTTGGCCCAATCTTCAAAGATGACTTCAGTCTTCAATTTGGAGCGAAAACTATCACCATCGGACTTTAATTTTTGCCCATCAATGTGGTTTTCCCATCCCTTGCCCAAAACATCCTCGACTCGCCGTAAATAAGTTGTCAGTTGGTGATCAATTTGTTTCGCCCAAATAATCGATCCCGCAACGGGCGGGAGATCGCGGACCTTGCTATTCCGGGCGCAATTACTCGCCGGATATTGCACTTTGAATTTTTCATGTAGTGCTTCAATATCGTCCTTGACACGCTGTATCAAATGTGTTTGGTACTCCCTGATAGCTCCGCGAATGTGAGGTCGCACGAATAATGCGTTAAAACGCGAAAAAATGCGGAACATTTCATTTGCATTCTTCGCAGTGCCAAGCTGATCGCGCAGATGAGCTGTGATCCGCGCTTCTACACGATCAATGCGCTCCTCGTAACGCTGAACTGCAGCATCCCAGGCATCCTGACCTTCCTTCGAGATATCCAAACAATCGACTTCTTTTACATTCTCGTATGCTAAGTTGACTTCTTCAATTGCATTGGCATCGGCAGCGTCAACGGTAAAAGTGTCGGGTTTCGGTGCTTCAAGATCAGCCATGTCTGCCTCATTGAAAGAGGACACATCCCGAATAGATGGGCGTAAAACACGCACAATAACAGTGCGCAACTGCTCATGTTGTCGGCGAAATTTGCGAATTTGCTCCATTCGCGTCTGCAGCTTCTTATGTTGCGCTGACAAACGCCACACCATTTTAAGTTGTTCATCGCGTTTCTTCTTAACGATATCACTATTGAAAAAGAAATCGATTGTAGTTCGAATCATTATAAGATAAGATTGTAAACTCACCGAAGTAATCCCTGTAGTTTCTCGTATTCATCTTCCCATGTTGAGAATACCTCGAAACATTGAGTCATTACTTTTTCAAACTCGTCGAATGGAATATGAACAAGTCTTCGTGTGCCGAGAACTTTAAGTAATTGCCCTCCGAGGTCCCTGGACACGGCTTCCACCAATCGAAGACAGCGCTGAATCGGATATTTAGTCGCTTTAACTTTTCTTAGATGTGAGAAAATCAACTGAACAGAAGCACGAATGCGCTCCAGTTCGGTAGCAGACAAAAGATCATGAATCGGGAAATCTTTCATCAACGGATTGTAGTTGTTAACCGTAGCCAACGCTTGCTTCAATCCAGTATCAGTGTCAAAAGAAACAGTGGCATGGAAACGTTTACCATGTTTTAAAATCTCTAGAGTAAGCGCAACTTCTAAACCTTCGCGTTTCTCCTGAATTCTGTGCAATGCCCTCTCCAAGTTCAACCAGAAATTGATTTCTTGTAGTGCTGTTCCTGAAGATGGATCTCTATCTAATTTCGTGACCTTCTGAATATCTTTTATCCACCTGTTGACGCCATTTTGCAAAGCGTTGAGGAAGTTTGAATCTTCCAATTTATCTCCAAAATCTGCGATCTTTGGTTTACGCCCTTCATCCGCACACTGCTTGATCATGCTAGCAACATTTGGATGGGGTGGAAGCGTCACATCTGGTATATCGATGTTCTGTTGCAAATGCAATAAGCCCATCTCCAGCTCAGCAATGGTTTTCTCAACATTAGGTGCCATCTTGTCCCCGTCCCTATCAGCACGACCTGATTCCTTCACATAGGATTTGAAGAAGGGCGCGACTGTTTTGCTGATATAGGAATGTAGGTTTTCATATGGGGAACCTTCACTAAAATTCATCACCCGTACTTGAGACCGAATGCTCTTATCAGCCTCAATAACGGCCCCGCGCTTGATAATGATAATACTAGACATTTTGGAATTGGTATAATGGACCTCATTGCTGATGTAGTAAGTGATTGGTTCTTTTTCCTCCTCGCCTTCTGTCTGATCGTCGTCATCTGCGTGTGAAACACGGGATACGTCAGCACGTCAGAAAACACCGTTAGAAAATAAAAATGGAAATGATTACGATACCTTTTGACGAATTGCGTTGAATGAACAAAGTGCTGGCCTGCGACTCCCCGATGAACTTGGCCAGGCAATCAAGGTTGTTCTTATCTTCAAGTGCAACGGTTAACGCCGGCGATTCTGAATGGCCGTCGTCTTCCGGCAGGAGCACCTGGGCCGCATGCCGCACGTAATTGATAAAATCTTTCAGTTCGACAACCACTAGATTCTGCGTCTCCGAGCCAGTTTCACTGGCCTCCAAGGAGTCGCCCATTCTTATTAGATTTGATTAGATTCTCATTTGAGTGAATATTCTATAAAACCGATCACAAAAACAGACTGACCGAACTCGATGCCACGGTATTAGTCACTCAAGTGAATTTATGTGCGCCCAACCTTACCTACATGAACACTACCCAATTGCACTGCTTGCGCGCATGCGCGTTATGCGAATGATGAGGTATATAGGTGTATGTATATACCTATTATTACAAATTGGTGACGTCATCTATTGCTGGAAAAGTAAAATTTTGCGCAAATTTAAACATTTACGATATATAGGTAGATTTCTGTACTTGATGGTGAACATCTGTGTTTCCGTATTCTAACCTAGTTGTTTTCAACCGGTGTTAATTGAAAGATATGTACTTATCTAAACCTTGTTTATCCCTTGATATCTTTAATTTTTGCAAGTCATAATTAATAAATAATTCACATATCATAATGGAAGACACAATTTGTCCAAGATGCAAAACCACCAAGTTTCAAAATCCGTCCTTAAAGATGATGGTGAATATATGTGGCCATGCACTCTGTGAAAGTTGTGTGGACTTATTGTTTCTAAAAGGTAACAATATTTATCAGCATATTATTACAATCTTTTCATGTTTCTTGAATTCTATATAAAGGCTCAGGTGCGTGTCCTGAGTGTAGAATTCCTTTACGCCGAAATAACTTTCGAATACAACTATTTGAAGACCCAGCTGTAGAGAAAGAAGTTGACATACGTAAAAGAGTATTAAGAGATTTCAATAAAAAGGAGGAGGATTTTTCTTCTTTAGCTGAATACAATGACTATCTGGAAGAAATTGAAACCATTATTTATAATCTAATGAATGATATTGATATTATAGAAACAAATAAAAAAATTGAGATGTATAAAAAAGAAAATAGGGAATTAATAATGAAAAACAAAACTAAACTTGGCAGGGAAGAATATGAATTGGAGGAAATTATAGAACTAGAAAAGCAGCAGGAAGAATTACGGCGAAATTTCATAAAAATGGAAGAGGTATCATCCAAAAAGAAAAAAATTACCCAGAAAGAGGCTCTCATTGATGAATTAATGTTCTCAAATGCAAATGCTTCCAATATTGTTGAACACTTTGCACAAAGCAAGCAACAAGAAGTAGATGTCATGCCCGACATGAAAATGCCGGAGAAATTGTCGCACTTCTCAACCGGCGTTAAGTTTGGTGCATCAATAAATTCATCATTCCTCCCAGTAAAGATTGACGAAGGGCCCTTGTTCATCTACAAGCCGGTTTCATTATTAATCGACGGACCACGACCGCCTGCCACTAAGGAGATCATTAACGGTGGATTTGTGAATCACATAAGGCAAGAAACAAATTCGGAACGTGCGGGTGGATTTAAAGCGCATATAGCCTGTCAGCGAGCATTACAGGACGCGTTCGCAGGTTTGTTTCATGTGAAGCGCTCACCGACGGCGGAGTAAAGAGATTAGCAGCCAAAAGTTAGTTTTAAATAAAACAGACTTTATAATAATAAAACGAAAACAAAATATGCAATATTGTACATGTAACAATTATAATGTTGTACTCTTGGTTTCATTTTCATGACCATTTCTTTCATTAATCAATAATAGTAATAGTAATTGAGGGGGAGAAAAATAGTCTCACTTAAACTAGCACTGTACAAATGTATACATACAACAAACTAAACCTTTCATAATATTTTTTTTACCTTAACTACCAAAAATTATTTCCGCGCTCAACTCAACAAACATTCTATTAAAAGGCCACTCAAAAGCAGATTGATGTTAGCAATTGCACTATTTGCGATGATGAAACAATTTTCTTAATTAAACAACGTCCCATAATTAACATCAATTAGAAAACACGGTAAACATGGACCTTTCAATCAGCTTAGTTATCCTATCTTATATAATATGTTTCCAGTTTAAACATTTTCACTAAAATATTATTCTATCATATACTTCGCATTAATTATACCAACTATATCACATTTAAGTTTTTTTCTTCTTGAATAATATATATATGTTCGTTTCTTATGTAGCTTACGCTTAAAAGGTAAAAACAACTCCAAGAGAAGAGTCATTTTCTAATAGTATTTTTAGTGACTTCATTATTGGGATATTTTCAGCGTACGAGTGGCCGTCGCTGGTGGCATCATTGTTAAAACTAATGTGTACTTGCGTCCCATTTTGTATGTGTGTGTGTGTATTACGCGCGATTCAGTCTTGGGCGGATCGATGCGATCGCCAGATATTGAGAATTATTAAACAATTTAGCACGCAATTCAATGTATATACTAACTAGCTGTTGCTTCAGAGCATTGATGATCATCGTTCAATTGAGTTAATTTGCCAGGTTCGTTGATGAAGATTCGCCTGGCCAAAGCCTGTAAAATATATCAAACATGGAAAAACGGCCGAGACTATGATTAACTCAGAGCACACGTACCTTCAAACTATCAAGACATTGATCGCCATCTGCGGTATTGATTTCTGTGAGCAGACTGTTGGAACGCTCCAGTTCTGCATACAGCCCGAAAGGTACCTTCGACAAGCACTCAAGCTTGAGGATGTGCATCTTTGAGCGCAGATGTTTTGCTAGATGCCCGTGGATACGGAACGCAATGCTACAATCGATACATTTAAACGGCCGAGGCTCCTGTGATGATTGCGCTGGCGATGAGGAAAGCTATAAACAAATTTCGAGTTGCGATTAAAAATGTTTTATGGTGTTCATCAGTTATTGATATGTACCTTGTTATGATGGCCAGCACTGCGCTCATGCTTCTGCAGGTGCCCCTTCGTGCGAAAACTGACGGAACACGAGTCACACCTGTATGGGCGCTCTAGATAATGTATATTCATATGTAGACGCAATTGCGACGGTTTGTTAAACGTCTTGTTGCAGATCATACAGTTTTTATTCTCCTCCGACTTAACAATCAGGTCACTCTTGACCACCACGCTCGTCGATTTTTCCTCAGTCTTAATATGCTCGTTCTTTGTAGCGAGTTTGAGGAACTCAGTTGCGACATTCTTTGCAACCGAATTCTTTTCGAGCTTCTCTTGTTTGGTGGCAATATCGGCAAGCGTTTCCATGGCACTGTTGTCGTATTCACGAAGTTGCACTTTTCCTACAAGGGGCCCAGTCGATGTGGAGACGCGATCCAGTTGCTTTGCTCCATTGATTCGAAGATCATCAGGTACACGTTCGTTGGCAGCAACTTGGGAAAAAGACAAATCCATTGCTTCTGAATCATCACTTGCGCTGAAGGGCGAAGTTTCCGATGGTGGAGGTGGGGGCGGCAGCGACATATGCACAACATGTCTACGCTGGTCCAGCACGGGAGATATCTGTTTGGGTGCTAGGTAAACATGTTCGGCAGATTTTGTAATAACCGGTACGGGCGGAGGCTGCTTCGGTGGCGGGTTGTAACGTTTGATAACATTGAAATGGATAATATTTCGTTCCGTCGATGGGTCGCTCGACACAGACTCGCTGGATGTTGAGCGGGCTGGTTCCTCGCTGGCAGTGATCGGCGTGGTGTATGGATAGGTAAGCGGTCTCGTTTCACGTGCATGCAAGGGCAAAACATCCATCTCTTTGGGCCCTGCGTCCGCCGCCCGCTTGATAGCGCTCAGTGAGATGTTCTGATCGAGAATTTTGTTCTTAACATAGTTCATTTTGAAGACGTGCACTAACTGTTCGGCATTGACGAAACTACGATTGATTGTCTCAATCATCGACGGACTGGGTAGTTCTTTTGCGGTCGAATTAACTTTCTGTGATAACGATAGCAAACCGTAGGCGGCCTCGTGTTCTTGGTTTCTTGTGGAGGCCTCATCTAAAAATTGTGAAGAGTACATGTAAATGTAGTTTCAAAAGTGCTAGCAAACATCAATCAAATAACGTCAAACAAGATGGCAATGTGGATTGGAACTGCACAATTGCATAATTTATAGTAAATACGGTGAGCTTTGCAGTTGCATTTATTGTTTTATTCTAAAATGAAGCAAATTATGCCGTCCGACGTCTACCAACCTCCAAACAATCGAAATTATCATAACATAACAACGTCATTTGCATTCGCAGGTCTAGTATTTATAACGGTGACATTGCAATCCTCATAAAATCTAAATGACACGACAGTCGTGCACAGTGTGGCGTGTTTTATTTTATTTTTTGATTGGTATATTAACTTTTTGATTTTGTAAGAGATTATTGAAAATATTGCTACAACTATTAGGCGATTTATGAGCAGAGTTGGATGATGTAGTTAAATGACTCACCTCGTCCTCGAACATAGTTGTAATCCTCGTGAGATTCATATCCGGCCAAAAGCGACTTCGCTGCCGCTTTGATAGTTTCCTCCTTCTTATTAGTCACATCGCCGGGAATAAACTGAAAAGCAACAGATGTAAAACATACATTGTGTAAAAAAATACTCCCACTCGCATATTTACCTTGTATCTGGAATCAACGACTTTGTCCGCGCGGTACTTCCCTGCTATAGAATAACTTGCATTCCGCTGCCTGCTGTCATACTCGAGCAAGTACCACTTGTCACCCTTATTGTCCTGCTGCCGCCACTCCGAGTACATGCTCAATTTCCTAAAATGCGGCACATAGAAGGGCTGCGTCTTGTTAAGCGTACAATACACCGGCTTCGTTGAGCTCTTCAGCCCCAAATTACTATAGTAATTGCCGTTCATCAGCTGCTCGTTATACTTCTTATCTCCGCGCGGCGTATCGGGACTTATGAGGATCTGATTAAACATTGTCGGCGTCAAGCCGTGATGGTGTTTTAAAGAAACGGAAGATGGTTTCAACGCTAGGCTGTTCGGACGGGCAAATTTTCTCGGTGCTTCAGTTGTAACAGGTGGTGGTTCCAATATTTCCATTTTGACACCGGGTGAGCTTGGTGCTTCGCTTTTTACATACGCCACTCTCTCCCCATCATCATTGGATGGTGTGATCCGAATGACCGGTTTAGACTTGATCGCTTCAGCAATAATGGGGCCTGGCATTCCGGGCACGTATCGCACCACTTTCCCATTGACCAGTAAACTCATCGGATCTGTAGTGTCTCCAACAGAGATCACCTTGGGAACATTACCCTTAGTTTGATTAACTGCAAGTAAAGACTGCGTCGGAGACTCGGAGTAGGAACGATTCGCATTTACCCCCGGTATTGTTAAATTCAGTTGTTTGAGACTGGGCGCCAGTAACTTGGCTGCATTCTGACTGAAGTCCATGATATTGGAGTAATCACCATTGGAACCGTTCGCGCTTATACCCTCAACTTTGTCGCCTGACATCGGAGTACTCTGCTTGGTTGGCATCGTATGTAATACAATACCACCCGACTGTAAGGTGTTCCTGATTACACGATTTTCGCTCACTTTCGGCGAGGACACCATTTGATAGTCTGGCTTCTCCGGCCGCTCACCTTGCGGATATGTGGGAACATCTTCGTGATCACCCACGGCCGGTGTCTGGGTGACCTTCACCTCGCCGCCGAACAATTTTACAGGTGGTTTACGCAGTTTGTCGGAGAAAAAGTGAACGGAAGAGTGATAGCTTTCTTTGCCAATGTCCTTTATACTACCTTGAAACCCGTCGTCGCAAGAGAACGATTTGTTTTTGTCAGATTCGACAAGCCGCGTCTTGCCCAGGCATGGTCCGGGTGATTTGTGTGAAAAGTTGAATGAATCCTTGTTTTGGGTGAGAATTGTTGCAACATTGACACTGCTACTGCGACTATAACGCGGTCCCCCGCGTCCTTTACACATCTTCATTTTATGCAGCTCCAGTTCCGTGAACGTCCGGAATATCATCTTGCAGTGTTGGCATTGTAAGTTCGTATCAGCAGAGAGATTTTTCAAGAGTAGCTCTTTGATAAGGCTCTTCTTCGCAGGTTCAAAGGAGACCTCGCTGAGACACCGCTTGCGATTCTTACTGGTCAAGTTCAAGGGTTGGTCGTCGCCGTTGCTCTTGCACGAGTCTGGCGACGAATCAAGTGGACTGTGCGAATGGATCTGCTGCTCGGCGGATGGCATACGCTGTTCGCAGGAATCGAGTATCTTATTAAAAGTATAACACAGGTTCGGCGTTGGCTCTGTGGTAATCTTCTCATTGATGATCGCCATGCTATTCTCTTCATTCTCGTTTTCGTAGTATGACTTGGTATGGAAGCGCGGTTTATAGGGCTTCGCCTTAGGGGCTTCCTCGGCGTTGGGTGGTGTATCGGTAATCACCGTCGGGCGCTCAACGGGTGGCTGGCATGGCGGTGGAGTGGTCGCGTTCGACTCGCTTTCCGAACCGGCACCCCCACCCCCGCCACTGCCTTTATTCCCCATCACGCGGTTGACGTGAGTGCGCGACCTGCAGTGCTTGTAGAGGTTACTGCGCGTCTTGAAACTAAAGTTGCAGCTCTGGCACGGGTACGGCCGCTCGTTGGTGTGCGCTCTGATATGTTTCTGCAGCACGCTGGGCTTGCTGCACGCCAGACTACAAAACGGGCAAACGTACTTGCCGCCGTTGGCCGCCGTCGATGTAGACGCATTATGAGCGTCGTAGACACGCGCCGCCACCGGCTCCCCTTTAACGATAGTGCCCAGTAAAGTTTCGTCGGTTTTGCCCTCCTGTTGGTATGACACCGTCACGTACTCGGGCTTATCTGATATGTCGTCGTCGTCGTGCTCGTCCGCGTAACTGCTGTGAAACAGTCGGTCGCGCCTGACCACGTAGTTAGTCGGATATGTAATGGAAGACTTCAGCGAACTTCTGTCGCATTTTGTACTATACCGGAGGAGGTGCTCCGGAGACGGAAAGCGCTCGCGGGCACCGGTGAGCATCCCCGGAAGCGGCGGATAGCACGGGTCATCTTCGGGCGCCTCGAAGATCGTCTGCTTCTTGAACTTCTTGTGCAAGTATTTGTTTCCGTCACCGCCCCTCTCCATGGCGCAAGGGCAAAACTATCTAGAAATAATTCAGAAGACACAATTTAGAGTACGCTCATCGTATATATCGTCGCCATGAGTTGGTGAGATGGAGCTCACAACGAACAAGTAGAAACTTTCGGTGTGGTGTTCGCGGTTATCGGAGATTTGAGCTGTGTGTGAGTCATATATAAGAGTGGTTGATAAGCGCTGATAGAGCCCACGCCATTCAACCGCTCGACAGATTAACACATGTTAAAAATCACATTCAGGCAGCATAGAGAATTCCCTAATCATGACGTTTAAAAACTGTTCAAAGAAAAAGTGTTACAATTGATCCAAGTATGTATTCCCCTATGCGGATGATAATAGATAATAAAATATGATGTACGAAATGACATGGAATTCGACACTTGTTCAGCAAGTGACAATCGAGCGTGATAATAGTAACGGCAATAAATCAGAAACCCACAACGGATGTACACAAACTTAGTGAGTCAATTAATAGAACTGATACCAGAACATAACAACAACGAGAGAACTTTTATTACGATAATGTCATCGAAACAAATTTTGAAGCGTTTTGAACCCATAATTCGGTATAAAAATAAAATGCACCTGATGTATGCATGTGTCTACCGCACTCGACAAGCCAAACAAGGGGGACACCAAAAACAGCAGGTGTTACTCATTTAACGCATTGGCATACAGGTATACCGCGTCTTAACATGCGGGCATGCGGACAACGGCAAGCAACAGCTTGCAGCGTAACCTGTTGCTTCGCACACTCGCACGACCCCCAAACCAACCACCACTCTTCACGCCACTCCATCGCACACATTTCCTTTTCCAAGAAAGAGATTACGTGATCTGCGGCTACCTGCGCTTTCCACGAAATTGCCGCCGACTTGTCCGTACCCGTACCGAGAAAACGCACGCACACCGCCGCAGAATTCCCCCGAACCACGCAACAACGTAAACAGCCGACTTGAATTGCGATTGTTATTGCCGCTGATTCATAATTGCGACAAAGCGACAACAACAACAACACACGCAGCGTACACTCGCGCGTTATTGAAGAATCAACCGAGCTAACCACACACGCACACACAGCACAATATTGTACATAGTTGAACTATCATCGGTCAACTATCGGTTTGTTTTTAATATGACGAATCATCTTTATTATTGCAGCGACCCAATTTTTACGCTGTGCGCACAGCGCGCCAAATTGCAGGCGTAATTGTATGCAGGCAATGCCGCGAATTGAAACCAAAGGATGCCCACATGCCCACAAATAAACTGCTGTTGGCGACTTTCAAAATAGTTCGAGATTCCGACGGTCGCGTTCCTTTTCGCAGCGAAAACTGCATATTACTGGTATGAGTAATACCCCAGTCCACAAGGACAATTAGCGTGCTGAGCATGAGTTCACTGGTACAACACTACTTGAAAGTAAAAACTGTCCACGTTGTTGCAACGAAAAAGTTTCCGAACTGAAATAATAAGTTCCACAACGGCAAAAACAAAACAAAAAAATACAGTAAAATATGTTGAACAATAACGCATTGTAATGGAGTGAAAAATGATTGTTGTGACAAAGGTCAAGTATATGAGGTTTAGCTAAATACGATTCTGCGCTTTTCGCCGGACATTCCTGCTATACCTACGTAATTCGATTACGGAATTATGTTACCCAGCTTATGAGCGGACAGATAGCGAACGAGTAACGAGAGCGTCAATGAGGCGCGCGCCGCGAACACCACACAGTTCGTACACGCATGACGTCTACTGCTAGGAAACCAATGAATATACCGCGGCTCATTCAAGTTACAAGTTGATCATAACGTGCGATTGGAACGCAAGTTTGTCACAAACAGCGCACAACATCCCGAATTCTAAACTAGTTTTTCATTAGACTAATTTAGGTGCGAAACATTCCGCGGCGCTATTTTGGCCGCAAGAGGCGAGGAATGCGAATGGTTGAGAGTTGAGAGCGCGCCGCTGTGAGAGTGGGAGGCTGCGAGACGGCACAGACAGCGTATGACGCCAAGTGATAGTCAACACGGCGCCAAAGTACAATACCGTGCAAAATTCGAGTCGGTTGCGCGCAGCGTGCTGGACTGCTCACCTGCTGCGAATTTCCCTCGCTTCCCTGTGTACGACGGGGCACTGCGACGTCCAGCTGCCCCCGCTAGCGCATCGTCGACTTTGGCACAAGCACACGCACTACGACGCACCGTCACCAATCACGGCGCATCCTTACTAATTTAATAAATCCCATTGATGTGCGCGTTGTGATAATAGGTCCGCTTAAATGCCCGAGCAGCAGTTGTGATGGTGATAATCACGCTCGGAGCGCGCTCGCGGCTGCCGCCGCATGCGACGCGCTTGTTTTGGCACTTGTTTGCGTTGCGCCCGCAGCCACCGCCGCTGCCGCCGCCTCCACCCAGAGCCCTGCTCGGCTGCGCTCCGCGGCGAAAACACAATGATTCATCGAGACACTCGCGTGCGCAGTTGTGGGCACACGCAAGGGACGCGAGCGATCGCAACCGAAATTCGAAAGAAAACAACGAAAAACCTACCGCCAGGATGCGTACCGCGCGACACTACTACGACACTCACGATATGCGATATGCTGACTAGCGCGGCGCCATGTTTACTGTTCCATTTCAGTTATTCCACCAACTCTCTCGTGCGCAACCCACCGCCGCACTCCGCGACCCGCTGTGCTGCCAGTCGCATCACAATCGCATGACGTACTTGTAAAGGCCGCGCGAGTGAACCAACTGCGCGAGCATTTCTCGCTCTCGCACGCCGGAATCTCCTCGCGTGTCTTACTCCCACACGCACTTGTCCGGCATGCGTGCGCCTTGTCCATTGCTGCTAGTCATTCAAGGCGCGCGAACGCGCGATTTCCTCTCCCCTCCCACGTGCGGCCGCATGGAATCTCCCTCAGTCCGTCTCGCTCACACGACACTTCATGTTTTAAAAAGAAAAAGTATAAACCTGTTCCACGGCAGCCGCGGCAAGGCAGAACGTGGCGCACCGGTGGCCACCGCACCAACAACTCGCATCGCAGCACCAGAGAACCAACAACCACATGCGTCATGCTTTCTCTTTCTACGCTAATCCGGATTATTTTCAAGCGGAGCCCAAGTTCCTAAACATTGCGATAGATGCGATAATTTGCTACAACTCGCGATATGCTTTTGTTCACTCTTGCTCTCGCCTGATTTTTCGACAGAAACGCAGAAAAAGATTTTTGGTAATTTTCCAAAATCACGTGAAACGTTCGCATTTCATATCTCGCAATTTTCGCGTATTTCGAGTTGAGAAATCCGGAAAATCTGAATGCGTCATCATGATGATGGTTATTTTTAATTGGTTGAAAACAGTCGTGCGTGCACATGTGACTGGATACGTGATAAGAGTTAAATCGCTTAACAGTACGTATGTAAATACAAGTTTAAAAGGATATTAAAAAAACTCGCGTTTTTCGTAAATGACGAAAGCATCGAGAATTACGACTCGCGAGCGCGTGGGTTACCTGCGTCGCTCTCCTCCTACCGCGTGAGCGTTGTTGTCTCTCCGGTGTCTTTGCATTGTGCGCGCAAGGTGAAGTCGAGAAAACTCGGCGGAATCTCCTCTCTCGTGGCCGCAGTTACGAAACTCGTTTTACATAACAGGTTATGCTAGCGACGTCTCTCTTTCGGAATCTCCACGTCGCGTCCTTGTTCAGCACTGTTACACGCCGCAACTTTCAACGACCCAACTACAAATATATAATTTCATCTTTTTTATTATTAAAATAACAATCTCAAGGTTCTAAGATTCGCTAGGAGCTATATGCAATCATAATGATAATACTAACAATTTTCTACAATATTTGCACCTGTAATTAATAAAATATCTTTTCCTAAGTATTTGCGTGATAATCAAGGAACAAGCTACTCATTGTAATTCATACTGTGACTAGAATGAAGTAGAATATATTAAGAACGTTCGGATGTCCGAATGGCGGCCCGCATGTTAATCGACCGCATCGTCCCAGGCGTAATGCAACTCCTCGGCTTCGGTGGCAGTCTCAGTAGACTGCGCCGCGTCGACGTTCGGCGTTAATGCCCGCGCCACGCCATTATTATTGTTCTCAACGTCTCGCACGCTCGTCTGAGTGCTGCCGCTCTGCGTCGACTTCGACTCGGTCTTCCATAGTTCTTCTTGATCTGTTGACGAGGGACACTCGAAATGTACACAATGAAACACTTCATTAGCGGTGTTGTAGGTACCGACAATTCGGATAAAGACAACCGGCCTGGCCGGGAAACGAACCACCTGCCATGATTTACACCTCTCACGAGTGCGATCCACAAGCACCTCCCAGTCGCGAATGTTGACGGACGACTCGATGTAGTAACTATAGCTTCGATCATCGCAATCCCACAGTAAAAGGCGCAGGCTGGAGAGCATGTATGGCTGACCCAGCTGAATGAGGATGGACCCGGAGCCAACTTGATGGCAGGTGTAGCCCGAATCGAGGTTATAATGTTTTGTATCGCCGTTTAACAGAGCGTTTCTTGAGCGGCACACTCCCTCGATGACACAGGCGGACTTTTCCAAGGTAGCAACATTACTCGTGGGACATATCACTCCATTTATGACGGTCGGTAGGGTTTCTTTGTACATTGCATTCAAAGATACTAAATGAAACACCTGGAATACCAAAACAATAAATCAACATTACATAATATTTGGGCAATTATCCACGAAAATTAAGTAAAACATTGGAATATTGCTCAAAACAATATAATTTCTAAACTTAATAAAATATAACAATTACCTTATTTGATGTATTATTTGTTCCAACAATTTTAATATACTGCACAACTCTGGTATCAAAGAATAAGCTCTGCCATGACCGACACGCATACTGATTATAATCGATGACTCGAATCCAATCCTTGAGCTCAAGCGAAACTTCAATGTAGTAAGAATAGGAACGGTTGTCGCGATCCCATAAAAGCAGTTTTAGGTGATTGATAATTGATGGCTTTCCCAGTTTGACAATAATACATTGATCCGGCAATCCAATAGTATGACGGGTGTACCCACGCTCTAAATCGTAATTGTAAATGTCTCCATCAATGCAAGCATCTAATAGTTCGCCGGCGATTACTTTCGAACCATGCCCTTGCGTTGCAACGTTTTCATTCAATACTAAAAAAAATATAAAAAAAATTATGGTTGTGTTGTAAACTTTATTTTCGGCACTTACTCAGTTGCCCCCTGTGTGGCAGATTGCTAACTTTTGCACTAGTTCTTTCCGCAATAGCATCTAACAAAGTATCAGGTTTTACAAGATCTGCAGGTCTCACCACTGATAATAAATCAGTGATTGTCATCAATGAGAGGCGAACACAGTCAATTACTTCATCACTGCTTACTTCATTGTGCCTACACCATTTGCACACACCTTTGAATATTTCCACTTCCGGAGCAAAAACGAATCCCTTTTAAGCAATTCCACTAAAGAGGCCTGTGACAAACTAATGAAGGATTCATGGTCTAAGATTTCTGATGCATGCTGATCAAAAAACAAATGGCACACTTCCACAAGCCTGTCCATTCCATATAATCTGGCAGTATCAATAATTGCACACACATTCTTTAAAGCCAATAATTGCCTCAAAATATCTGATATGGCAGTCTCAAGCTCTTGAAAACCATATTGATGTGCCAAACCTAATGTTTCTAGAATGACTTCTTCTTTCATTGAAATGAGAAACATATGGCCAGAGTAGATATATTTAAGTAGAGCTTTAAATGCTGATAAAGCAGCATCAGGCATTTCTATCTCAGATTGGTTTGATTCCTTCATTCCACCATATAGTAAAGCTCGAAAATATTCACTTCTGGCAGCCAGGATAACCTGTATAACATAAGTATGACAATCATATTTGTTGGAGCAATGGACAAAACAAACCTTATGGGCGTGTAGTCGCTGCCCTTCGACAATTAGGGCTACATCCGAGTATTCTTCGTTGAGAAACAGCGACGCAAAGTTGTTAGAGAACTGTTCGAGGTGCGCAATTTCGCCGAGGCGGCTGCTCGATGTCCCGCAAGAGTTAGGCGACTGCAAATGATTACTGCTCATCTTATCAGATGCGACAATTGCATCAATTCGAGAACTAAAACTGATCACTTTCTACGTTGGATTTAAATAAACATTAGAAACAAATTTGCGCAAGCACTAATCGTCAACGTCAAATCACAACACTGCCGCCATGTTGTTTACTGTTATGTTGTTTACAACGTTTACAAATGCTCTTCTGAACACTGCGCAGTCAATGAGAATGTCAGCCGCTTGTACCACACACCGTCAATAAGATTGTCAATATTTTAATTTTTAGGTTAAAATTAAAATAACGCGAAACTTGATAAGTTAAATTAAAATGGATTATTTCATTTATAAATTTCCAAAGAAAATTCCTAAACATATTGTATGGACAAGTTCAATTGCAGCAAGTATCGGAATAGCATGTCTTATAAAGTATGTTATAACATTTAAGTTAACAATTTAATCAAGTTCTATTTGTGTTCTGATTGTGTTGAGAATATTGTAGAGAATGGGTTGGCGGCAAGAGATATCCCTCAAACATTGATGCAAAGGACAAAGTAGTTGTAATAACTGGGGCTAATACTGGAATTGGTAAAGAGACAGCATGGGAACTGGCAAGGAGAGATGCCAAAGTATATATGGCATGTAGGGATATGAAGAAGTGTGAGGAGGTATTCAATAATCTTTTGAAAATTAGGAAAGCAACTAAGCATTTTAGAGTTTTTAGACCAGGGAGGAAATTGTACTTGACACTAAGAACAAGTTTGTTTACTGCAAAGCATGTGACTTAGCATCATTGGCATCCATTGAACAATTTGTCAAGCAATTTAGTAAAGAAGAGAAAATAGATGTGCTTATTAATAATGCTGGTGTTATGAGAGTGAAAAAACATACTAAGACACAGGACGGTTTTGAAATGCAACTGGGTGTAAACCATCTGGGACATTTTTACTTGACAAATTTATTAATGCCTAAATTAAAGGTAATTTGATGAAATATTTGATCATTATATACTAATTTGTTATGTGTAGGCTGCAATATCTGCAAGAATAATTAATGTGTCCAGTATTGCACACTTAAGAGGGGCTATTAACAAGAATGATTTAAACCTAGAGCAAAAATATGATCCTGGTGACGCTTACGCACAAAGCAAACTTGCAAATGTTTTGTTCACACGGGAGTTGAGCAAACAATTGAAAAATACAAATATTACAGTGAATGCTGTCCATCCAGGAATGGTGGATACTGAAATCATTAGGCACATGGGTTTTTTTAATAGTTGGTTTTCTACAATCTTTCTGAAGCCGCTAGTTTGGCCTTTTATAAAGAGTCCACGACAGGGATGTCAAACTATTGTATATCTAGCCCTTGATCCCGAAGTTCAAAAAGTGTCCGGACAATATTTCCAAGATTATGTTGAAACAAAACCTCTCCAGTGGCGCAAGATGAAAACTTGTCAAAATGGTTGTGGTTGGTAAGTGAAAAGTGGACAAGAGCAAAATTTCAAGTAGCATGATACTTATTCATGTATTAATTTAGTAAATGAATGAATAAAACCTGTAAAAAATTTGTATACAGATAATAACGAAAAATACATTTGTCAATACATTATACTGTGCAATATATTGCTCGGGAATATGGCATGGTAGTTATATAATTTTTTACTTTAACAGAATAATTATAGTATTATAATTGGTATTATTTATTTTTATCAGAGATTATTAATCATGCAATATTAATTTTAAAAAACATTTCCTGCATAAACATTTAAACAAAAATTTATTGCACAATAACGCGCTCTAGCGGGGAAGCTCGAAACTAATGGCATTCACCTTCCGACAATGGTACGGACTCCTTGCTATATTAACCTGCATTGCAAACTTCATAAACTTTGTTTATTTCTGAACGTTAGGACCCTCAAGCCAGAAATACTGATGAACCTATTTTGAAAGAATGGCATTGGCTTCGTTAACGGCAACCTACACGGATTCAGAGGGCGAAGATGACGTCAACGAGTCGGAAAATACTGGTACAGTTACAATTGAAACACCACAAACTTCGCCCGAAAAATCCACGCCAACTTCGCGACCATCTACACCGGTTCAATCAACAATAACAACACGCGTTGCGAAGTTGGTTTCTTACCACGACGACACGGTGGTGTCAGACGACGAGAACCATGACGATTCGGCAGAAACACCTACAACAGTTGTGATAACTGAAATACCAGAGGATATACCCATAGAACCAGAACCAGTTGATGAAGATGGTATTCAACTACCTCCTGAACCGACAGGCCAGTGTGCACCTGAGGTTCAAGAAAAGTTCACAAAACTCTATGAGAAGATGAGAAAGAATGCATTAGACATGAATGACATAATACAAAGAAGAAAAGATTTCAGAAATCCAAGTATTTATGAGAAACTTATCTCATTTTGTGGCATTAATGAACTAGGTTATATTATTTTATATATTATTTGGGTCTAAATGAGTAATAATGATGTTTAATTATATTTTAGGCACAAATTATCCGCCAGCAATTTATGATCCACATAAATGGAACAAAGAGTCTTATTTTGATGAACTTGTCAAAGTGCAAAATGTTGAGATGGATAAACGTGAAAAGGAACGCAAGTCTAAAGTTGAGTTCGTATCAGGAACAAAGAAGCACGAGGATGATGCCAAAAAACGAAAAAGCAAATGGGATCAACCAGGTGGTAATTCTGTGGGAAATATTAAACCTGCTGGTTTGGTGCAGCCCTCATTAACAAATAGTGCAACAGGGACTAAGGCGACTGTCATTTCAGCTTTTGGATCTTTGCCTAAGAAACCTAGACCATAGAATGAAATGTAGATTAAATTCAAATAGGTACTTTATAAGATAAGAAATAAATTATTAATCGTACGGTACTCCTGACAGTAATATTTTCGGTTTGACAATTGTTTAAAATATGTCAGGAGAATGAATAACCGAATTTTCCTCTGTGTACCCTGGCCGTGAGTTGAAGAAATTAGGTCAAGCATCGTATATACGGTTGCCTATATTTATGTTTCATCTGCTAACAGCCGTCGAGTGGTTTAAATTGTTTGAAGGCTGCAGTAAGCTAGTCACAGTCAAGAAAAGCAGATATACAACGAGTGCTTCGAACAGACACAAACAAGAAGAAAACGGAGAAAATAATGGCGAGGTTGCGCATAGTTGAGTGAGTGTACGCTCGCGCACGTTCGCGATCAGCCGATGAAACGCTTCCCGACGTCGTAGCCTCGCACACCGCGCGCCTGTAGTCGTCGTCCGCGGCCGTGCGCACACACAGTGTTCGGTGCACACAGGTTGGCAGTAGATTGCATGGCATTCGCGGTGAGCGAGCCAGACAGCGCCGGGCAGCAGTGAGCGAGCAAGAGAGCGACTGAGGAGTTTAGAAATGGCCGCTGTTAGCAGTGGCCGCAGTGCTGGTGCTGTTGTAATGGCTCCGAACCTGGACGCGCAGAACGATCTCGACGACTTGCTGAAGAAGCTTTATCCGGCTGTGTGCGAAGAGAAGACACCTCTGCCTCGCGCTTGGAGTCCCAAGGAGAAGTACAATTACATTGGACTCTCGCAGAGCAATCTACGAGTTCACTATAAAGGTACAGTGTGTTTTTGTTAATTTTCACTCCGTCACAATCACAACGCACATTTACTTATTGTTGGATACTGCCAACATTATAGCCGCCTTCAAATATTACCACACTTCCACACAAGTTGCGGAATCCATTGCGGAGCGTTCTTTGGTTTATTTTATTTGTTTTGTCAGCTGCTCATCGAACAAAAAACTTGCTATTACAATGATAACCTATGACGTACATACGCCTACTACAATAATTTCGTCGTGGTCGTCCTAAATCAAGAAAAATTATCATGTCATCGACCGTCTGTTGGGTATACTGGGCTTTTTCAGACAACTAAACAAAGAAATCAGCTGATCGTCATGAAGGACGGCGGGTGCGGGCCGCAGGGGGGAGCGTGTGCTACACACCAATGCAGAAACACGCGTATACAACCAACAATGAAACAAACGGGCTACAATTATTTTCCTCGCCTATGCTTAGATCTCAATGTGATGACCTCGGTATTCCTAACCGTTCGTTTGTAAGCTGCGCTTTAGTTTTGCAATCAATTAATATGCCACGGGCCATTTTCCAACAGAGCGCTTCATGTGATCATCTCATCCGATTGGGCTATTGCGACGTTTATATCGTTTCTTTGTGTTGTCTGTGCCCTGCTACCTGTTTCCGAGACGGGTCAGGACCTTGATCGCCTTGTGTTGATTTCGGCTGGAGGGAAAGTCGACGGCATAAATTATTTCAATGCGTAAACAACCGTTAATGGTCTCAGCTGTTTATTTTTCGGTAGTAATGTCTCAAAGCAATACGCAAATAAGTTATCGCTTGGCATTGGCGTGACGCGAATTAAAAATATTCAATTGTATTCGATGCATTCGGATATTGTCACCCCATTAAGTTTTTCTACGTTGGGCGGTTTCCTCCGGCGAGAACTACTAGATGTATAAACCGGAAATGTAATTACTTTCATCATTTATGCGCGCGCGTTACACTGAATATATCGAGCACGACTCAGACGTGTGTTGTGTTGTGAAACACGAATAGGAATGATGAAAAGCACGATTTCTATTTTGAGTCGCAATGTTCGATGTGAATTTCCAACGAAACACAAAATACTCGGCCCTAAAATGAATCGCAGAGTTTCGTAGAAATAGAAGCTAGACTTGATTCAGTTTGCTTTAGCTCTATTATGTTGATTCTTTTCGCATTGTGGGTGATATTGTTCATCGCTGATTGTTGATATTTGTTTGATGATAAAATATTAGGCGCTGGGTACTGTTGCAACTAGCGTCTACGGTTGAATAGCTAGACAACGAGAGAAAAGTTTAAGGCGAAGCCTAAAAATAAGCGCCGCGTGTGCAAGATATTCACATTTAAAACAAACACGGTGGAATTAACGCCGCTCAGGTCACTAATATTAAAATACTAATATATCAGTTCATAAAATTTACTTTCATTAACATTAACAATCAATGCAATCTTTAAAAAAAGAATTTTTTGCTACAAACGTTGTTATGCAAATTTAATTGCCGTATGAAAAATTCATGGTTTTGTTCGACAGGTACAGATACTATGCGTGATTCTTTGTGATATCGATATAAATCGTGAATTTGCCAATTGATTATTCGTCTTGCATGCACCACAACTGATGGTTTTCCGCGGTTTAAATTTGAAGTTTCTATTCCATGGATGGCACAGTTATGAACGGAACGAAACCAATCTTTCTCTAACTACACTGTGCTTATTACATTTTACCTCTTGCTCGTGAACAATAACAGCAGACACAACTACATATAATACTGCTATAGTTGCAGATCATAAAAAAGTTGTAATTGAATAAGTTGGATTTTTATATCGATTTAAAATATCTGTGTAATTTTGTATTCAATAATTAAACTTGATGACAACTTGATGATTTTTTCACTACTAGCTTTGGTTGTATCGGAAAAGTCATGATGCAAGTGATTCATGCTCTCATTTGTGTGTGATTTGATGGAAAATATTGTTTCATTAAGTGCACAACTCACGCAGCCGAGCAGAAATGTATACACAAAGCCAAATGAGCAATTATTTGTGTGCAAAACGCACTACTATGCCCGAACTAAGTATCGACAAGGCCATAGGTTGGCGAGGCTAGAATTAAAATAGGGCACCCTTAAAATTATTGAATTTTTCAAGTCAATGTTTTGATCGCATTAATATATGCGCATGCCACCTGAACTTGATGGCAAAGCCCGAGGAAAGTTTTTTGGTCTTCAGTGCGCCGCGCCGTCTAGACAGTTTGATCGGGGGGGGCTGTTTTCGTGGATGAAGGACCCAGCCGAAACGCAACGCGAGGCAACTAAGGTCACGTCGCGATGTCATTTACCCCTGCCTCCCACCTACACGATCCCAGCCCGGCCGCTATTATTTTATTTGCTTCAAGAGTGAAAGTTTTGTTTTTGCAGGATGTGGGAAAACGCACAAAGACGCTGCCAGCGTGCAAGCGACGCATCCGATTCCGGCAGCATGCGGTCTCTACTACTTCGAGGTGCGCATAGTTAGCAAAGGCCGTGATGGCTACATGGGCATTGGACTCTCTGCCGCCGGCGTTAACATGAACAGGCTGCCCGGATGGGATAAACATTCATATGGTTATCACGGTGATGATGGTCACTCGTTCTGCTCGTCCGGCACAGGACAACCATATGGTCCCACCTTCACCACGGGCGACGTCATCGGCTGCGGCGTGAACTTAGTCGACAATACTTGTTTTTATACCAAAAACGGGCACCATTTGGGCACTGCTTTCACAGATCTACCTCCTAATCTATATCCGACCGTTGGATTGCAGACCCCTGGAGAGGTGGTAGATGCGAATTTTGGTCAGGAGCCTTTTATGTTTGACATTGAGGACATGATGAGGGAATTGCGATCTCGAACAAGACTTCAAATTTACGATTTTCCAGTACCGGAGAGCCAAGGCGAATGGCAAACCGTATTAAATAAGTGAGTAAATCGACTGACACAAATGTGCAAACTGCAAAGTATTAATAAATGTATGGTATTTCTTTAGAATGGTATCGTCTTACTTAATACACCATGGTTTCTGTAACACTGCCGAAGCATTCGCCACTGTAACAGATCAACCATTTAACGAAGACATCGCTTCAATAAAAAATCGCCAAAGTAAGTTACCTCACCACCTGCTTTCAGTAACAATGGAATTCTGATTGCATTTGTTTGCAGAGATTTTAAAATTAGTGTTAGCTGGTAGAATGGGCGAGGCCATAGATAAGACGAAGCGCTTATATCCGGATCTCTTGAAAAACGATCAGAAGCTACTGTTTATGCTGAAATGTCGGCAGTTTATTGAAATGGTGAACGGCACCGACGTGGAGGTGAACGCCGGTCGCAAATCTGCCAGCAACAACAGTCTCGGCACACATCCACCGCCATACACGAACGCCAATTCACCGAGCAGCCCTATACAGACGTCGGTGATACAGTCGACGAAAGCGTTTGCTAGCAATAACAAATCACCAAAGCTGGATGATATGAACAATCAGAACCAGCCGGCGGCCGCGCTTAATGGCAGCGCTAACAACTCGAATAATGCGGCTCCAGCAGCGAGCATACGAACCCCACCAGTTGATGCCAGTGCCGCGGATAGCGACGTTGAAATGGACACCTCCGAGGAACCGCAGCAGAATGGGCATTCTGTGAGCGCCAATGGCAAGAGTAACGGGTATCAGAACGGCAACAGCCATACTCCCGCAAGCAATGCGGGCGTCAATCAAGTAGATTGTTTTGAAAACGAGGATGAAGATATGGGTAAATTTTTATTAAATTATCTACTTTATTATTAAATAATTATCATTGCAGATGTGGATGGGCCATACAGCCGGAATAGTTGTAAACCTGCCGTTCACAGAATTCTTGAATTTGGGAAAGAGCTATATGCTATGAGTCAAACACTCACTGAAGACGACTCGAATGAAGCTCATGACATGGTCATGGTAAGACACCTACCTATAATCAGTTTGATCTGTTTACTTAAGGGGAAAACTTTTTAGGACGCATTTAGTTTATTAGCCTATTCAAATCCATGGGCGAGCCCCGTAGGATGGCAGTTGGATCCACTGCAGAGGGAAAGAGTTTATGCATCACTTAATTCAGCTATTTTAAGTATGTACATAATTTAGCACTAACCATTGAACGAAATGATTCATTTAATTGGACATATGTGTATGTATTGCAGAATCTACTAATAAACCTAGAAAACCACCACTGGAAGTCGCGATGGCGCACGCTCAAGAACTGGTGCGCTTGATGGCCTCCGCAGGTATCGGATCTAGTGCCTTCGCCTCCATCCCCGAACTCCTGGAGCACTGATACTGACACCCGTTCGGATACGACTGCGCATACCTCATGCGCAACACGTTAATTAATTCGGGCGCGAATTGAAACAAGTCGTTGGTTTGGTAACCAGAGTGAACTCAATAACATTTATAACGTAGAGATTATTCAGCATGCACGCGGTTTGATGCAAAACACGCTGGGAGGGAGGACATGCAAACGCCATTATAGTTTCAGTTTGTAATCTAAGACGGGATTAACACTAATTCAACATTACATAGACTGCCAACACATAATGGATAGTTTTATGCTACCACTTGTCACGCATATGTTGTTGTTCACGAAATTGTTCACTCTCAGCTCCGGAGAAACCAGTTACATGGGCTTGTTTTATACGTTACTATAATTCGTTTAGCATAATTTGTGTACATATGATTTCAGCGTATTCCATATATATTATTGACCTTTTTTCCGAACAATTTGAATATACAATAATTATGCAATAATTACTATAAGAATAAATCTATTGTTTTTGTTTGCTTTCAAATTTGGTTGTTTTCTTTTGTTTCTATTTGTTCATCGTACATGATAAGTGGTCGCATAAATGAATATTTCGATAACGTTAATCAAATAAATACGTAGATAGCACATTGGACATAGACGAACCAAATAACAAGCGACTCCGTTTAAAAATTAAAAGCGAAGTGAAATAAACATACAACGCATTTTTATAATAATGTACATAAAAGTAACGATAACTATTTATGCAACTTGGATGTTCCAGAGAAGAGAATAAAATTAGCTTCGAGGAATCTGATTTTCTTCGTCTGTGCTGGAATGAAAATCGTAACATGTGTAAACTAATATGTATTAATCGCCATATCGATTGTACTCCTTGTGTTGCGTGCGAATTAACGATGATGGCCATGTTAGTAGATATATCGTAGCGCGCTGATGGTTTCATCTGTAACAATTATATCGGATTCTATCGGATGTAAACATACATTGTAAAATTGCGAAAAAAATCCAACAAATTGAAATTTATTTTTATGAATATACGAAAAACGAATACATATAACCTAATGTAACGTAAAAACAAATGTGTATTGAATGTAGATGGTTTGCGGTGTACAGAAGGCTGGATGACGGAAAATGGAAAGCAATTAGTAGTTTCTGTACTGTTTGAAAATGATAAAAGAAAATGAAATTTATTGTGATATGTATGCAACCATATGAACAAAAGAAAATTCACACACCACTTTTATAATTACGGATTTCAATCAAAATGATCAAGGTTGATATATTAATTAATATGTTTGAGATGTGCGTCGTGATCGTCAGATAAATGTTTTTAATTTGCCCTCAACTCCAAGTATTACTTGAGTTTGATTTCGTCGGCAAGTTTTGGTTTTGTATCAACTATTGATTGGTATTGCAGTTGGAAGGATGGTGTCAATAATATTTATTAGATAAGATAACGATAAGATATTGGTTAATATGATAATGATATGATATAAGAGTGGAAATTTAAGCTGCGTTAAATATATAATTCAACAAAAGAACCAGTTGAAAGGAAAAACAGTTTAATACTTAATTCCTATCAAAACTGTTCCTGAACAAGTACTAGTACTATTGTTCGTAACCCGTAATGAGATTTACTATGTTCAAATTTCAATAGTTTTAAGTACTTAGTATTGTCTATTAACAGAACTTCCACGAAGTACTCCGCAACTTCATGGTTTAATCTAACTGGAATAGATCTTTATCAATTCTATTTTTATATGATAGATATTGATAGATATGATATTTACGAAACACATCACAACCAATTCAATCGCTTTCACATTTCTGGGTATTCTCACATCTATTTTGGGCGTAATAACGTATAAAACAACTTTTTCTATCCGAGGTTTACTTCTATCACATATAATGTACATAATGGACTTTTTCAATATAGCTATTTGCTAATAACGCAACTTAATATTGACAAAAGAGTGCGTAAAACTCTAACATGGAAAAGTAACGGTGTAACACAAATGTGAATTATATTTTTGTCTTTGAGCAAAATGCTACACGGAAGTATCTCTGCGATACACGCATGCTGCGTATATGTACATTCTTTCATTCATGGCAAACAGTGGCAAACCAAAGAGGGATCGCATTCAGGGAACATTGGAACATCTGCTCACTCGCCGCGGAGACAGACTAGTCGCGCACTCGCTCGTTGATTCATACTCGTACTTTAAGTTCGTGTGTATTACAAGAGTTTGCACAGTTGTTAGTTAGTGCATTTTGTTGTGTTTTGGAGTCGTTGGCATAAAGAAAAATAATCAACAACAGACAGAAAAAGTAATGTTGTGTTATAATATATTTTCTCGTCGAATAACTAAGTTATAAAATTTAATGCCGGCACGAGCTTTTTAGATCTTCGTAAGCGGTAACCTCAAAAATAGTCATAGCTTCACTGTAACGTTCTATAACCGCGAAATGTACGATTTCAATATGATTGATCTTAAAAATAGTTAAGTCAACATTTGTGATCTAACAAATTTAATACTTCAGTTGAAATTTAGCGGTTTGTTTATAAAATTATGAAGTTCTCGTATATAACTTAGTTTACTTTTTATGAAACTAAAGAGATGGCGCTAAAATGTGATCTGTTGCAGGACTCTAAGAGTGTGCAGGACTAAAGGGTGAGCGTACGTCCTTGGATATCAGCATCAGCACTCCCACGACCTAGCGAAGGAGTGCGTAATGGCGCCGCTCGCACACCGCGAACTTGTTTGATTCCCGCACACATTTCGCGCAGCTTCGCATCCCGTTGCGTAGCGCGGGGCACGCGCGGTGTAGGCGGTGACGCTTTCGACGAGTTGTGGGAGGCGACGCTTGCGTATTGACCGACGCCGCGCATCGACGCCTGGCGATACAGCGCGGCGGCCGCGCGACCGAACCCGATCGCGTATCTCTCGCGCACCGCACGCACACATTCGCGCAACGCACCGAGCGCCGACGTTCCTCGCACAGGCACAGCCTTTCGCTACGCGCGCACGAAAAAGTCGCGGCGGCAGCGAAAAATCTACACCGGCCACATCGACGGCGCCTCCCGCAGTTCCAAGCACGAAGTATGTACAGCAGCGTCGTCGTCGCGCGCGCCTAGCCCAGCCAGCGCCAGCATCCCGAGCGTGTGCGGTTGCGGTCCCGTGCGGTGGTGGTGAGCCGAGCGAGCGCCTCAGGGGTGTGTGCGCCAGTGCCAGTGAACGGAACACTTTCCGATCCGATTTTGCACCATTGCGCCATCCTAGCCAGGATAGCTGTGGGGTTTGTTTTTCAACGGGGCTGTTTGAACAACCGGCGCGACGTTTTGCTCGGAAGGCACTTGCAGGATGGGGTGTACGTCATCGGCCGAGGAACGAGCCGCCCTGGCTAGGAGTAAACAGATCGAGAAGAATCTCAAGGAGGATGGCATCCAGGCCGCCAAGGACATCAAGCTGCTATTGCTTGGTAAGTACATTGGGTCCTAAATCAATGCAAATGTAAATGCAATTAACCCTGCGGATTTTACATGATTTTCTAAAAAATAAATCCAAGCAGTTTGTTTGCCGCGTTCGTGTCCAGTGTGCGGCTCCTTGAGTGCGCACATGATGAAAGGGCGGGGGTTCGATTAAGCTGGGTGCGGCGCCGAGCTGCCATCTACGCAACAACCGACCGACCCTCACCTATTGTCATTCACAGCGATGATGGCGGCGGCACAATCCAATATTCTGCACCTGCAGAAACAAGTTTTATGCTTTATTCAATATAATTATGCGCGAGGAAAGCCAGTGGCGAGTGCGGCAAATGTTTTAGCTGCACGCGAGCCGCCAACTTCGGGCGGCTTGTCACACGCTTTGTACGTGATCGCACCGTGCGCACGCGGCGGTTGCGATGTCGAGCTTTCCAGCGTGGAAACGAACACACCCAAAATTCAATAAGCGCGCTGGGTGCAATACAAGTACTGTACGCAAACAAACTGTTGCTACTTTATTGCGAAACGACAAATTCACTCAGATAAAAACTGCAAATTTGCGCATTTCGGGAAAGTAGAACTGTGTATTATGGAACGATATCGTGTCTTTTCACTCTGCGCAATTTATCACGCTGCAAAAGAGTTTCGTGCGTGTTTGGTTAATTGCTTTACCCGATGCGTCATTTGCGATAGCGCTACGCGCTTTTTTCCACAGTGGCTTTGTGTATATGACGTATTTCAAGAAAATATTCATAACTGCTATTGATTAAATTATCACATTAGATGTTCAACTAATTTTGATTGGATGCTTGTGAATTAATAAAAATGCTCATTAGGTTGTGAACTACTTTCAGTGGCATTTTTAACAACTCGACATTTCTCAGGTTCTAAGATTTTCCGAACAATGTGTGACTTCTGGGAATACTTTGTTTCTCGTTGCCTTTTACAAGCCGCTTTAATTAATACAAGTTATTGCATGGGTTAATTATATTATGGTTTTGTATGCCTAAGTCTATTGTGCGTTCTGCATTGTTTTCTAAAAGAAATATTTCCTATTATGTCTGTAAAATGCAAGACTTCGGGGTTTGGGGACATTTTTTTTCTCTGTGTGTTGAAATGTAGAATATCGCGTAGTTTCACATGCGTGTGAATATTATTTGTTTAGATTTCTTAATCAACGAAACTTCAGCAACACATTAAACCACAAAGTTGACTAAACATTCATATCGAGCGTAGCACGTATTTCAATATGAATAAATGAATAAAATGTTATCAACTGTTTTAAATGTCAAAATATATAGAAAGTAGGATGAATATTTAAGGTGGCCTGCAGTGTATTTCATCTGCTCGTTTGCTCAAAATATTTTTACAATTGCCATCAATATTGTGTTGTATTATGTGGAATATTTGTGGCCTGGTGATATTATGCTGCGCAAACTGCCTAATACACGATACACGACGACGGTACGAGAACCAAGTATGATCTTAACTAAGAAAACAAATAAAACGTTTTCAGTCAGTGTCATACCACAGAGTTTTGTGATATTTGTTTAGCTTTATAACGTTGTCATAGTTATGGAATCCACAAATTACGAACTTATTTTTTGATGTTTTTGCAAGCATTCCGAATGTTTTAAGCATCTTTACTTGATTGGATCTGCACACCGTTTATTGCACCCAACGTTGGAAGGTTTAAGCTAAAAGTAGTTATATTTTTGTTGCAGTTGCACGTGAAAAGTTTTATTTTGTGTCCGTAGCTTTATTAATGTGAAATAATCGAGATCTAGTTTTTTGCTCATTGCAAGTCTCGTTAAATTCTGAAATAATGGCTATTAATGAATGAATATTTATAGACTTTATAGCAACCGATTTTATGTGAGATCGACCGAACGATGTTTTTAGACAGTAAATATTTGGCGATTGCCCGAAAAAAGATTCGATCTACTTTCAAAAATCATCCTGTAAATAAATTCAGCGCCTTTAATTAATTCGAATAATACTGTGCTAATAGAATACACTGAGTTATACTTGGAAACTTAAACCGTATAAATGCACAAAACATAAACAAATTACGCGTGCAATAATCCGAGAAAACAATTAAGTCATCGCCGTGATAGCGGGCTCGCGTAACACTTGCAATTATGGTTCTAACTAACTCAACCACATGCATACATACACCGGTGTTTATGCATATGTAGATAGTTTTTTTCAACTTGTATTGTAATTTGTGATGCAAATTTATTATTGCCGTATCTACCTGCCAAGAAGCGCAGATCGTTGATCGTGATAGCGATGGAGAGCCTACATCTTTTAGAAACTAATTTAAATTAGTTCACGCGCAATTTGCATGCTTCGTTCGTATTTTATTTAACGATTATTCATTGATGATTCATGTGAATCATCATTACGCAATGGTAATTACTATTTCCGACGTTGGCGACTAAATAAAAGGCGAGACTGGGGTCAATTGTGAAGTTATTTTATCACGGGAAGGTGTGGTTAGCCATTTGTTTGAATTTACTTAAATACTTGGGATAAAAGGCAGTGGTTGGGGATAATAGTAAAATTAAATATCATTAATAATTAATTCTTTGTAATTAGGTGTATTACAGGTCGTGAAATATTTAATAGTTACAATTTTTTGTTGAGAAAATAGTACAAATTCTGCATTATTTTACTATTTTTGGTCATATGCTTGGAAAATCAACTTTATGCAGTGATGTGTTATAGTCATTAGATTATAGCCAACATGACAATAACCTAACCAATAACCTTTTTTCTTACTTATTTTAAATTATTAACTATAGTTTGTGGCAGATCATCAATTTTACAATATAATTTGGCTATAGCAATAAAACGGACATATCATGCGCTCTGAGTGGGAAAATAGACAGTGGAATTACAAATAAGTGATTTTTTGTTGTTTCGAGGTTAAATCGTGTCAAAGAATGCCGATTTACAAGTCTTTCAGAAAGTACTACTCGCAATGAACAATATTCCTACTCTTCGTTCAAGATATGACTTTATCTGTATCACGCACAATGTTGTTATTACAATGTCAAGTTTCTTACATTACACTTCCGTCTTGGGTTACACGCACCAAGCAAATAAACTTGATTGACGACTATTTATGCGATGACACTAGAGCTGATTGTCGCTAGGATAGGTGCGAACGAGTTTACGCACTTTTTAAATCACATTTCAATGATAATATTATAAGCAATTTGTTAATGGTTTGCTGATTGTAGCGTACCCAATACTGATATCGCTACATTCACATAGTTAATATCGTAATCTACAATTTATATTAATAGTATCTAATACCTACACTCTTCCGCCCACGTCCTACGAAATACCGTTGAAACACGATGTCGCATTTTTTATCACTAAACATATTGATTATCGACACACACGTTATCTTAATGTACATAATGTGCTGTTATCGCGACTTTTGAGCCGTACGCGCCATTTTTTTCAACAACCATGTCATCTGTTTGTGAGGCAAAGCCATTAGTTTTTTATTTTCACCAAAACGTTACATTCTTATTTTAGCACGTGTCGCATATCATTATTTCGTCTATCACCTTTTAAACCCGTCTCACCGTCCTCGGGCGGACACGTTGTAATAAAGAAAAACCACGTCTAAGCAGTCTATTTATATGTAGCCTATATTATCACGATGCTCATGAAAAAAAAAAAGATTCCAAGACGGTCAAGCAAACAGAGACATTGTGCGTGATTTTAAATTGACAGCAATATATTGGTATAAAAATATTTGAAGTTTGTAGAGGTAGATAACGATACCCGTGATTTTGAACGGGTACTAACACCATATGAATATATACCTATATTTTTTATATTGTGAATCGTGTCGAGTGGGTGCATTTAAGTTAAGTCTGCTTTGCACTCCTCGGCGCATGATCTCTGCGCGGAACACTCCTCCATGCGGCACTGACTGCACACATCCGAATCACTCTCCATGAGTGTACGCGACGTATCGGCTGGTTTTAACGTTTTTTTTTTCTGTTGTTATTTGCTTCTCCATTTCGCGCGCTTAAGTAATCCCAGTGCAACATGAGGGAAATGCAAATGTGATTGATCCGGGGCACAGGGAACACTTAGAAACTCATTTGGGATTAATGCGGGTGTGCGCGTTTAACGATAGTGCATCTATGTGTCGAGTGCTATTTATATCAAGCGCGCGAGTGGATTGTGGATATTAATCTACGAGTATAAGAGCATTTTCCGTACGAGTGTTGGCGGCTGCAGATCGGTCTATACATATATTTTTCTTGTGTTTGCCTGTGTTTGGTTTCGGTAAAAATTTCGTGCTTTTCGCGATTGACCATGGGCTGCACCATCTCGGCTGAAGAGCGTGCTGCTGTGGCCCGCAGCAAAGCGATCGATCAGACCATCAAGGAGGCAGATTTACACTCCAAGAACGTCGTCAAGTTGTTATTGTTAGGTAAAACCGGAAAAACAAATATCTCCGTCCTCAGCTGTGTCTTATCGGCCGTGAGAAAGCAAAAGGCTGTGCATGAACATATTCCGGTGTTCGCGGCTTCGGGAAGTGAGCAGCAGAAAGAGCTTTTGAGTGCGGCCATCTGAGCGCCATGTGTGTTTATATTTCGAGGTACAGAGCCACACTGCAAACAAAAAACCAAATGTATCCACACTGGAGCTTTCCAACTTGAAGCAGTTTAATTTTTTTTTGTTCTTCTGATTGCTCAATACAATATTCTTGTGTTGTAAAAATCACTGCTTAAAAATGCATGTTTTTTTATTATTTAGAATGTTATTCGTGTGTCTGCGCACAAATTTTGGAGAATTGGAGATTTCTCTTGTATAAACACAAATAAAATTTGAACCTACACATTAAAAGAGGCCCAGGGTCAAACAGAGCAATTCATTGGCATTTCTTTTTATAAATTTTAATCAAATTCTTGAAACGCACCTACGTCGAACCGCTAACTGCGTAAACTTTTGAAGCAATAAAAACAACGTTCAATTCAGAACATTTTGATTTCAATTGTGCAATATATTTACAAATAAAGAAGATATATATTATTCTGAATGTATAATTTTAGCATGGCGTTGATAAATCTTCCAATCTTGAAAGAAACTTGCTGTAAACAAGCGTAATTAATATTTTACGCATGTTGTCCGCTTCTAATCGTACATTTTTAAGCAGGACGTACGTAGCTTACAATAACTAGTGTTTTATAACCTGATGGGTTGTGTTTTGTAGGACTTTATGTACGTATGCGATCTGTTTAGATTGCTTGTTAACGTCACGATTCATTTTCATTCGCGTTTGTTTATCGAAGGCCTTTAACAGTTTACACGACCGCTGTGCCATCAACCGTAACCACACATCGATCCAATAAGAAAACTTTAGATAAAATTTAATTATTTGTTTAGTGATAGTTTTAGTGCCGAGTGTACTTTGCACACCTTTCGAAAAGTGTGTTGTTGTGGGGTGTATGTTGTTGGTGATAACAAATATCGTGTGTGTGGGCGCTGTACGTTTGATTATGAACAACATTATCGCACTTGACGATAAAGGCATGATAAGGGTGCTGGAGTCAAGTGTCACTAGCACAGCAGCACAGCGCGCCCGAGACGCGGCCATCCACGTCGCGACCAAACCCTATTCGAATCGATCCGTGCTCCTAACAGGTGCAATTAGCTAACTTCGAACGAACTCGACAGGTTATTTACGCATTATTAAGTTGTGTTAATGCGGAATTTATCTGGTGTAACTTTACTTAACCGCCATGTTGCTGAGAATTACCATCAATTCAAATTTATAAAACATTCAAAATTGTATTTTATTTTGTGGCTAGTTTTGCTCCTAAACTAAAATCTGCCAATTACCATAGTTTGTGAAATACAAACAAAATCGTAAAAAAATCTTTTGTCCTACTAGTGCGTTGATTACGCGTTAATGTTTTATACTATCGATTAACTTCGTTCATTCAATACTGCCGCTTTTAATTCATTCATTCATTTGTCGCTAGTGTTTTACAATCCAATTGGAGCGAATTGAATATGTTTAATGGAGGTCAATAAGTTCAGTATGATACACACGAGATAATTTCATTCTTGTGATGTTGTGATCCCATGCATGTCGGTGACAATCTTTGCTGCGACCATATTTGTCATTAATTTACGGGCGCTATTTATAGGTAACTTAATTCGGCAGTAGGTGTTTCGCTCCAATTTGGATGTTTGCCGCCGACATCGCAATTTCAACTTACTCGCACACGATTGTATTCAACCTAGCTGAAAGCCTATACTTTTCCTACTCTCCTGCTTGTGAACATGAGTAACATCGCGCTGCATTGATAAAAGCACGAGGTCTGCTATATGGACGCGTAATTGCCGTTCCGATGGCGTAGTTTTAAATGGTTTTAATTGAGAAACAAGCCATGCACATTTATACGATGCCATCACTAGCGTCCTCTTGATGTTTCCTACTTACTTTTTTTGATGTATTTTTGAAAATGCAAATTTCTGCGCACACATTGCGTGCGTAATGAAATGGGTACGCGTTGTTATCGTTTATCAGCAGTGAAATAATTCATTAGCGTATGCTTTTGGGCGTTGGCCGGTTTTCACCGAACACACACACTCTCTCTCGATGTGTACTCGATAGATACAGTAATAATAATTAAACGTTCACGAAATGCGTCACGCGCACATACGAATATAAGCGCGCACGCAAAAACATCGCAATCTTGGTCCAGTGGGGCGTCTTTTGTTTAAATAATCAATATTTGCTCCTTGATGAATTATGATGGTTTATTGATATTAGTAATGTACGTAAGTCAATATTTGAACGCGGTGCACTTGTACGAGTTTCGCGTTCCCGATCCAATAATGTTATTTCAATATGGCGCTCATTCGAACATCAAGAGCACGATCGTCGGTGGCAGGAAGGCGACGCGGCGTCTACTCGGAGATTACTTCGGGGTTGATTTTTTTCCGCTTGCTCTTTACACAGCATCGAAGCAGAAAACTGGCAAATTGCATTAAAGCATTTCAGGGATGCTGTCATAATTTAATATACAAGTATTAACTGGATGTTTCGCGAACTTCAAGCTACCGGTGTGGTAGTACATACTTACATATAAACAACCGGGCTTGACTTGTTCCGGCGATTTGACTCGTTGAATTTCCGCCTTTAAATAAATTGCTTCTGCCGTTTCAATGTTCAACGTGCAGAAGATTATATCATGTATTTCTGTAATGCTCGTAGTCATTTTTAACAGATTACAATTTGATTTGCACGCCGATGGTGGTCTTTGTTATGTAATGTTGTTTGTTTTTTAATGTTAAAGTTCTTTTTATTGTGTAACACATTCTTCTTATACAATTTTATAAAATCATGTTATTTTTGTTCTTCGTTTCTGCATAAATGAATAATAATTTTTTTAGTTTGTACTTTTGGCCTCACAGCAAAGTTGCTTACAATAAAAAAATAATGGGGTCTCTCACATGTGTTTTTTTGTTGGGAATTTATTAAGACTGGAATAAAAAGTTTTTAATATTTAAAATTTAAAAATATGTAAAATAATGACTGCATATATTGTCCTTTGAACTTGTTCTCTATTTACGCTAATTGTTTTTAATGCGCCCGTAACGTGCTCTACGGTACATTAGCCAGTAAAACAATTATTGTTAATACCCTAAACACAAGGAAGTGAAAAACGATGTGATATTTAGAAGTAATAATCAATACCACGCTGACGCAATCCTAGTATGTTTGATGATGTTGTCGATAATATGATTAAACAATTATTGTTTGTTTCAGGTGCCGGCGAGTCGGGAAAAAGCACGATAGTTAAACAAATGAAGTAAGTACATCTATGCTTTCAAAATTATAATTTGAACGAAATGCGTGAAGCTTGAGATGAATGCATTTTCCAAGGTCGAAGAGATAGCAACAAAAATCGTCGTAAAGCTCCCCAGAATCAATTGCGATCCCTTGGCTCGTGGGCGTGTAGCTTTTTCATATATTTGCACATTGGTACAATCTCAGATGGCGCAGCGATCACTGTGTCCTTTCCGGTTTGTTACTTGGTTTTTCGTTTTCAGTTTGTATTTGCGGCGAGTAGTGCGAGTGCGCTGATAGGAAAAAGGGAAAACGACATGAAACGATCGCGTGGGTCTTTTATGGTGTAGGCGAAGTCAAGGGAAGGGAAAATGTTGTCGGGCGTTCTTCTCGTCACAGGCTTGGGACACCACATTGGGAGACAGGAGAGTCCAGACGTGGTCGGTTGCCCTTGCGCAGAGTATCGTGTGTTTCATCTTTCGCTCTGCGATCATCTCGGTTTTCTCCATCCGACATTCGAAAGATACGAAGCAGGCTATTGGTGTGCGGGCGCGCGCGTGCGAGCCGTGGAATAAAACGGAACGAAATGAACGATCCTGCCTGTTTGCCTGCCTGCCTGCCCTGCCTACTTTCCTTGCCCCGATCAATAAGCGGGGTTTTCCGCTCCCAGCTCTCTGACACGTATGCGAGATCGCCGCCGCGGCGCATTCATTCTACTTCGAGTACTATAATGCCCCTTGCTGCATGCTTACCATGCGTCGTTATGCTGTAGGCGCTGCGGAAACCACTGCTACGAAGTGCATCAACAGTTTTCGGATGTGCACGAAAACTCGCACACTAGATCTTTCTGTTCGTTTTCAGCAATCTGGGTTGTATATTGGCGCATATATTTAATATACAAAAGGAATGTTAAGATTTCGGTGTTTTTTTTTCGCTAGCATTCGTTTCTAAAGTAAAGCACTGCTGTATACTAAAGTGCTACTTTAGCGTCATGAATTTATGTGCTTTTTCGAACTTCTCAAGTTTAATTTCTTTGTTTTTGCTCAGGCGTTGTTTCCTACGTTATTTTCTTCGACGCGCGGCGTTATATTCATTAGTTTTATTGACCTGATTAATTCAAATGGCTGTGGGTTATTATGGACTAGTTCTTTATTTTACACTGGTTTTATGGTCGATTGTTCTTCGAGTTTCATGACTTGGCTCAGGATGACTATGGATGATTGCGATAATTGAGGAATAACAAGCAACACTACAATCTGTTCAGTTGGATCAGTAAAACGCGTCGCCATGTTTCAATTGAGCATTATTATGTTATCAACTGTGGTACAAATCTATTTTTACCGTCTAAATTCTCAAAATAACTGGCAGACAAAGTCTTTAAAATTTTCATGGCATGAATGTATAAATAATGTAATAATGAAATTAATACTTTTAACACTTGTAATTACGCTAATGCAGAGCTTTCGCCAACGCAAAATGGATTTAGTCGTAGTATGTATTTTAATGGCCGACATAAAGCAAACGCTGCCGCGAAGCCCATCATGACGATAATGTATTAACCGTTGGTGAATGCGCCGTGTGTGGCACATGCTTTCTTTAGTTTATTTATATGCCAAACCCTCTGTTTTCGTTGGCAACAATGGTTTTAGTTCTGTTTACGCGCTTATTAATATTGCCAGCGCCAACAGCAAGTTGCTGGCTCCATTATTTTTGTGTACATTGTACTACTTCCAATTCTATGCGATTTTTAAAAATTTCAGGATCATTCACGAAAGCGGTTTTACGAGTGAAGACTTCAAGCAATATCGGCCGGTCGTGTACAGCAATACTATCCAATCGCTAGTGGCGATACTGAGAGCGATGCCTAACCTCAGCATTTGCTACGGTAACAACGAGCGCGAGGTAAGAAATTTAAATGTGAGTGTTCTTCATATTTAAAAATTGTTACGGTATGGATGACGTAAACGTGTCGCGCAATGTAACGGAAGCGGGCGGAAGTAGGAAACATGAATGCTCCTGGCGAGTGACGTAGTATGGTACTTTCAGCAACGATTCATTAGCACGCGTTTGAGTTTCTGATTAAAATTGTATACTAGACATGACAAGTAACTTTTCACGAGTGTAATACATCCACTGGCATGTTTTTTTTATATATAAATTTTCCATTTTTATTAAAGTAATGTACTGATACTAGTCGCTATATGATGTTTAATATCTTGGCGTTCCACGAATCGTTCAACAAATGAAAATAATGCAGTAGTGGCTGAAGTGGCTGAAACTCGTGGAAAAGTTGCGACACGAACGCGACAAATACGCCGCCATATCTAGTTCACTAATCGTGTACCTCGTTTGCTTGTTATTGATTGTAGTCATGCGAACTTCCCCATGCCAGCCGGAATTATTAATAATTTAACAACATACAACCGCTCGCGGTCCCCCAATCACCGTTGCGCGTTCACCGCCGCTCTATCTATCGCATCCAATGTCGGTCGGTAACTCCGGTAATGAACGCTCTGCTCGTTAGTGGATCTCCTGCCAAGTTCCTATACCAGCTACCTGTTGATGGGGACATTTCTTGGGCTGCAGCGTAGGTGTGGTTTTTATTAGAGGCCGACGAATTGACCTGTAGCAAAAGAGGCGCCCGTCGGACACGTATCACGCACTAGTATATTTATTACAGGATAAATAATTCCGGCGTTTGTTTCCGCTATCAAACACTCGAAGGTCTTAATTGTGGCTAGGCACGAAGATCTCGAAATATTTCGAATCGAATATTTCCAATTATATATTTTCAACTTTCTCACATAGTAACATCGCACATATTGGCGAAATTAAACAGCCTATTTCATCGCGCCGATGTATTTCGGGAATATGTATAAATATTTGCTTTTTACGTTTTTGGTAACGCATAATCTAAACGAAACCGCATCTCCAGAACGCGTATACGGATTCGCCTTGCGTATTTTATTAACGCAATATTCTACGATTGTGTTTGCAATATCTTCTTGCTTACGCAGTGCTATTCCTTAGTGCGTCACCCCAATAAAGCTCGCTGTATATGTGAATTATGACTTGTTTGTGCAGATTGACGGCAAAATGGTGTTCGACGTAATCCAGCGCATGGAAGACACCGAGCCCTTCTCGGAGGAATTATTGGCCGCCATGAAGCGGCTGTGGGCCGACAGCGGCGTACAAGAATGCTTCGGACGTTCGAACGAATATCAGCTTAATGATTCTGCAAAATAGTACGTTTGAATTGTCTATTTCGGGGCAAGAAACACAATCATTTTCTGCGTGGTTGTTCGTCACTGCCTCTGGCAGCTAAATTGATTGCAATCGTTCTCAACTTTGTTTCTTTTTTTCCTCGCAGTTTCCTCGACGATTTGGATCGATTGGGAGCGAAAGACTATCAACCCACTGAGCAGGACATTCTGCGTACGCGCGTCAAAACTACTGGCATCGTTGAAGTGCATTTTTCATTCAAAAATCTTAACTTTAAGTAAGTAATCGTATGTCAAATACTATCCGTTTATAATAATAATTTTTTTTAATTCTAGACTATTCGATGTCGGCGGTCAGCGATCAGAGCGAAAGAAGTGGATTCATTGTTTTGAGGACGTTACTGCAATCATTTTCTGCGTAGCTATGAGCGAATATGATCAAGTTTTGCACGAGGACGAAACGACGGTAAGGATAGCACCCATGTAAAGATGATAAATGTTTCATGTTTCTCGGGTTTCAGAATCGGATGCAAGAAAGCTTAAAGTTGTTCGACTCTATTTGCAATAACAAATGGTTTACGGACACTTCGATCATTCTCTTCTTGAACAAGAAAGATTTGTTCGAAGAGAAGATTAAGAAGTCGCCATTGACTATATGCTTTGCCGAATATGCCGGTACGTAACATTGATGGTTGATGCGTGGTAGTGATATTAAACTGTTGTGAAATGTCTTATTTACAGGCGCACAAGAATATGGCGAAGCAGCCGCTTACATTCAGGCACAATTCGAAGCTAAGAATAAATCGACAACCAAAGAAATTTACTGCCACATGACCTGCGCCACGGACACACACAATATCCAATTCGTGTTCGACGCCGTCACCGACGTCATCATCGCTAATAACCTGCGTAATTGCGGCCTCTACTAAGCATCAACAACTGACTTTGCCATACACCACACCCGAAATGATGACCTACGGAGAAAAATAACAAATCTTTTATTATTACGATCATTGCAAACATATTATTTCCATACGAATAACGTAAAAAGCGAGGAACACACACGCACATTGGAAAAATCAACACCGAAATTGCGCGCCGCTGTCGTGGCGTAAGCCGTATTCGAAATCTGCATGCTTACGTCGCGAGCGCGTATCAATGCTGCATTTTTCCTTCGATGATATAAATACTAGTACTACATACATAGATAAAATGGATTCTTACGCAATTTCCCTTGATTGAAAATGCTCATTTGTCAGGTGTACGATACAAAGTAAAAAGAAGTTATAAATACTAATACAAAGAAATTACAACTAGCGTTTAGCGTAGGAACGTATATTAAAAGCAGGAATACAAACGGTAACAAATATTCGAGTGAGACGGCTCTTTAAATGAACATTATATACATACACCTAATGGATACGAAGACGCCCAGCAACAAAACATTAGTCATACATTACATTAGTATATGTGGTAATTATTTTTTCGACAAACAGCGCGTGGTGCTTTATTTGTTATCATACTTATATCATGTATTCTTATTAATTATTGTGTAAGCATTTAATTTCGATTCAATGCACGCTTGGACAGGACAAAGATGATCAAGGGTTGCACACATTACGATAAACGCACACCCTTCGTCGTTTCGCATTTATACTAACGTTAGACGAACAAAACGAACTGTGCCATTGATGATACAAAGAAAAGATGCATTTATTTATTTATTAGTTACGATTATTACTTTATTTAATATGTATAATTAGTAGCTTATCAGAATTTAACAAACCTAAAGTATAAATAAATGAATTAATCGACAAAACAAGCTGGAACCAAACATAAACAAATAGTTGTGTACTATTTATGATCGGGGCTCAAATTTAGTTCAGTCAAAGAAAACTTATACATAACTTATATTACTATACATAATTATATATAAATATAAAAATATATTATATATATTATTATATAAAATAAGTGAAAATGAAAACAAAATGTTGTACTATAATGATCACATGCAAAGAGAGCGAAACGTTTTTCATCCCGGTGAATCATTTGGACTAGCTGAAATGTAGTACGTTCATTTGACTTTCCGAAATCCGTTCATGAAGATGAGGACAGGACAAAAATCGTGGACCTATTCGATTAGATAAACAAAGTAAACTAAAAGAAAGCTACAAACTAAACAAGAAATGTACATAAATCACATTATTACTCAAGTATAAAATTAATGAGAAATGTTACAAAGTAAAAAAAAAATGGGAAAAAACCACAAAAACTCATAAAAATATGCGCTTTCATCTTCATATAATATATCTCCGATCCGAACAACAATGGCAGACGTTGGTAAAGTTTACAGAAACGTATTTAACAAACATTCCTATGTCTTACGATTTACAGCATACTAATTAAGCTCCTGTTATTTTTCTATTTTCATTATTTCAAAGCGCTCAATTTCATCTATATATGCAACACGCATACGAAACACAAGCGTCACAAATTGAGCACATCAAATGTACCATATTAACTTATTATAACAAACAAAAACAATACAATATTATATAGTAGGTAAATTTGTAACTGTTTGGAGGACAAGGAAGCCACAATCAATTTAATCACAAAACTGCTTTGAGGTGCAAAGTAAATCTTGTTTAAATCGCATTTTAATGATATACTGGTGAAATGGGTAATTGTGAAACAGAAGTAGCTTGTAAGCGTATATTGCATGCGGATGGCAAGGCATGAGAAGTATATGTAGGGACAATTGAATAAGAGATCTTTCAAAAATTCGATGAATGTAATTGCGTATTTTAAGTGCATCTAGTCATACTTTTTTGCGTTCGACATGAAAACTAGTGTTAATCACGATGTCGACATTATTGTTTTGTCGGATATAGTTACATTGTATTATAAATATTATGATGATAGAACGTAAATGAATTAAATTGCTAAATGAAGCATATGAAACAAAAGAATACATAACAATGGATAAGAAATGACGAAATGGGGTAAAAGGGTGTTAATTAAATCGGCATTGACTGATTTATTTTAGTAAACTATCATAATTCTTATTTGGCTTAGTATTTATCGTAGGCATACATTCTGTTGCTCACCTGTAATTCTTTGGAAGAGAAAACAGTGTTGGGAAAATTGGAATAAATTTGTGGCATAAAATAAAATACACATACACACACACATACATACATACATGCATACACAGCTAGTGAATTTGAAGTAGTCCAAACTGGACAAATATATTTATTAATTAATATTTATATTCTAAGTAATATTATCTTGTCTAATACGATACGATTAACTTACCGAATTCGCCAAGAGTATCTTCAGGTCGATAACATGTAAATATTTGTGTACAATCGACATGATAACCTGAACAGCTCGTAGGCACTCTCAAATTAAGATGCTAATTGCGACGCGTCTGTTTTTCTCTTTAACGTACTACTAAACACAACAATCACACCATGGGCACATACAGAAGAAGCAGAAACACTTATGCACAATGTGCGGAGACAAGAACGATAATGTAATTTTTTTCATGTTCAACTTATCTTAAAGTATTTATTGTATATTGTCTCATAAACAACATATCTTATTGCATTCATTTTTGCCGCCACACTAATTCCACACACCTTGGATATAATTGTAACACACGCAATTTTTATTATTCAGTAATCAAATTCTGCAACCAATGGTTTTCGCTCATGAGGCGCTATATACGAAACGACAGATTCGTTATTCATACTTGTCGCATATTTCAAATGAAATTAGTTTGTATAAAATACTAAATGAAACTAATAACTAATTGATAAATTTAACGTAAAGTAAGAGGATAATGAAGATAAAATATTGTATTTGACATTAAAGAAGAAAACCTACTATTATTAATTATGCACTTGCATAAGTATTATGAAGTTGTTGCTTTGTTGTGAAAAAAAAAACAAATTAATTACTAATGGTCAAAGATCTAGCTGCGCAGTGACAGATATGTACATGTTCTCCAGTATATGTATAACATTCACAAGTGAGGTATTTCTCTCATTGTATGTTTGTTTCTCTGTGATGTGAATATGATAAAAAATAATAATAAATTTACCCATTTCGATTTTGTTATTTTATTTCATAATTAGTTTTTACTCCTCTAATATTAATGAAAATGTCATCAGTAAATTGAAGTAAACGGTATAAAAGACAATTTAAAAATTTTCAACATACTGATATGCTTGGTTTCTGATATTTAATATTAACCGTATAAGGGTAGCGGTAGAAGTGACTTGATTCAGGGCACCGTATTAAGGTTGCGGTAGAAGTGATTTGATTCAGGGCACCGTATGAATGTAGCGGTGGATTTGACCTGATAGAGGTAGTTTCCGACGGAAAATAATATGAAGTAATGAATATTTAGACGATTTTTATTAACTAAAATGATATAGGTATTTAATTTCAAGAGTAAATTACTAAAGAAGTAAAATTTGAATGTTTTATGTTTTTTGTAGATTTGATGCAAATTTCAAGAAAATATGTGATTTCATTGACTATTTATGCAGTGTATAAGGTTTATTTATTGCTAAATTAATGAATATTTACATTAAAATTGCAAAATTTAAACTTTAAGTTATGTGTTATGGGTAAAAATTGCTATTCGTTTAGATAGGGTGGTGCATGCGCAGTTGCGTGAATGTGTGACATACGGGCATTGCCATTTAGTGCGTGACCATACACTGCCTCATAGCCAATCACTCACTGCCTCATATGCACGCCACACTTTTTGATACACATTGTATTTTCTTGAGGTACTCAATAGTAACCTCAGATGGCGCAATAATGTATGTTTTAGCTAAGAATATTCCTGCGAGTGAAAGTCGGCGTGTCCAGTTGTTGTGTAGCCGGCACACGACTCTTACTTCGTGCGATAAGTAATAATACTTAATAATACTAAATGGATATTTCGTCTTTCGTGTTGTAAATTCGATATATCGCGTTATATTTGCTGGAATTTAGTGTTAATAGACGGATTTTAGTCGCTAAATATTTATCGCGTGTGTATTCTTCGGAATTCAATGTTTTGTGTTTATTACCGTTTTGCGTATATCTGGGATCCGTTGCCGTCGGACGCCAGTCGGCCATGTTGTGTGATTTTAAATAATATTTTGGAGTTGTGCGAACCATTTTTGTCTTCAGCAGAACACGACGGGCGGCTGTTCTACTTGGTAAATATTATTATTTAAATAATTATGGCAAATAAGACAATTTTTAAGGCAAAGTTTGGGTTCCTCTGGAACTCGGAATCATTTCAACATTGTCCGAAATTGTATAACTAATGTTTTGTTTCTTGTTTATTTCAGTACCTATCTACTCGCATTTGATTTGCGGTGTTCGATACACCGGTGAGTGAAATTTTTCATAGTTCATAGTATCTATTTTTCGATTTTACGGTTTTCCTGCAATTAGAGAATGAATATCTTAAACTTCTTTTTGCGGAATTTTCGGCCAAGCATTCCGCAAAAAATTTAAAATGGAAATTTAAACTATTTTATTGCGGATGTTCAGAGCGACGTTTAATTGAAAAAATTGATTAAATGTGATCTTACATTTTCCACTGAAAAATTAAATTTGTAAATTTACAGTTTTTATTTCGGAAGTTGTTATAGAAGGTCTCCTGAGTATTTATTTTAGTAATATTTTACACTAGGACCGATAGTTTTCCCGTAATTTGACCAAATGTGGATTTTCTACCGAAAAATTAAATTTGGAAATTTAAAGTTTTTCTTTTGAATGTAACTGTAAGAAGTGATCCTGAACATTTTATTTAAATCAAATTTTAAAAATTACAATGAAATTATGAATTACCCAACTCGAATTTTAATTTTTGATTAGTTTTAATAATTTTAATTGTTGGACTACTATCTGTAGCATTCAGAGATGGCACTTACCTGAACTAAAAATCATAAAATAAAATTGTATTCTTTATTTCTATATTTATCAGCAAACGTTAGCATTCGATACGAGAAGTTACACTTTCTTATCGAATGCCCGTGTGTCGTCGTTGCCATCCCCTCACGCCGCACGTTGTCACATCTTAGTTTAGTTGTGATCCAAGGTAATATGCCTGTTGCAATTCACGCACAAGGTCGCGTGCCATCGGCGGGCCGCTTTGCGCATCTATTGCTTTTACCTGCGGGGTTCATGCTGCAGGCACATTGTCTTATTGGGAACTGTCGCATCATTGCTTGCGCTATCGATGGATTGCAGCCAGTTTCGTACCGGTCGCTGGCGTATCTAGACGTATTTCGCGCGACTCGTATCGTGTTATCGGACTTTTATTTTCTAAATTTGCATTGTATTCGGTCATCAACTGACTATTTAGTTGTAACATGCATCTGCAGTGTTTTGTTAATGATTTATTGTGCGTTTAATATCCATAATTTTTATATGTTTGCGTTTGATGTTTACATTCCAAATGCATATTGTTGCCATCATGTTTCCCGTCATTGGGAGGTCCCTTCAAACTTGAGGAAGTAACTTATATCTGACTTACGCTACTCAGCACAGAATGTTTGTTTTCTCCGATGTGTGAATATAATATTATATTGTATGCAATGTTTTTAATAAAAATATATGATATATCCTATGATAAATAGGAAAAATTAGTAGTAAACGTTTACAATAACTAAATTAGAGACCGACTGAAATTTCGGTTTCGGTTTCGGCCAGTTTCGGCCAAGAATTCAAATTTTGGCTTCTGTTTCGGTTTCGGCCAAAAATTGGCTAATGGCGGTTGTTACTTGCCATCTCAGTTCACACATAGAAACTTACATTAATTATCAAATAAGTATCAAGTGACTAAACGGGGACTTTACTCACGAGATTGATTTTGTATCTAAAAAACGTGGAAAAACTGGCGCTTTGTAGGTAGAAGTAAAAAAATATGTTTATGTAAGTTACAGTTTTGGTTTCAGCCGAAACTGAGGGCTGGGCCGAAATTTCGGTTTCGGCTAAAAACCAGTTTTGGTCGGACTCTAGTTTATATTTTAACTTATGTTTTCTTTTAATTGCAGTACTTGCTGTGCCCTGGCAAACCAATGAGCTGCATTGGTAAGTTTTTATTAATTTATATTATTCGGCCAAATGTTTTATGACCTGCGTGTTGCAATAGCTCGCGAATTAAAGGTGCCTTGTTTATTTTAATTGCGGGTAATATAGAAAACAAAGGAAACGACAAAGTTTGCCCGCTTTTCGCGTTTTTCAAAACACACGGTGGAAAACAGGCCATATCTCAGGAACCCTTTGTCATATTTTAGTTTTTTTCTTTATTTATGATAGGCCAAGAGTGTATTTTTAAAATGCACCCCTGAACCCCCGCGAAATTCGATCGTAACTGCCGCAAAATGGCCGCCAAAGTTAGACTTTCTTGAAATTTTCAAAACACGCGATGGAAAACAGGCCATATCTCGTGAATCCTTTGTCATATTTTAGCTTTTTATTTATTTTATGATAAAGCAAAAGGGCATTTTTGAAATACACCCCTGAATCCCGCGAAATTCGGTCGAAACAGCCTCAAAATGGCCTACAAAGTTAGGCCTTTCCCTGCAATTTTCAAAACAGGCGGTGGAAAACCATACCTTGAAAACCCTTTATGATATTTTAAGTTTCTTCGATTTGATTATAGGATCAGAGTGCATTTATCGTCATAAATTGAAAATTTGCAATATTGAGCACTTTCAGTTGAGGTTCTTGACCTTTTACCCCATTAAATAAAATTACCCCCCACCCCCTTGCCCATTTTTTCTTGTGAATTAAAATTTCATCTAATAAGTTAGTTCATTTGGAAATTTACATTTATGGATCTTTTCGTTTACCGAGAAATATTGAAAGTAGAAGTAAATTTTGTGTATGTGTATTTCAACGTTGTGAATTTTTAGTTTGGTCCTCGCAACTAGGTGTTTATCAGTACGTTTGGGTATAAACAACTTTTTTGTTCGACTGACGCGTGATATCGCTGCATACCTGTCTTGTACCCGGCTACGCGCAACGCACACGGCAGTTGTTTCACGGCGTGGTCCGCGAGCGTGTCTATCTAATCGCCACGCGTTTTGGCGTTTTAATTGGATTAATTGTCGTGTATTCTTTTGGCCATCGGTAAAATGTAGGGCTTCACACGAGACGAGAGTGGACGAGACTATCAACAGTATCGTCTCGGTCTCGGTATCGTCTCGTAAAAGCGATACGAGACCGAGACGATACGAGAAAAGTCTCGCGATACCCGTGAAGCCTTTGTTCTTATATTTTTTTACATTTAATGGTTTTAAGTGTAAAGAAAACATTGAAGATCTTTGCAGTTCAAAAGTTTAGTAATTTAATTACTCCAAAAATACATACATAGGTTAAAATATTAATTATCCCAATATTATTAAGTTGTCTACAAAATATTGTCAACATGAACACTTTTTCGTCCCGGACTATATCATAAATTTTATTTGACAAGATCTATTATATTCCCTTGCCCAGTTAATACAATACGTTTGCTGTTCATATATTTGCTTCAAGAAGTACAGAAAAACACAAAAATATGTCCCCGGATGTATAAACAAAGACAAAATTTTCATAAAACTTTCAAAAAGTCAAGAAGGTCATGATATTCGGTTACTGACTTGTTCTTTTGAATATACAAAAGAAATATTTCACAGATGGTCATATATTGGATTTCATATATTGGCCCTTTTCTCATTTTACTAATATCAACTTCATAAAAAAAATTTCACGAGACCAATAACGAGACCAAAAACGAGACTCGGACTGTGGTCTCACTATCGCCGAGAAATTGATAAAGCTCGTCTCGGAAAAGCGAGACGATACCGAGACGATACGAGAAAAGTCTCGGTATCGCGTGAAGCCCTAGTAAAATGTTCGCAATTGGCATGTGTGTCTGTTTTGTTTAATGATTTATGGCGATTAGAGTCCTCTTAAGTGAGAAATAAGTGTCCGTTAATCCCTGCGCGAGTTTTCATATAGAATATATTACAAGATAGAATATCTACCCTTCATTGCACAGGTGGGTGGATAATTATAATTTTTCGCGGAAAGTTAAGGCGGTTTAACCTAAATTGATTATTCAATTTGGGGGATATTAATTTTGTGGTGGAATTTTTATCAGAATTCATCTTAGTCGCGTTTCCGAAAATAACATGCTTCATTTAATTATTACAAGCACGGTTTTTAAAATTATCTGAGGATTATTAAAATGACAATTTTCATGTGGTGTTTTCGAAGATCACGTAAAGATTTTGAATCGAATTGCATCATTAAATTAATAATTTCATGTTGAAATAAAATCTTGAACGATGAATAGTTTTTCGTATATCTTAAGTATATCTTAATATTTACAGAGAAATAGTTATTTTTATCGTCTTTAACCACTGCGATGCTCCGCACCGTCGCTTAAAATTTGTTGATTTAGATGTTTTCCGCCGGATATTCTATCAATTTGTGATGATGCTTCACGCGACGGTTACCTTATACAGTTGATGCTACTACCAATTAATAAATATATATTCACAATATATTAAACTGTAAGTGTTTTATTTTTGTAGCACCCTTTTGCTCAATTTTCCGATGTTTTTTGGTCAAAATCTCTGTTTTTTATATTAAAATATTGTTGTTAATTTGTAAATTTCCCTCTTCATATTGTGAATATTGACTTCCTTTGTACTTTCTAGAATTTTCTTTCTAGAATACCCTGTATATTAGTTTTCCTCACAGCACGTAGAAAATCACTTTTAGTGGTGAGTTTTGAGTGTTCTTTGTTTTGAACATGGAATTATCTTTCTAGAACACCCTGTATATATGTTTTCCTTTGTGTCCGTGAAAATTTTGCTTTTACTGTCGTTTTTAGAATTTTCCCGTTTGCACTTTGAAATTTCTTTCTGGAACACCCTGTATATTAGATTCCCTGAGCGTCGAGTGAAAAGGAGCGGCGTTTCTAATGTTGAGAGGTTTTTGTTTGCACTTTAAATTTTCCTTTTGTAACACCCTGTATACTAGTTTCCATTTTCAATCACCTAGAAACTTGTCTATTATTAATTTCATTATTCCGGTATAACTTTATGAAGTAGTAGCACTTGATGGCATGTGCGCAGTTGTGCAGGTCGTAAGTCCTGTTTCAATATGGTAGCATGTATTCTGTTGACTTGTAAAATATAAACTTGTATTCTGTTGTTAATATATAAATAGTAAGATATATTGACTTCTTTGATTTGTGTACCCCTTCTATCATTTCAGGAACAGGTCTCTAAGAGCGTTCCCTCTCTCAGGGGATGATCCCCCTATAAAAATTGTTAAGGTAACCTGTATGATTTGTGTACTCCTTCTCTCATTTCAGGTACAGGTAAGAACTTGTAATAATATTTTTAAGTGTCCCCTCTCTTGGGGCGACTTAAAACTTAGAAATATTTGAACAAGACCTTATAAGGAGTTCCCTCTCTCTGGGGGTGATCCCCCACCATAAAAATTGTTGATATGCCAGAGAATCCTGGGGATGAAGCGTAGAGACATCGTAGCTGTAGGATGGGCCGGGAGCAATGGACGCATCGAAGCAGTGACTGTCTAAAGACACGCGCCAAAAAATTTAAAAATCTGATCCTCCCCTGTTCTCTTTCTTCTATCTCCTCCTCTTCTTCTCTGCTCTACTCTCTTATTCTCTTCCTTTTATCTTCTTCTATTCTTTACTACTCCTTCTTCTATTTATGTTCTCGTTTCTCCACTTACTTTCCTTACTTCTCTTATTGCCTTCACTTGTATTTCAATTTCTCTTATATTTCGTTGCAATTCATATATACAACCCAAATTACACCCGATATTTTTATATTTGAGAAAAATGCCTTCTACACCTGAGATTCGATCCGTGTCTGCTAGCATGCCAGCAGGTGCACGTTTCCACTCGACCACCGAGTGTTTTTATCATTAATATTTGATTCTTCTATTTATGTTTCTACTTTATTCAACTTTTTAAAAACAACAACACATGCCTTAGCTATGTTGCACTCACATAAGCTTCATATTAAATATGATTTAAGACGCATATCCTGAAAACGACAAAGAGGATATTACAAAAAAGTAGGAATAAGATTTTAATTTTAAATTGAGTTTTATTAATTATGTTTAACAATACATTCTTCTTTCTTTTTTTAATAAAACGAACGTACGTACGATCCAAGGCATATCCTACGTACCATCGAGCCACATCGCTCTGTTATCAAACGTTACACACAAAGTAGAATTGTTAGTAGAATTGATGTTACTACTCACTGTAGTAACATTTTGGCAGCATTAGAAGGATACGGAAAATGCCTCATGGACCAAACATGTTTAGTTTACAGAAAATAGTTTCACCACACATTATATCAAACCAAATTAATATAAAATTTAATGAATACGTTCCAAATTGCATCATAAAATCCTTCAACCTGTGTTCGGAACACCACAAATGAGAAGCACAAGCCAACAACCGGGCGGTATTCGACAGTAGACACAAATGTTCAGATAAAGTCACTCAATAGCAGGTATCACGAGCAATAATTCATTAACGTTCAGCCGCGCTCGCTGAAATACATTGTCGTTCATGCCACTACTAAATCAAAATCACCAGAAACGCGATTAATAGCTACGAACAAAACACGTGCTCACGACACCACCGCGCACGACCGACTAAGCAGGAAAGAGAATTGTCAGCATCTAGTTGGGGACACCAGGTAGATAATTGTAGTATAGTATACTTTTATTATTTATGTATTGGTGTATCATTGTACATTTTTAACACGAAGTATAGATAAAAGGAGTCCGAACGGTATAGGCTTTTTCGTCGTAGTCATGGTTCACAATTATATACAAAGCTAATAGTTCACCTTTCTGCCACTGGGTGCGCTTGAATCACTAGTGAATCGATGTACGTTGGTTCGTGTTCATAGCAACATTTAGACAATTTGTTTACATGACGTTCGTGTGTTTAGATACTTCGTGATTATTATTACACATGAACACGTGCTGGATTGTGAATGTTTAATTGAATTCAATTAAATTTACAAATACATTTTTAACTTTTATATGTATGTATACATTAATTTGAATTGGAACGTGATAGTATTATTTTTTTGAACTAATTTATTTATTGAAAATTAGTAGTGTTGAAAACATGGGAAGGTGTTGTGCTATTCCAAGATGTTTTAGTGGCCGAAAGACCAGTGAGAAGGTAGAAAAAGTAGTTTTATTCAAAGCACCAAAGGTGAGTAATATCTTTGAAAAATATGTGTTATAAACAATTAATTTATAACTAATAGCCCTAAGATTTAAAAATATGTTGTAATCTCATGTATCTTGTGAAATATTGAAATATAATTCTTTTTTAAGGACCCAAAATTGTTCAGGAAATGGAGTTCTGCTCTTGGCAAAAATTTGAAAGCTAGCAGCTATATTTGTGAATTACATTTTAATCCAGAGGATGTGATTAAAACTGATCGAACGGTTCTAAAAGATGGTACTGGATATGTACATGAATTTCAAAGAGTTCATTTAAAGAAGGAAGCGGAACCTAAGTCTAATATTATTAGTGATAGCAACGAAAATATAATTGATATAGATATTGTTGATCATTCAATAATTGGTGACTGCAATCATAATTTAGGGGAAATAATTACTATACATGAAATTATAAATGAAGTGATTGAGCCTGAAAATGTAAATTCGGCAAATACAAATTTTCCAGATGGTGCAAATACTGTTATTAATGATGACAATTTACTGGTCATAAATAAGACTGAGGAATTTTCTTTTCATTCAATCCAAAATATATTAGAAACTCAGCCACTGCGAAAGAATTGGTGTTGGACAGTCGTAATAAATTCTTTAATTTCGTTGTCATATATAAGTTCAAAATTGGAATTAGTTTGTCATGTTAAAATTGATGCAAATTTGAAAGTAATGGTAAGAAGCTTAAATGGAAATCATTGGAATTAATTTAATTACTTAAATAGTATTCTTCTACTACCAACACCTCCAAAAGGATCCAATGTGACTGCAGGAGAGTTGTTATGTTCCCTAATGCAGACTATGGAATCATTTGAAGCAAGTAATACAAATAAGGACAACTGGAGCAAGAAAATTGATGCAACAATTGAAAATGCATCTGGAAACCTTAACAATACAGACGGAAATACCAGCGATGACAAATGACAATGACAATGGAGTATTATTAAGCTCGGTGGACCATGATTATGACATTGCACAAAGTAGCCACTATGTCATTTCCTATATTGCGGGATATATAGCCCGTAAAATAAGTAGATTTTCCAAATGCTTCGATTGCACGAAAGCTATGCACACAAGAACAGTGAAGGCTCAGGACAAATATATAACATATATGGACAAAGGGGCGTTAATTTATCCAAGTGAATCGTTGTTTCATTTAATTTCAAGCTTGGAAGAAATTGTGCTAATGGTTGTAGGCACAAAAACAGTCAAAATTGATACCATGTTTGAAATACTGGACGAAGTTTTAAAAAGGAAAATCACAATTTTTGTTGGCTGTGAAGACCATAAAAAAAATTTGACCAAAAAAATAATTAATAATTTTTTAATAATGCGAGGACATTTTCTAGCCAAATGTTTCAACAAATGTGCTACCGAGAGGACAGTTAAAACTAAAAAATGCCGGAAGCTATCTAAATTATATTAATAAAAATTAAAGCAATTTGTATTTATTTACTTAATTTATTTATAAACCTTTTCATTGCATTCTTCTTTTTTTTTTATTTTTGAATAAAATGGTGTGGTTCCTGATATTTTTTTTATGGTTATTAATTAATATCTGATTTTTTTTTGCTTTTCAGATTATCTCGGTATCTATACTTCGTGTCACGGATTATCCCTAGTTTCATGTTGAATTTTTTTCCGGCGGTGTCCATAGTAAAGTATTTAAACGCGTACACTAACGCATAGTGGCGCGCTCTATTGGCGAATGTTTGGTCCCCTAGATCGTGACCATTAATTTAACATGACGTTCGGACTCCTTTTATCTATACTTCGTGATTTTTAATACAAAAATTGGTTTTTACATGTCAATAGGGCCTTAATCTATAATTGTGTTACTGCATTCAGAATTTAATTTACTTTCGGAATCTAACAAAAACAAAACCAAATTTAAAAATTAAAGCACAAAACAGAATTTTATTTTGAATCATGTAAAACAATTGGAAAAGCGGAAACAAGTAAAGTCAATAATGAATTTGATTTTCAAATGGCTGAAAAAATGCGAGAACATACCTTGATGCAAAATAAATTTTTGTTTTGGTATATCCAATAAGTTGTATGGACCTTAATTATGCACATTGATGAAATACGCGTATAATACAAAAAAAATACGACGGCCGACGGAACATCACTCACGTTTTACCTCTGAGTATGTACAATCCGCGTGGTACTCGTACGAACCCCGCACATCAATCGCGCACAATCGAAGAAACATTACGCACATCACCTAACGACAAAAATGAGACTAACGTGATACACAAGCCAACCGCGTGGCGATCGCACAAAAATTGCACGACGTAAGAAAACATGTTTGTTTGTAAACACTGACACTTTCAATGTGGTAGTGCAGAACATGAATCGAACTGTACTCGCACTATGCATGGAACTATTAATTTCGATTATATTTTAAATCGGAAACCTGATAGATAATTTAATCCTACATCGATTATTTTAGTAACTTATTTTCTTGATTCTTGACATAATCGCCAAAAAATTCGACTCTGTTCTTTGATCGAAAAACATTTTAACAAAATAGTTCGACCCTGTTCTTTGACCGAAAAATTTTCATGTAAAAAAATTCGATCCTGCTTTTTGACCGAAAAAATTTTAACAAAAAAATTCGATGGAAAAAAATCTAACAAAAAAATTCGACCGAAAAACTTTAAACAAAAAAATTTTACCGTAAAAATTAAAAAGAACTACCAAAAAATTTTTAACAAAAAAATTCGACCCAAAAAATTTTAACAAAAACATTCGACCAAAAGTTTTTTTTTAATTCGACCGAAAAAAACTATCAAAAAAATTCTACCAAAACATTGTTTACAAAAAAAAATCGAGCGAAAATTTTTTTACAAAAAAATTCGACCGAAAAAACTATCAAAAAATTCGACCACAACATTTTTTACAAAAAAATTCGACCGAAAATTTTATTACAAGAAAAAAATCGATCGAAAAAATTTTAACAAAAAAATACAACCGAAAAAATTCTAACAAAAAAATTCGACCAAAAAATTTCGAATAATAAAGAATTTTAATACTTACAATTTGGTGAAAGAATCGCTGTCCTACGATATTTCGTTCGCCCGCTAGATACCTAAAACAACCAAATATTAGCACATCGAAATACAAAAATGAAATGTTTGCATGTTTCCCGTGTGCTAATCACACAAATAAATTATGAAAATGATAAACAATTTCAATACTAACAATCTGATGAAAGAATCGTTGTCCTAGGACATTTCATTCGCCCGCTAGACACCTAAAACCACAAAAAATTAGCACATCGAAGCACAAAAATAACATTTTGGCATGTTTTTCGTGTGCTAATCATACAAATTAATTATGCAAAAGATAAACAAATTCAATACTTACAATCTGATGAAAGAATCGTTGCCCTAGGACATTTCATTCGCCGCTAGACACCTAAAACAACCAAAAATTAGCACATCGAAGGACAGAAATAACATTTTGGCATGTTTCCCGTGTGCTAATCACACAAATTAATTATGGAAAAGATAAACAAATTCAATACTTACAATCTGATGAAAGAATCATTGTCCTAGGACATTTAATTCGCCCGCTAGACACCTAAAACAACCAAAAATTAGCACATCAAAGCACAAAAATGACATTTTTGCATGCTTCTCGTGTGCTAATCACACAAATTAATTATCAAAATGATAAACAAATTCAATACTTACAATCCGATGAAAGAATCGTTGTCAGGAAAACATCTAAACACTCTAATATCGCTCGTTTTTCACCGTTACTCTGGGAAAAAAATGTACAGGGCGTTACAAAAAGAAAATTCAAACAGCTACAGGTCGATCGACCAGGTAAAAAATAACAAAAAAAACATATAATACTAACAAATATCGCATAATTTTCGCGGCAATCATACTATTATACAGGATGTTCCAAAAACAATAAAGTAAAATTTTAAGAGAAAAAGCAAAGTTCAAGCAGGGAAATATATCTCTAAAACCACAGTCAAATATGAAAGGAAATTAATATACAGGGTGATATAAAAACCAAACGACAATATTTTAAAGGAAACTGTTGAGTTAAAGTGGGATAACATATATTTTCCCACCTTTGACAAACCCACTACGGGAAACTATATTACAGGGTGATATAAAAAGAAAACAACAATATTTTAAAGGAAAATAAAATAGAGAAAAAACAAAAATATGACAAAGGGTTCCCAAGATATGGCTTGTTTTTTGCCGCGTGTTTTGAAAAATGCAAGAGAAGGGCAAACTTTAGCGGCCATTTTAAGACAATTACGATCGAATTTCGCGGGGGTTAGACGGTGCATCTTAAAAATGCACTCTTGCTCTATCATAAAATCAAAATAATTAAAATATGAACAAAGGTTCGCAAGATATGCCTTGTTTCCACCGCGTGTTTTGAAAATTGCATTAAAAGGCGGCCATTTTGAGGCAGTTACAATCAAATTTTGCGGGAGTTCAGAAGTGCATTATAAATGCACTCTTGCCCTATCATAAAATGAAGAAAAAACTAAAATATGACAAAGGGTTCCCAAGGTATGGCTTGCTTTCCACCGCGTGTTTTTAAAATTACAAGAAAAGGCGTAAATTTGGCAACCATTTTGAGGCAGTTACAATCAAATTTCACGGGTTTCAAAGGTGCATTGTCGTAATGCACTCTTGTCCTATCATAAAATAAAGAAAAAAATTAAAATATGACAAAGGGTTTTTGAAATATGGCCTGTTTTCCACCGCGTATTTTGAAAAATGTATGAAAATGATAAACTTCGGCGGCCATTTTAAGGCAATTAGGACCGAAATTCGCTGAGCTTCAGGGGTAAATTTTAAAAATGCACTCTTGCCCTATCATAAAATAAAAAAAATTAAAATATATATGACAAAGGGTTCCCGAGAGATCCCGAGATATGGCCTATTTTCCACCGCGTGTTTTGAAAATTGCAAGAAAAAGCGTAACATTGGCGGCCATTTCGAGGCAGTTACGATCAAATTTCGCGGGAGTTCAGGGGTGCATTTTAAAAAAGCACTCTTGCCCTATCATAAAATAAAAAAAAATTAAAATATGACAAAGAGTTTTCGAGATATGGCCGGTTTTACACCTCGTGTTTTGAACAATGCAAGAATAGGACAATCTTCGGCGGCCATTTTGAGGCTGTTCCGACTAAATTTCGCGGGGGCTCATGGGTGCATTTTTAAAATGAACTCTTGTCCTATCATAAAATAAAGAAAAAGCTAAAATATGATGAAGAGTTCCCGAGATATGGCCTGTTTTCCACCGCGTGTTTTAGAAATTGCAAGAAAAGGGCAAATTTTGACGGCTATTTTGAGGCTGTTACGACCAAAATGTCGCAAGGGTTCAGAGGGGCATTTTAAAAATGCACTCTTGCCGTATCATAAAATAAATGCTAAAATATGACAAAGAATTCCCGAGATATGGCCTGTTTTCCACCGCGTGTTTTGAAAATTGCAAGAAAAGGCCTAACTTTGTAGGCCATTTTGAGGCTGTTTCGACCGAAATTCGCGGGATTCAAGGGTGTATTTCAAAAATGCCCTTTTGCTTTATCATAAAATAAATAAAAAGCTAAAATATGATAAAGGATTAACGAAATATGGCCTGTTTTCCATAGCGTGTTTTGAAAATTGCAAGAAAGTCTCACTTTGGCGGCCATTTTGCGGCAGTTACGATCGAATTTCGCGGGGGTTCAGTGGCCTATCATAAAATAAAGAAAAAACTAAAATATGACAAAGGGTTCTTGAGATATGGCCTGTTTTCCACCGTGTGTTTTGAAAAACGCGAAAAGCGGGCAAACTTTGTCGTTTCCTTTGTTTTCTATATTACCCGCAATTAAAATAAACAAGGCACCTTTAATTCGCGAGCTATTGCAACACGCAGGTCATAAAACATTTGGCCGAATAATATAAATTAATAAAAACTTACCAATGCAGCTCATTGGTTTGCCAGGGCACAGCAAGTACTGCAATTAAAAGAAAACATAAGTTAAAATATAAACTAGAGTCCGACCAAAACTGGTTTTTAGCCGAAACCGAAATTTCGGCCCAGCCCTCAGTTTCGGCTGAAACCAAAACTGTAACTTACATAAACATATTTTTCTACTTCTACCTACAAAACGCCAGTTTTTCCACGTTTTTTAGATTCAAAATCAATCTCGTGAGTAAAGTCCCCGTTTAGTCACTTGATACTTATTTGATAATTAATGTAAGTTTCTATGTGTGAACTGAGATGGCAAGTAACAACCGCCATTAGCCGCGAAGTTAGCCGAACGATGCACAACAATTCACGAACAGTGAGTTTCGGCGCGGCCGAAAGTTTCGGCCAATTTTTGGCCGAAACCGAAACAGAAGCCAAAATTAGAATTCTTGGCCGAAACTGGCCGAAACCGAAACCGAAATTTCGGTCGGTCTCTAATTTAGTTATTGTAAACGTTTACTACTAATTTTTCCTATTTATTATATACAGTACTTGAACGCAAAATCTTGTTATCCGATTAGGCATGCTTTTTTATTAAAAGCATTGCATACAATATAATATTATATTCATACATCGGAGAAAACAAACATTCTGTGCTGAGTAGCGTAAGTCAGATATAAGTTACTTCCTCAAGTTCGAAGGGACCTCCTAATGACGGGAAACATGATGGCAACAATATGCATTTGGAATGTAAACATCAAACGCAAACATATAAAAAATATGGATATTAAAGGCACAATTTATCATTAACAAAACACTGCAGATGCATGTTACAACTAAATAGACAGTTGATGACTGAATACAATGCAAATTTAGAAAATAAGAGTCCGATAACACGATACGAGTCGCGCGAAATACGTCTAGACACGCCAGCGACCGGTACGAAACTGGCTGCAATCCATCGATAGCGCAAGCAACGCTCTTAAAATTTGATTTAAATAAAATGTTCAGGATCACTTCTTACAGTTACATTCAAAAGAAAATCTTTAAATTTCCAAATTTAATTTTTCGGTAGAAAATGAAAGTCCACATTTGGTCAAATTACGGGAAATCTATCGGTCCTAGTGTAAAATATTACTAAAATAAAATGCTCATGAGCACTTCTTACAGGAACAAACAAAATAAAAAATTTAAATTTCCAAATTTAATTTTTCTGTGGAAAATGTGTTTACATTTAACAAATTGCGGGAAAACTATTAGTTCAAGAGTAAAATTTTACTAAAATAAAATGCTCAGGAGGCCTTTTTCTAGCAACATTCAGAATAAAAACTTCAAATTTTTAAATTAAAATTTTCTGTGGAAAATGTGAGTTCACATTTGATCCAATTGCAGGAAAACTATAAGTCCAAAAGTAAAATTTTACTAAAATAAAATACACAGGAAAACTATCTATAGCAACATCCAAAATAAAAACTTTAAATTTACAAATTTAAATTTTCTGTGGAAAATGTGACCTCACATTTGATCAAATTGCAGAAACACTCTGAGTCCAAGAGTAAAATTTTCTTAAAATAAAATGCTCAGGGACACCTTCTATAAAAGCTTCCGAAATAAAAAGTTTAAATTTACATATTTAATTTTTCGGTGGAAAATGTAAGTTCACATTTAGTCAAATTACGGGGAAACTATAGGTCCTAGTGTAAAATATTACTAAAATAAAATACTCAGGAGGACTTTTTATGACAAAATTCAGAATAAAAACATCAAATTTTAAAATTTAATTTTTCTGTGGAAAATGTGAGTTCAAATTTGATCAAATTGCGGGAAAACTATGAGTCCAAGAGTAAAATTTTATTAAAATAAAATACTCAGGAGGATTATCTATAGCAACATCCAAAATAAAAACTTTAAATTTACAAATTTAAACTTTTTGTGGAAAATGTGACCTCACATTTGATCAAATTGTAGGAAAATTATGAGTCCAAGAGTAAAATTTTATTAAAATTAAATGCTCAGGGAGACCTTCTATAACTACTTCCGAAATAAAAACTTCAAATTTTTGAATATAATTTTTCTGTGGAAAATGTGAGTTCACATTTTGTCAAATTACGGTAAAGCTACGAGTCCTAGAGAAAAATTTTACTATGATAAAGTGTTCAGAAATAAAACAGTTTGAATTTCTATTTTTTAATTGCGGAATGCTTGACCGAAATTTCCGCAAAAGAAAGTTTAAGATATTCATTCTCAAATTGCAGGAAAACCGTAAAATCGAAAAATAGATACTGTGAACGATGACCAATTTCACTCACCAGTGTATCGATAATCGTAAATCAATTGCGAGTAGATTGTGAAATAAACAAGAAACAAAACATTAGTTATACAATTTCGGACAATGTTGAAATAAATCCGAGTTCCAGAGGAACCCAAACTTTGCCTTAAAAATTGTCTTATTTGCCATAATTATTTAAATAATAATATTTACCAAGTAGAACAGCCGCTCGTCGTGTTCTGCTGAAGACAAAAATGGTTCGCACAACTCCAAAGTATTATTTACAATTACACAACATGGCCGACTGGCATCCGACGGCAAACGATCCTAGATATACGTAAAACTGTAATAAACACAAAACATTGAATTCCGAAGAATACATACGCGATAAATATTTAGCGACTATAACCCGTCTATTAACACTAAATTCCAGCAAATATAACGCGATATAACGAATTTACAACACGAAACACGATTATCCATTTACGGATTATTACCTATTGCTCGAAGTTAGAGTTGCGTGCCGGCTACGCAACAACTGGGCACGTCGACTTTCACTCGCAGGAATATTTTTAGCTAAAACATGCATTATTGCGCCATCTGAGGTTACTTTTGAGTACCTCAGGAAAATACAAAGTGTATCAAAAAGTGTGGCGTGCATATGAGGCAGTGAGTGATTGGTTATGTGTCAGTGTATGGTCCCGCATTTAAATGGCAATGTCCGTGTGTCTCACGTACACTCAACTACGCATGCACCACTCTATCTAAAGGAATAGCAATTTTTACACATAATTCAAAGCTTCAAATGTGAATGTTACTAGAATCTATTAATTCAAAATAAATGAACTAAATTTTGCAATTTTAATGCAAATATTCAGCAATTTAGCAATAAATAAACCTTATACACTGCATTAATAGTCAATGAAAGTCATCAAATCTCTTCAAAAAGTACAAAAAAGTATAAAAACATTCAAATTTTACTTCTTTAGTAATTTACTCTTGAAATTAAATATCATTTTAGTTAATAAAAATCGTCTAAATATTCATTAATTCATATTCTTTTCCGTCGGAAACTATCGATCAAATCAAATCACTTCTACCGCTACCTTCATACGGTGCCCTAAACACGAGTCACTTCTATCGCAAACAAATACAACCCGGCGGAGAATTTAGGTACTAAAATTACGCGACACACGCTAAATCTTGCGAGGCTTTCTGCCATTTAAGTGACAGGGGCTGAATTAAACATTTGTCTAAGTTGGATGGGTAACCAGCCGAATGTAACCGAACTATGAACCGAAGGGAATCGAGCACACTGTCAAACGGCGATGACTGTCACTTATAACATAGTTAACCAACAAGTTGGAAGCCGCTCGGAATTACTCTGCAATTTTAATTTTATAGAAAACACCAAACAAATTTACGATGGAGTGCTTAATTGGACTTAAATTCAACGATTATGTGTTAATTGCGGCTGATATGACCAACGCCCACAGCATAATGGTCATGAAATCAGGTTCGTTCTTTAGTCATTATTGTTGCATTGTTTGTTTCTAACATTCGGTTTATTCTTGAAGATGAGAACAAATTGTACAAATTGAGCGATAAACTTGTGATGGCGGTTTCTGGCGAAACTGGAGACACCACACAATTTGCTGAGTACATCTCCAAAAATATTCAGCTGTATAAAATGCGCAATGGATATGAGTTGAGCCCCAAGTCTGCATCAACATTTACTCGTCGTAATTTAGCTGATGCTCTTCGTAGTAGGGTAAGACAATTTAAAATTTTACATTGAAAATTGTTTTTTTTAAATATTAATATCATGTGTTCAGAGTGCATACCATGTCAACCTGATCATGGCTGGTTATGATAAACAAGAAGGGCCACAATTATACTTCATGGATTATTTGGCTGCTCTAAGTGATGTGGATTATGCTGCACATGGATATGGTGGCTTCTTTTCTTTGTCCATCATGGATAGATATCACAAAAAGAATCTATCTAGGGAAGATGGTTATGAGCTCATGAAGAAGTGTGTAAAGGAGGTGCATGAAAGGTTGATTGTGAACCTGCCCAACTTCAAGGTGCAGATGATTGACACCAATGGAATTCATGATTTGCCCAATATCACAGCAGCCTCATTTGCATAAGCCTAGCATTAAATACTACACAAATAAGTTTTTTTTATAAGTGGGTGTTTCATTTAATAAATTTAAGCTAATACAAACGAAAATGTAAATTTTCTTATGAATCAATATAGTCCTCCTCATCCTTAAGCAATATGAACAATTAAGTTTTGTGCACAGTTAATAATACATGTTGTACATGTTCTTTTAAAATTTCTCTCCAAATATATTTTTCAAATACATATTTTCAATATAGATAGTAATACCGTTTCATTATTTTTTAAAATTTGTGTATGTTTATTTCGCCTTCTTACTTTCCGTGTGCTTCTTGTCCTGTTCTTTTTGCTTCTTGGTAGGTTCTTCGACGGTGTCTTCGTAGCTGAGAAATAAAAGACAGATAAGTACATGTAAATATTTAAGAACTTTGATGTTAATTTCAATGTTTTGAATTCCGTTTTATAGTTATCACGAAATAACCTATATGATCCTATACGATGCGAACATGGCTACTAGTAACCAATTTTTCATGGTAGATGATCAGGTTTCAATTATAATACCGCAAAGGTGATCTTCTAATATAAAAGAAGGAGATATAATAAAAACACTTACCTAAATAACGTTTTTAAGTCTCCCTTTACTAATGCCAGCGCCACCGGAGTCCCTAAACATGCGGGTACCAAATACAGTAAAGCGGGTTGCGCATGTTTAAACATATGCATGACCAGAATAGTGGTGAGCAAACCCGCAAAGTAAGCAAAGCAAGTGGCGTAGAAGTAGGTGTAGGTCTTCCGCTTCAAGCTGAAGTCGAAACGCAGCAGCAGAGCAATGAAGATCCCTGGAATGACGATATCGCCCAATCCCAACATAGCAAAATTATTCGCCGCCAATCCATTCGTGAGCAAATCTTGTGGAAATACGACTGCAAGAGATAAATATTAGTTTAAAAATAGCTCTCGAACTTATTCACATTATTCACCAATGTGAAAATTACCAGTAATTACGTTTAATGGGCGCTTCAAAACTCTTCGCGACCGTCACCATTACATCGGTGCCGAAAACCCAGAAAATGTCGTAGAGGAATAGTCCGGAGAGCAGAATGCAGCCGGTAACAACATTATTCAAATGCAGTAACTCCACGGCGTTAACCGCAAAAGCAAGGCCAAAGAGATTGTTGGCAATCCAGTGTTTCTTCCACAGATACCAAGCACCCACCAATGAGCATACAATTAATGAAACCACATCATAGGAGGAGAATTTGTAGTTGATGATATCTGATGCTTTATCACCTTGACCTTGCCTGAATAAGATATGATAGGGAATGTTGGGGATTGCACTAGGCACCAGCTTACTGCATATTGGACTGTGAATAATAAGAGATTATCAACACAAACCGGATGCGCGAATGTGTCGCATGCGTACCTTAATAAATGCGTCAGCGCCAACACGCCTAGGAAGAAAAAGTACCCAGTCAGGAGCATGTTGATGTACTCCTTGGAGAACAATTTGAACACTATGTACAATGAAAACAGGGCAACGGAAGCCATGATTGGGAATATCGCCGCATCTTTACTTGTCATTTTTTCGGCTTTCTGAAACTTTAAGTCAGAAATCTGGGATATGTTTCGATTCACGATTCTTACATTCTCCTTATGGTAATGCACCGATCTGTAGGAACCGAAGTAAATCGGTAGAATTGCCATGATGACGAGACTGCCATACGCCACGAACATGCCTTCCGGCGTGCTCGGCGGTTTGGTGGTTGCGTTCACAACATTTTCTGTGAGATTTTCTGCTTTAGGAGCTTCAACTTGGGCGCTTATGAAACGGAATACTAGTTCGGCGACGGACATGATTTGAATTTTGGCTACGTGCACCGTCGACTTCGCGACACGATGCTCTCTTCTGTTCGCTTGTTCGATACGTCACCTAACAACCACATCATGTGTCCGATGAACCACGACAGTCTACGATTATATCCGAACATTTAGATAAAAGTTTAAACTTTTTTAACTTTAACTGTTGAAACTGTTTTAATTTATCAATAGAATTCGGATCTATTATATACAATTTACCAAGTTCTCTAAATTTTAAGATTATTTGTTAGAATACATGTTATTCTACTTACTACTAAAACATTAAAAAAAAACGTTCATATCTGTGCAACCCATTATGCATCTGACTTTTAACCTACATCTTAACCAGGCATTATACTATTGGATTTAACCTAGGACTGGCTAGGCTTTTTTCGTGCCGCTATAATCATTTAAGTATAATTGAAATATGTGTGGAATATTATGTTTATTAACCACTGCCGGTAAAACGACACCCTTGCAGAAATTAGTAGGTAATTGTATAATGTTATTCTACAAATTCTAATTTATAAATTTTAGTACAATGATTGCAAGATTCTAATTGATCGTCGTGGTCCAAACCATCAAAAAACTATGCAATTTTCTTACAATAATACCAACATAGAAATATATGCAGGTGTGCTCTGGTTGCAAGGTGATAATCTAATCAAACAACCCATAGAAACATCAAAATCTATATTTTTATACAATGGTGATATATTTGGAGGAACTGCATTATCCACACATGAACAAGCACATGGTGATACAGAACTATTCCTCGAAACTTTAGAATCATCCTTGACATGTGAAAATTTATGTAATATACAAGGACCATATGCATTTATTTATTATGATAAAATTAATTCTAATTTACATTTTGGTAGAGATATTTTTGGAAGGCGTAGTTTATTGTTAGCAGTTGATAAGCAGAATGATGCATTTTTATTAACCAGTGTTGCTGTGAGAACTGACTTGCCAGTGATTGAAGTTCCTTCTATTGGTATTTTTAGTTTTAACTTAGTAACAGCTACTTATAGTTTGAGTTGCTGGCCAAAAAGTTATAAAAATTTTGATGAAAAATTGAAAAGCGTAAAAAACATTATTCAATGTGATATTAATGTTAATAACAGAAATAATAAAAATATTACTAAATTTGTAATGCCACATGAGCAAGACTTAAAAGTTTTTGAAAATGTAAAAGACTTAACAATTGAAGCAGGATTTGAGAGTTTATTAAAAGATAGCGTTTGGATGACGAATGTAATGCAGTTAAAAGAAAAACTGGAAAAGGCTGTGAAAAGCAGAATATGCACACAGCCCAAGTATTGTAGCGATTGTATATCGACGAGAAGCGATTGTGGGCATTGCCGCGTTGGAATATTGTTCTCTGGGGGTGTTGATTGCACTATTTTGGCATTGATAGCAGACAAATTCATAAACAATGATATACCTATTGATTTAATGAATGTAGCATTTGACAAAGTAGCAGATTATAATACTCCTGACCGCCTTACTGGTTTACAATCATTGGCAGAGTTGCGCGATTTGAGACCGATGCGCAAATGGAATTTTTTAGAGATTAATGTTACCAGAGAAGAATTAGACGAAGCCAGATCTGCTCATATTGCTGATTTGCTTTTTCCGTTGAATACTATACTGGATGATAGTTTGGGGTGTGCTTTATGGTTTGCCAGCAGAGGCAAAACAGAAACGTATGTATCACCATGTCGAGTTGTTTTGGTGGGAATGGGGCGGATGAATTATTCGGCGGGTACACGAGACATCGCGCCGCTTTTAAAAATCGCGGGTGGCATGGATTGCACGATGTGTTAGAGGAGGATTGGGCAAATATAGCTCATAGAAATCTAGCCCGAGACGATCGTATAGTCGCTGACCATGGCCGTCAATTGCGTACGCCGTATTTGGATGAGGAAGTTGTCGACTTTGTGCAAAGTTTAAGCGTTTGGGAGAAGTAAGTGGATTAATCGAAAAACGCTTAAGGAGTTATTTTATCCGGGCATGCTTTTTCTGTTCGCAGGACTTACCCAGCGAACGATTTGGCTCAGGGTTTTGGCGAAAAGATTCTCTTACGCACGCTGGCTTATTACTTAGGTCTGCGATGTTCGGCAAGCTTTAAGAAGAGAGCTTTGCAATTTGGATCTCGCATCGCGGACAAAAAAGAAAACGCACATGAAGTTTCAGCCAGATTAGCACTTTAAGACGCTATAGTTCTTAAGTTCATTGTATACATCTAATTTATTGCAGAGACATATTTTATCATAATTAATAAATTAGGTGAGTGTTTTTAACTCTTCTTTTATTTTTAAAATTAATACAAATGTTTTATAAGGATGATGAAAGGGTGAAAAGAAATAACAAGTACTCAAATATTATAATTTTTTACAAGAAATTTCATCTGATGTGTTTTATAATGAAGACAGATATACTATATACAAGGGTGCAATGGAGTGAAAGAGACAATGATGCTGTATTCTTGTTTCCATGTTGCATTGCGGCTGGATGTTCTCCTGAAACAAAATTAGCAGAATTAGCAGGTGCCCTTCAGTCTGGATTTTCAGTCTGGCGTTTATTTGTATCACTAATTGCACGCCTAAGATGATCAATTTGCTGGTTTCGCAAATTGAGCTCCGACTTTTAGTGAATAATAAATTATGCGGTCGAAATTATTAAACAAGCACAGCTTTTGCTTGTCACCTCATCGCCGTGTATTAATTCATTTTTCCGGTACATACCATTAATGACATGTACGTTAACGCTCGCCGGTGCAGCTATAGTCGGGACGCACGAGTAATTCCCGGAGTCCGCAAGCTTTGCGCTGGAAATGTGCAGTCTAGATGTCAGGCCATCAGTCCAAAAGTTCTACAAACGGGAAGATGTTATATTAATAGTGTTTACCCGTGATCATCAAGTGCACCCACCTGAATTGTGATTCTAGCGGTTGGATCTGCTTCATTGGGATGCAGGGAAGAAGCTTCTAAGATGTCCGTTCCACGGTACCAGAAGACGGTTCCGAGGTCGTGCGGGCCTTGGTTAATAACACACGCCACCGTCACGGAACTTCCTGCTTTCACGTGTAAGTCACTCGGACCTAAAATCCGGGCTCGTGCTTCTGAAAATAAAACAAGCAAACATCTTAGTGCTTCACGTGGCTCTAGCTGCAGCGCTGAAATCGCCAGTCATAATACGGCTGACCGCGTTGCATGCTAATGCATTATTAATTCATCTAAATTATAAGGTATGATGTGCATTATCTGCATGCAATAAATAAATATCAAAATGCGCGTTGGCTATTGTGTTCGCCTGCATATTGTTAGTTTCGAGTTCAATGGGTTCTTTCGTTATTCGCCTTCTTGATTTATGGATTATTTAAATTGACATAGTTGTGCGAATCTATCCGAAACTATACGTGTGCTTATCGCGATATGTGTACGTGTTATATTGCATAATAAAATAGGAAAACCAGGCGAAACTTACTTTACCCTTCGCTTTTAATTCAAAAGATAGTCAATACAAAACGTGGGGCAGGCACGTGTATACCAGGGCACGCAAAAAGGGACCGCTTTGTGCCGGCGCGGTAGCAGCCATGTTTTTGTATGTAAAACGGTGACGGCGATGGCGGCGGCGCGCTCGGCACAAATGCCGAATAAGTGTTGTCATTAATCTATCACATTTGGGCAGTGCGCGGCTAAATTGCTGACTATTGTCGTGCCACAAAGGGTATTACGCCTTTTTTCACACCCATGTCCATTTAGCCGCCTGAGTAATAGCAGCCGTAAATTATGGAAACTCAATCAGACAAGTTAATTTTAGTTTAGGAAATTCACACGCTGAAGTACGACATTAGAGAATAAATCTATCTCTAAAGATAACAAATGAAAATGGCATCAAAAGCTCGTAAAATATTTATTATTTGAATAATGATGAATATCACATGCGAGTCGGAGTTCTAACCTAGGAGAGCCACAAATAATGCCGGGTTGTGCATCGTATGCGAGTCAATATTACAAGTGCAGACCGAATCGAAAGTTTTAATTATTCTCTCGGCCAAGTTTGAACGTCATGTTTGTTTCAATTGCAATTGCTTCACCAAGTAAATAGAAATTCAATCTATCGTGTCTTATATTTGCCCTGAGCCAGGGTTATGGTTATAAAGTTTATAGGAAAGTTGTTTTTTTATTCGCAACTTGCGTATTGCACTTTCGAACGACACATAAAATTGTAAGCGGCTTTCCGGAATATTGGAGCAGATTTTTCGGGGGGTCTAATAATTTGTGGCTATCTAAGTTCCACTTCTTCCTCTCTCTTGCGTCGCGTAATCCTACTTATTTTGTGAAATTGGCTGTCGACCAAAGGTAGGACGAGCTTTTTCAAAAGTAAACTCTTTTCCCTTTGGACCAGTGCGCGCGGAGCACTCGTAAATTACAAGCTATCGGTCGCCATGAGAAATATCCGCTGAATGTGGATTTCGAACAAATCCGCACATGATATTTCCCACCTTTAGATTTATTCCGTGGCTTGGCAACAGAACTATGTATTCAATAAGAAAAATCTTTTAACTTCTAGCGACATTACTTATTCCCATCAGTGATTCCGGCCGCTGAAATCCGTCGCCATCACCGAACGTCGGATTTGGCCGCATTTTGTTCGCCAGTTGCCTTTTATTCTTTAATTTAAAGAAACTTCAAAAAGCGTTAACTTGTTCGCCTGAATTTGAATTAATGTTAGACGACTTGGTGGTCGTTAATGAATCCATTGTGTGTTTTATGAACAATTTCACGTGAATTTTGCAGCAAGTTCCAGTTCGAAATACTCATTAATTCACAACTTGTTGCGAAAGACTCTAGCGTGGCGAAATTTGCTTCTGCAAAGTCGTACGTAATGGTAGCAGTAAGGATATGCAGAGACAAAAAAATTGCTTTCGATTCGCGTCTTGGTTTTCGAGCGCTCGTTTTGAGCTTCATAAAAATCTGAACAGATTTCGAGCGAAAACAAAAGGGAGTGTTGAGCAGCGCCACTTCAAGGCTGCAGGCATGTAGGCCGATATTGGAATGTCATAATTTGCAGTCGTTTTGCCAGTTCCTTATTTTGCGTCATTTTTCTCATTCGCAATTCGTATTCCCCGACAGTTCTCGAGCCGCCTGCGCAGCTATACACGCTCTGCTCCCATTTTGCCTTCGCGCCCGATCCATTTTCCACAATTCTAATATCTTAATCCATAAAAAGTCGCTCAACTGCAATCGAGCACGTTAAAACCGATATAGAAGTTTGACCTGGGCTGCTAGTTCTGCATATTATTTTCCGTTTTATCCGCAAAAAATATCCTCTTTTTCTATGTTATTTCAAATTAACATTGATCTAAGGGAAAATAACACACAGCTTATTCCGATTTACAGTATTGAATTTAAATTTATATAAAATTAACTTTCCACAAAATACGTGTATTATTTGGTGAAAAATTATTGTAAACTTTTATGATTGTTTTAAAGTCTAAAGTGCTTATATTGATGTAAAAAAGTGATGACAACTTTTTGTTTGTTTTAAACTACTTCGTCGGTAAGTATGTGAGGCCGGTGAGAGAAACGGACTTTTGCTGGTGTGAAATTTAGAGTGCTTTCTTGCTTATGAAAAAAATAGTTCAACTTTGAACTAGTTGTTGCTATAATCGAGTTGAATTTAGGAAAGGTCGTAAAAGTAAAGTGGTCAGAGAAGCTTGAAGCATCACACATAATATGTATTGACTAGCACAGCAATTATCCGGTTGAAAAAATCTAACGCGACACCAAAAACACTGAAAAATTGCATATACAAGACCTATTGACTTGCTTCCTATATTGACCCACTTCTTCATAGTTCTTTTGAAAGCATTTAGCACCTATACTAAAGTAGAAAAGCAGAATTTTGAACAAATTTCGTTAGACTCACCAATGACGTTCAGACGAAACGGTAGAGACATTTTCGGTTCGGTGTTGACTTGACACTCGTAGACACCGGAATCACGCAATTGTGGGAACTTAATTTGCAACGTCCAGTTGTCCGACTTATCAGGGCGAATCACTTGAAATCTCTGATCCGATGTGTACGTTAGAATGCCGGCCGTTAAGATGTGAAGATCCCTCTTGCGAATCCAGGATACCTGTGGGAGAGAATCATAACCTTAATATCCGGAATATATGTTAGGCGATGCTCATAAATGATACAGAAGGTGTAAGATACGGCCTTAATACATTTTGTCCCAAATTGCAATGGCCTCCAAGGAGTGCCAAAGGATGTGCCCGTGTCGGAACGGAACCGAAACCGTGTATTCGTTTTCTAGTGCTCTTTGCACTCAAGAACATTAAAGCACGCACACTCTGGTCGTCACCGAACACCACACGGCGTAATATCCCTAATCCACATTTACTAGTTATACCTAATGCTGCGTGCATCGAATACATGAGACATATAAAGTTCTTGATCGTGTCCTAAGATGCGAGCCGCGTACGAACAAGGACACCATGCGTGTTTCAAGGGATTTGCAAGCTTCCTTTTCGATTCAGCAAGCGTAGAAGCCCCTGGATTTGTAGATTCGTTTTAGCTCTGACCATATCAATCTATGGCAGTGCGCAATATTTAAAGCGCTATACTCAAGCAAAATCTTGCATATGGGTAGCGTCGTCGTCTGAGAGTCACATTCAATATTCAAAAGAATCAATAAATGTAAATCCCACAAGAGAATTGCGGTTTATTCGGTTGAAAACTTTTCTGTCTTATCGTTCTTCCTGCGTATCAAGCTTTTTTGACGTTTTTCTTTTTTATATATTTTTCTAATGTTTTATTTTTTTAGCATCATATTTTACTCAATCATTCCTTAAACGATCAAAATATTACGCTGAGCTTTATTCACACAAGTAATAGTGGTGATTGCTGATAGAAATTCGGAAAGATACTTCACGTATCAGACGAATGTATTCATGGAATGTGAAAGCAGTACCTTAGCAGCAAAACGATCCTACATACATATACATCGCAATTTCCCGGAAGGCTTAACAGTTGATCTCCGGTGGTTTTCGCAATCAGCACTCCGGGGTGCGATTATCTTCGCCAACATTCAGAACTGCCTCTTTAGAGGCTACGAAGTGCAAACGTGAAAGCACGACGGTGGTATGTGCTTGTGTAGTTGGGTGGCGGGCGATTTAAGTACTTGATTTACTTACGTTCGAAGTCGGACGTTTATCTTTCCCTACTGATGAGCAGCGCGCAAAGCGCGACATAGGACTGCATTATTTATTTGCATCAAAAGTTTTCCGACGTGGCGAGGCGCGCTTTCTCACAAATCAACAAAGTTTTCTAGCCCGTTCCTTCGTGCGATTAATTCCGTGCAATCTCTGTTGTAGATAGGCATGTATATATATTTCTGTGGTCCGCTGACCCGCGGAGCTGTGTAACTACAATTGGGGAAGTGCATTTATGACCGCAAGGCGGCCGCATTGTCTCAGATTTAAGCCATTACATCAACAGCGTTTTGTTTTATTATCGGCCGGGTGTGATGTAAGAACATTGTGACATTGTGTTGCAGAGAATACGACAAGAAACGAAGGCGCCTGCAGGACACCCGCAGCCAGGTCCGCATCCAGAAGCTTGGGTGTCACGAATTGTGCTAATAGCAGGCAAACATAGTCAACTATTATTCGCATTTATACCGCGATAACATTGTGCCAAAGTTTCAACTCTCCCGTATTCCAAAACTGAGGAGAATTTGTGTTCAGTATGAAGCATGACAAGAAATTAATACTTTTTCAAGCACATATACGGTGCCCAATTCATTAAAATTCTTGAAACTTGAAAATTAATTATTATTCAAACAGTTTGCTCAATTTCCTTCGGACGAAGAGCGCCTTTCAAAGAAGTATTATTGCATGCGCGAAGCGTATTCCGGCGCGTGGAAAATTCTCATCAGCAAAACCATATCCGCAGTGAGAAAGTTTTCCATCGCTGCAGAAACTTTCGATTAAATTTTTTACCACCATCAGCGCCTATACGATAATATGCAAACAACGCCAGATTTCGCTATGACACTAAAGAAAGTTTTTACTGTTTGGTTAGCAAAGAAAACTTTACGCCGCCCGCTTGCCATTTCTCAGCCGCATGCACCATCGTGGTGATATACAAACGAAATGTATGAGTCCGGGGAAAGGGACAAAATGCGCGTCTTTTATAGTGTCAAGAGCGAAGAAAAACGCAAGCGAAAGAGATGAAAGGAAATTTTTCCGGATTGATTTTCGCCAGGACGCGTGCACGGTGTGCTGCGCCGAGCGACGCGGGCGGCAATCAGTCGAGCGAAGGGCGGAACTGACGTTTTGTTCCTCAATTTCCTCAGCACGATGTCGCACTGTATATGTATAATGACACCCTCTGGATGCTGCCGAGCGCTTTTGAGAGACGCTCGTGCCTGATATATAGACGTTTAAACGCACCTTATATTGCTTTTTGATGCGGTCTTCAGAAACCCGTCGGCGACGGCGTCGCTGCGCACGCATACAGAAAGAAAGCAACGAATGATATTGTTCTGAAAGTAATGTACTGAAATTTTCTATATTGCCTTCTTGATGCATCATATTATCCGCACCCTAAAAAGTTTATGCTTTGCCATTATGTTGAGATCTTTAGGCAACAAAAGAAAAATAACTTATCAATCTATGTTGCTCTAATATGAGTACAGGCAAAGACAATTTGTCAGAATTTTGGATTAAATCAAAGAACATTTAAAATAAATCCGTGACAAAAGGCTGCTGTAAAACATTTAAACTTATTTGATCCGTTGTATTGTACGAATTGTCAAGTTAAGTGCTGGGAAATAAAACGCTCAAATGGTTGGAGTTCGAATAATATTAAATTAAATTGGATCAGTATAAATTCTTTGCCGAATAAAACGCTTTTTTATTTCGCTGTTTTTAGAAGTACATGGTTAAAATTCTTACAATACGATATGTAAAAGGTTAGCGGAAATAACAAATGTTTGTCACAGTGACAAAGTGGTCCTTCGGCATTTCGGCCAATAAAAAAGTTTTAAAAGTAGATTCAGTAAAAAGTTAAGGCGTTCCTTGCCTTGCTGTGATTCATTTATTTATAACGCGGTCTCTTTGCTAAGCTGTCTACGCATGCCTTTTGCCACCGATGGTGTCAGCAACAATCTGACATCCACGGTCTGACGCCACCACGTGTACCACGGTACAACTTGGTCCCGAACGAGCAGATAAATCGTTACAACATAGCCGAGCAACACCACGCATATGAACACAGACAAGATAATCTCGGTCCACAGCTTCGTTACGCCAATTCGCTGCGCTTCAATAACGAAGTACTGCAGACCAAGCAGGCACACGATGACCAGGCCGACGGTTATGGCCGTCAGCAGAAGTGCGATCAATAGGTCCGATTGAATGTGTGCACGATTGCGTGGATGTCTCATCCACATCTTTAGTCCCTGGCAAAGACCATAGCGCTTGGTCTGAACGGCGTTGAACTGATACATGCACAGCTCGCAATAGCACCGACTGGCTTGGTTTAACCAGCGTTCCAAACACGAGAGATGCACGTACGCCATCGAACCCTTGCAGTGGCACGGTGAGATCAAGAGCTCTTGGCCGGAGTTTGTCTGACAGATTCGGCAGACCATTGAGCCGATTGTCACGAGATTCGTTGACTGCATCCGCGACGCAGAGGACGCATGGCCGGTGATCACCTTTGACGCGTTCGCCGCCAGGTTCACACTGCTCTCTTCAGCGCACCCAGAACCAGGCGTCGCGGCGCGAGGCGGCTCGGTCGGCGCTCTTGAAATCGTTTGTTTATCCGATGACATGTCGCGTATTTGAAATCGCTGACAACCAATCCATCAAAATTTGTGAACGACAATCGGCAATCACTTATCGGTTAAAACCACCCGTTGTTGCAATATGTGTTTTCGATATATCAATCTACATATCTTCTAAAATCTTTCTTTTTTAAACAAATATTAATAGTTCTTCGGATTTAAGTCCTGATAGAAACAAAATACAAAATTCGACTTTCTAAAATTCTGCTAAAATGTGTAGATCACAAATCAGAGAAACTTACACAAAACGAGGTCTTTAATCAGTTATCATGTCTATTATCATGTTAATGAATCTTATTTATTAATATGCCACATGTGCATATAAATGAAACTCAATTGATTATTCATGATCATTTGCCTAACCAATATTTGCCGCTTTTAGAATGCAAATTTAGATGCGCAATTTAAATTCGAATCGATTATGTATACTTCATGATGTGTAGACCGTGTAATAAAGGTTAACGAAATATAAATATGTGTACATTTAGTATTATAATTGGGTGGAGATTTATATGAAATAAACATAATCAACTGATACTAAATAATTATAATGTGGGTAAACCAATTTTATGATATATTTATTAAGAAAGTTATGAAATAGAATAAATCTATATGCATTTTGGAATTGCATGCATAGCTGATTGTTTACTTGGTGCAATTGTTTAGAGTGAAACTAATTAATTCACGATTTCAGAAAGTTTCGCACAACATGTCAGCGTTTGTACTCGCGAAATCATGTGCTGAAAAAGAAAATACGTATATGTTAAATCCGCAATCTACAGAGTAAACAAGTACTTGATACTTGTTCAGATGTTGCGGTAGTCGCAACATGAAAATTCGGTGGCACGAACACAAAATTAAATTGATATGCCAAGTTTATATAAACTTGCTACCACATACATCAATAATATCTGCGCTCTAAGCCTCGAAAAGTTACTGTGAGTCCTGCGTTCTCTCGAGATCAAACTTTAGATGCATGCTGGGTTTCTGCCGATAGAATGCGTATGGAAACATTGTGCGCATTTCCCGCCGACCGTTATTAGCAAACAAGAGCCACGATAATCAAGCAGCGGCAACGCTAACCTTAAACAAACTATCTGTGGCATCACTCGCGTCAACATTTAAGACTTCGCAACTTCTTGACGTGCCTGGGCGTTTTATCGCTTCGCACAACGCATAACTTAATTATTCATTCGAGAAGGATCTGCGGATCTGGTTTAGTTGGGCGATGGAACGGGAGGAATTGACGATTTCAATCTGCCTTATGCTCGTGTTTGCGATTGGGCTTGGATATTGGAGGCCAATTTTGTTCGACTATAAATAATTAGTTCGACGAGCGCTTTCGACTTCGCGTTTCGTGCTGTTGTTTGCGCGAATTCTTTACGTGCGCGGTTCGCAGTATCGACACTAATCGTACGTTGCCCGCGCCTTCGAAAACTTTCTTACTGCGAGGAAGTCTCACAGCACCAACGCTTGATTAATATCCCCATTGAATAAATAATGAATTGAATTTAGTTTATTTATCTAGGCGATAACCAACTGCAAGAAGTTATTTTGCGTCGCCAGCCAAGATTAGGTAAAGTTTTTATTTCACTTTGGTTCGATTTCTGCGTCGTCTAGCGTCGAATGTCAACGTGAATAATTCAACGATTTATCATGCAATCGAATCTAGGCGAGATTTATAAAGCAAACACACGCAAAGGCTGTGCTTTCGTCTGGTGCCATTGGGGATGGTGGGTGTGGGTCGCGCAAATATTTCAATCAACACGTCGCGCACCGCTCGCCGAAATTAAGACAAGCGACGAAGAGACATCAGTAAGTAGACATCGGGTGACGTGCGAATTTCGCTCAGTCCCCCTGCGAAGGTCTCAGAAAGAACAGGCAGGAGGAAAATTCAGCAAGCAAAAGTTTATTAAAGTGTCTAGAATAACTTAGTCTCATCCCACGAATACCTGCTTAGACGGTGGGATAAAGTAATAAGAAGGATAATAAAAGAAGTTTGTAACTCACTTTATGGCTTTTCATTAAAAGCGCCACCTTTATAAATCCAAAAAGATGACGAAATTCTTGTTTTGTTTCGTTTTATACCAACGTTTCCCAGTTAGCAACTTCATCACCATTTGGTGATGAATAAATCAATGTCTAATACTGTGCCAAAAAGCATAAAACCGTAAACTATTTAATTTGCTAATTTAAGTGCTCCTTTTTATTGTCTTTGTTAAAATGTACAATACTTTTTATAGCAAATGAAATTTAAAAAACTAGTGCGAAATGGTGGCAGTGCTGACAAGCTTTGCTTTAGGCGAACGAAATCAATGCGAGAGAGCGGCTGCAGGAGTGATAAAACCGCATGAAATATTGCCGCCGAGAGGTAGTAACCGGCTCATCAATCTTTTTCATATTTGCGCATTTATTTATTTTTTCTTATTTCCTTTTCTTAATTCGCTAACACACTGCCTGCAAATGTTTTTGAGACGAAAAAAGTGCATAGTCATTTATCTGGATAAGGTGAAACTTCTTTCTGGCCAGCGCTTCCGCATATATTTGTGGATGCGTCTTCATTGGATTGCTTTTTATTTTGAATTCCAAATGAAGTGACTACGTAAGGAGTATAAATATGATTTTACCTTTATCACGTCGAATTATATATTTATATAATATTATTATAATATTATAATTATAATATTTTTTTTGCTGAATGATTTTAATAGGAGTTTTGAATGGTGCATGTGAGTGTTGCAATATAAAAAGAAATATGCTTTATAGCCCATTACACATCTTGTCGCAGGGTGTAAAGATTAAATCTTTATCACCATTAAACTAATATTGCACGTGGGTACATAAAAATAAAGTGTGCGCTGTTTCTCAGCGTCGCGCAAGTGTTTACCACACAAGCGCTTTCTTAGCCTTTTATGTGCTCTTTGCAGTACGACGGGTGAATAAGATATCCTTCAGGGACGCGGAGCCCATGGGCCCGTGGGCGCGTTGAATAGAAGTGAAAATAATTTTGACAACATATTTTTTTCTATTACATCCACACCTGAGCATGTGTTTTGCGCGCGGCCTTTTGTCGAACACGGTTTTACCTTTTTCGCAACGTGCATGAAAAAGTGTGCCTAAAAAGACATCTGACACAAACATGCAGGCAAATACGCTCGTGCGCGAAAAAGTTGTATTGTGTGTCCACGGACTGAAGCCGACAACCACTCGAATTAAGCTTTGCGACGGGTTTTCGCGAGTGAAAATGTATATATCGTCGACATTGAGCCAGGAGTCAAGTCCGCCAGGAACGCGGGCATTGGCGCGGCAACGAGAGGCCCACTTGAAAATGGCAAGCGAGCGCGCACGCCGTCAAGGACCTGAAGCGCTAAAGCGCAAAGGCGACGGCAGAAGCAGACGCGATGCGATTTAACGAAGAAAAACGTAAATGCACTTGAGAATACTTTTTACGTTGTTACACTTAACATCATTAAAATGGAAGATAGACGAGTTGTTGCTATGTAACTTAGCTGATAGCATAAGTTGGCAGTATTTAACAAATTATCTCAACAATATTACCATACAAATGTGCTCATTATTTATTTAACTAAAAAAACGAATCGATATTGATTTCAGGCCGCTCTGATTCATTTGCCCGAAACATAATCTGTATTTATGACTTTGATTACTGTGACATGCAAACGTATTGCAATGACAGTAATTAATTATTCGGTTATTCATAGATGTATAAAACGCATGGTCGAAATGCGTGTCAATTATTTATTATAATTCCATGCGTTTCGATATTCGTAACAATTCGATAAAATATTGCATGATTCGGTTACTAATTACACGCCAACGTTTTAATATTCGGGCAAATAATTCCAACAATAGCAAATTTTGATGCGTGAATAGGAATAGGAATGTTAAATATCGCTGCTTTCGTAACATTCTTGGCAATAAATTGAATGCAGAACAAAAACGTAAATGGTGACGATAGAAAAAAAAAGAAGCAAACGAAAAATAACTTCCAACAGTTTTGAATCAAACTTCGTTATGCGGTAACTGCGTAAAATCAATCCGAATGGTTCGATGCACAAAACTTTGTTCGGCGCGTTTTATTAAATAAACTCCCCATATTTTAAAAGCAATTGACTTGACATACCGGCACCAACTACGGCGTCTCAAACGGCTTGTCGAAGACTTTAGTGTCTCGCAGGGGTTACACCTTATTTGCCTCGGAGTCGTACCATCGCCCCTTCATTCCGGCGTTATTCGTTTATAAATTCTTTACGAATATCGAAATATGTCTGCAATACGGGAAAATTGTTTTCCATCCTCGGCGCTGAGCGCGAAAAATCGAGCACCATGCATAAACGCCGTTTATTATAGTCTCGCAAATACAAAAGATACACAAAACAACACATCAACGCCATCTTCGAAAATTGAACGCACCAAGAACGCTTTCGCGCTCACAAAGCAGTTTTTCGATCGTTACGAAAAAGCGTTTTGTTAACGTTGAACCGCGTGTTTCTTTAATTTATTTTTGTGCACCGTAAAGTTGGTGTTCTGCGTGCGGTGTTCAGCATTTTGTTCGAATGTTTCGTCGTTGTGCGCGCCGCCCCAGCCCGCCGTGGTCTTGATGTTTGAATCCTGTTAATGAATACAGCGTTCGCTTGCTTCACCAGCGAAGAAGCTGCCTCTGCGTGAACGGCAAAATAACAAACACAAAAACGTGAACCTTTAAAAAGTATGTCGTGTTGACGGTAACTTTGCTTTCCGTTTCTTTTTGAATGCAATTTCTTACGCGCAACTCGGTTAATCTATTTCCTAGAAGTTGGATTAATTGAATCCCTGAAAAGGGAATTAAAACTTTTAATTTGTGTATAGTAGATAGACGCGGTGATATGAACTTGAGCGGAATTCGTTAAAGAAACCGCGGAACCAGCTGAAGGTAATCTACAATCTTTAATTCTTGCTTTGAAAACTATTACTAATTAAAATTATAAGCACATCAGGACTGTAGTTGAAATATTGTTTTATAGCCGCCTAGGAATGTAT